CTTGAAATTTATACGTCCCTTCTCCGGATACAGCTGCTGATGCCATCGACCAAAATCATCTGGTCAAACATACTGCCGAGAAGGCACTGGATGGGGGCGCATTCTTACTCCGCCATTGACAAGGCCAGGTCGACCCTCAACCGGCGTGTCGGCAACCGAGTTAGGGAGCTCGGAGGTCTTCAGATTCACCACCCGGACATCCGGGCCAAATATAGTGATATGTACATTTGGGATGGCGTCCATCTCTCCAATAAAGGTCAGCGGCTCTTTGTCAACAATCTCTTGGCAGCTGTAAAGTTATTTCGTAAATAACTTCCGCGTTTGTCAGGGTAAGGTCCTTACATCCAGTTTGGTTTTAGGTCTTGGTGGGCTATGCACGTTCGTGCTTTGGCATAGTACTTGTGGGCACAATTAATGTATGCTATATTTTACGTGTCATTCATATCACCAAATTTATAGGCTCCTGCTCTTCAGCGGGAACCTTCCATCCCTCTGCTCATCAGCGGTTGGGATTCCAACTTTTTGGCTTATTCAATTTCTGCCCGCTTTTCAACGGGACATGTATTATTTTCTTACCGCTATTGCTGCTGGCGAAACTGGTCGCCCATCGCTGCTGCTGCTGCTGCTGCTGGCAACTCAAGTTGCCCATTTAACTACCTTTGCTTAAATACCCACAAGTACTGCCTCACCTAGACCTTTCACCAAATATATTCTTCTCTTATTTATTTGGCCTGCCTGGACAACATGTCCTTTCAGGCCTTTCGGGTGGTGTGTGTTTCAATAATCCCATTTAGTGCTCTACACTAAATGCGTTTATTGAAATCCGCTCAACCATCTTCTTTACCATTTCCTGTTTATACTTTGCCCTTGTTTACACTATGACATCATTGTCCCGCCAGCTCCTTTCAGGTGACGTCACAACGTCTAACCCCGTAACTGGTGACGTCATCACTTGCTATCTTTGCCTTTCGCTGCTCTTGGTTGCTGCGCTATCTATAGCGTTCACAGTTCAGTTTTATTTCCCTCCCACCCACCCCTACCTTGCCTCTTGTCAATTCTCAAATGTCACTGTCCATTTGCATGTGTGGATTATATTATAATAATGTATGTTTCTTTCTTCAGAATAAACGTTTATGGCGAGCATAGTACTTGTGGGCACAATTAATGTATGCTATATTTTACGTGTCATTCATATCACCAAATTTATAGGCTCCTGCTCTTCAGCGGGAACCTTCCATCCCTCTGCTCATCAGCGGTTGGGATTCCAACTTTTTGGCTTATTCAATTTCTGCCCGCTTTTCAACGGGACATGTATTATTTTCTTACCGCTATTGCTGCTGGCGAAACTGGTCGCCCATCGCTGCTGCTGCTGCTGCTGCTGGCAACTCAAGTTGCCCATTTAACTACCTTTGCTTAAATACCCACAAGTACTGCCTCACCTAGACCTTTCACCAAATATATTCTTCTCTTATTTATTTGGCCTGCCTGGACAACATGTCCTTTCAGGCCTTTCGGGTGGTGTGTGTTTCAATAATCATACCACATGTAGATACATAATCATACAACATGTAGACACATAATCATACCATATGTAGGCACATAATCATACCATATGTAGACACATAAACATACAAAATGTAGACACCTAATCATTCAACATGTAGACACATAATCATACCGTATCTAGACGCATAATCATACCAGATGTAGACACATCATCATACAACATGTAGACACATAATCATACCATATGTAGACACATCATCATACCACATGTAGACACACAATCATACTACATGTAGACACCAAATCACACCACATATAGACACGTAATCAATCCATATTGTAGGCACATGATCATACACATGTAGACATATAATCATTATATATTTTAGACACATCATCATACTCTATGTAGACACATAATCATACCACATATAGACACATAAGCATACCACATGTAGACACATAATCATTCCATATTGTAGACATATCACCATACTTTATGTAGACACATAATCATAGCACATGTAGACACATAAGCTTACCATATGTAGATACATCATCACACTACATGTAGACATATTATCATACCACATATGGACACATGATAATACCACATGTATACACACCATCATACCACATAAACACACATAATCATACCAAATGTAGACACGTTATCATACCATATGTAGACACATCATCACACCACATGTAGACACATCATCACACCACACGTAGACACATAATCATACCATTTTGTAGACACATAATCATACCACATGTAGACACATAATCATACCACATGTAGACACATAAATACAGCACATGTGGACACATAAACATACCATTTGTAGACACATCATCATACCACATGTAGACACATCATCACACCACATGTAGACACATAAATACAGCACATGTGGACACATAAACATACCACTTCTAGACACATCATCATACCACATGTAGACACATAGTCACCCAACAAGTAGACACATAATCATACCACATGTAGACACATACTCATTCACAGTGTAGACACATAATCATACCTTAGTGTAGACACATCATCATACCACACGTAGACACATAGTCACCCCAAATGGAGGCACATAATCATACCACATGTAGACACATAATCATACCACATGTAGACACATAAATACAGCACATGTGGACACATAATCATACCACTTCTAGACACATCATCATACCACATGTAGACACATAGTCACCCCACACGTAGACACATAATCATACCACATGTAGACACATACTCATTCACAGTGTGGACACATTATCATACCTTAGTGTAGACACATCATCATACCACATGTAGACACATAGTCACCCCAAATGGAGGCACATAATCATACCACATGTAGACGCATAAACATACCATTTGTAGACACATCATCATTCCACTTCTAGACACATCATCATACCACATGTAGACACATACTCATTCACAGTGTAGACACATAATCATACCATAGTGTAGACACATAATCATACCACATGTAGACACATAATCATACCACATGTAGACACATAAATACAGCACATGTGGACACATAAACATACCACTTCTAGACACATCATCATACCACATGTAGACACATACTCATTCACACTGTAGACACATCATCATACTCTATGTAGACACATAATCATACAACATTTAGACACATAATCATACCACTTTTAGACACATAGTCATACCACATGTAGACACATAATCATACCACATGAAGAAACATAAGCATACCACTTATAGACACATAGTCATACCATATGTAGACACACAATCATACCACATGTAGACACACAATCATACCTCTTATAGACACATAGTCATACCACATGTAGACACACAATCATACCACATGTAGACACACAATCATACCACATGTAGACACATAAGCATACCACATATAGACACATCATCATACCACATGTAGACACATCATCACACCACATGTAGACGCATAAACATACCACATATAGACAGATCATCATACCACATGTAGACACATAATCATATCACATGTATATACATAATCATACCCTATGTAGACACATCATCACACCACATGTAGACACATCATCACACCACGTGTAGACACATCATCACACCACACGTAGACACATAGTCACCCCACACGTAGACCCATAATCATACCATATTGTAGACACATAATCATACAAAATGTAGACACATAATCATACCACATGTAGACACATAATCATACGACATGCAGACACATAATCACACCACATGTAGACGCATAACCATACCATATTGTACACACATCATCATACTCTATGTAGACACATCATCACACCACATTTAGACACATCATCATACCACATGTAAACACATAATCCCACTACATGTAGACATATAAACACACCATATGTAGACGTATAGTCATACCACATGTAGATACATCATCATAAAACATGTAGACACATAATCATACCATATGTAGACACATAATCATACCATATGTAGACACATAATCATACCGTATGTAGACGCATAATCATACCATATGTAGACACATCATCATACAACATGTAGACACATAATCATACCATATTTAGACGCATAATCATACCATATGTAGACACATCATCACACCACATGTAGGCACTTAATCATACCAATTGCAGACACATAGTCATCCCACATGTAGACACACAATCATATCATGTGGAGACACATTATCATACCCTATGTAGACACATTATCATACCACATTTAGACACATCATCATACTACATGTAGACACACAATCATACCCAAGTAGACACATAAGCATACCACATGTAGACATATGATCATATCACATGTAGACACACAATCATACCCATATGTAGACACATTAACATACCATATGTAGACACATCATCACACCACATGTAGGCACATAATCATACTACATGTAGACACATAATCATACCATATGTGGACACATCATCACACCACATGTAGGCACATAATCGCACCACATGTAGACACATAATCATTCCATATTATAGACACACCATCATACTCTATGTAGACTCATAATCATACAACATGTAGACACATCATCATACAACATGTAGACACATAATCACACCACATGTAGACACATAAACATACCATATGTAGACACATAATCATAACACATGTAGACACATAATCATACCCTATGTAGACACATAATCATACCCTATGTACACATATGGGGATAATGCATGTCAAAACATACTGTGTTACATATGACACATGATCACATCGCATGTCCTCATATAATGACACCTCATGTGAGGAATATTTAGAACGTATAACAACACTACTTATATATCAACTAAATGCGTGCTCATATAACGTAGCCGAAAAATTGTAACAAATATTTGTTTTCAAAAGAAATGTAGCGATGAAAGTAACTCCGACAAAACAAGTCGAGTGAGGAAGAGAAGTATGATGAAATGATACTGGTACTTACTTGTAATGTTCATGCCATCTTTACACCAGATGATGCTAGTGTCTTGGGCGGGGCTGATATGGGCGGGGTTGTTGACAGAGCATCTCAAAGTTGAAGTTTGTTTACCCGCGATCTCCAATGTAGGGGGAAACACGGCTAAACGCGGAATCTCGTAGACTTTCAAATCTGTGGATCTAGAAGCAACTTCCGTGGATCCATTGTACGCCTTACACGTGTAATTACCTGTAGCAACAAGACACATAATCACAATACTGGTGGAAGGATGTCCTCGCTCGCATTCAGACTTTGACCATGGACATAATTGACTTACCTTGTTATTTCAGCAATATCTCTCTAGGTCAAATGTCAACTAATGTCATAAATTATTTTCCAATTGTGTTCTTTTTAAATCAAACATTTATTAACGTTACCGCCTGCTGAGATACAAATTTTGATATAGCTGTGCCTGTGATGTTTATAGTCAATGCAGATTTGCGATGTTAAATGTGTCTTACCCTTGTCAGCCAATGTAATTGTATCAATTGTTATCGTGGTACTTGATCCTGACGACGTAAGACGCTTTCCGGTTTCCGATCCCAACTCCCGTGCTTCATGGAAAAGTCTCAGGGACATTCCAGAGGCCATTGGTAAGATTGAACATTCCAAGACAGCATTGTTGGTGCCATTTGTGAATACAGGCGATGACGGGTTGAATACTATCGTGTAGGAGTCTGAAGATACAATTCAGTGTAGGAAGTTGGTTTCAAGCAAAAGAGTATATTAAATGCTTATTGCTCATGAATAAATGCATAGGTAAAAATAATAAGTTGTAGATAATGCATGCTGAATATTCTATGGCATTGATGTTTTATATTATAATCGTTGCTACAATAATCGTTATTCTACCTATAATTTATTATATTATATATCTTTTACAACGGAACATTCAGCAACTTGTCACTGAGCGAAATTCATTGCTCCGAGCTTTTAGCTAAGTATGTATCATGAAAGTTATCACACTTTCATCAAAAGTAGTTGTTCAACCGTGACTGGTATCATGGTGTCTTGGTAACAAAAACACAAATATACATACCTATCAACCCGACGATGGACGACAACAGTAACAGCACAGGCGATGTCGCAATGCAAGCGACAAACATTCTGTAACGTCTTCCTGGTAATATTTCCAACTGTTCAAAGGAACACACGGTTAACAATGCTTAATAAGATATACTACAGTCAACGTCAACCGACGGCGTTGTTGTGTTACTACGGATTTAAAAGCCCCACCTTGTAAACCCAGTATACGACAAGCACTACAGACAACTAACGGAGATCAATAGAGTTCATGTTTGGATAAGGTTGGCGTTACTTTAGGGAAAGGGCAACGACGTAACTTTGATTATGTTCCTTTTATCATAAAGCATTTGTCTAGGGACAGAACTCAAAATCTCCTCTCATCTTCTGTGAAGATTCATAGTACATCGGCTTTCATTGGCCTGAAGATAATTGGGTAGGTTACTTTACACCAGCCTGGGACCGGGTAGGTTTCGGTGTACAGTACACATACCCCTAGGTACTTCTATGTTATTTTACATGCGACCACAAGCCCTTCAGCATTACTTTGCATATATAAGATATATTACTTCATCATAATTCTTGTTTCTAATAACGCCCTTACTTTCTAGACAAAGATGAGGATGAAAAGGGGGTTAATGTCGCGTTGAAGGTTACACGTATATAGCGACCTGCATGCACGTGTGTGCGTGCATGTACTAGTCTGGACTATTGCCATCTTATAGTACTAGCCCACTGAGATTCTATGTCGCAGTTTAACATGGTTAACACAGTATACTGATTCCCAGCCGACCTTTCATCCCCTTAATGCCCAGCGCCGGGCAGGGTAACAACAAGGACCATCTTTCAATGTCTTCTGGTAAACAACGGCCCTGGGTCGTACCCTCGACCTTCCCCGACCTTTCACTGGGTAATTATTACTGACATTGGGATTCTGGGGCAGAATGGGTGACAGGCACCTAATGACTAAAATAAGGATCGGATAATTAAGGTGTGACGTGACGGAGTGTTTTTGATCGAAGTGATATCGACGGCATGGATCATTTCTCGTGCTGTTGTCCACTGATTTACATGCCCAAGACATAGCCAATTAATTAATTATATAGTTTGAATACAGATGACTGAAGTGACAATATTCTCGCTGTTTGTTGTCAGAATGGCTTCCTGTTGGTCTAGTCCGATTCTTTTCCCCATATATGCACATTTTACTTATCAGTGTGTAGGTGAATGACTGTTAAACGCTGGAGTAATACTCCAGCTATATCACAGCGACTGGTAAATAATCAAGTGAGAGACGGACACATCAGCTACTGATGTTATGATCAGCATCGGGGTAGGATGACACGTTAAAACCAAGATACGGACTTTGGTCACCGGATCTAAAATGGTCGATTCTCACCATAGCATAGACTGCTTGGAACCTGCTACAAACCAACAGGGCAGTTTGGTTATACATTAGGGACAACGTATCTATATGCAGGTGTAAATATCTTTATGTTTATAGCAAACTGAAGGGTATTCACATTAAAATCAAGAAAACCAGAAAAAAACAAAAGTAATACAAGAAGATAATAAGCGAGGGAAAGAAATAACCTCTTTGTAAGAACAAAATTAAAACGCGGTTCTCTTGATATGTTTGGAATATTTACACAAGAAGTACACATAAATACATTAGAAGGCTGAAACACATTACAATATAATATTACTCATAGTCAAACACGGCTATAAAGGTCGGTAACAAGCACATTGTAAACAGCGACAGCAGAGGTTACGTATAGCATAGTGAATTAGTTATGCGTTGAGTTGACTGGCGTGATACGTGTATGTGATCGATATATTAAAAATCGTTGTTGTGTTGCGTATGCAATTGAAGCAATCGTATTGATCATGATTGCATGATGGGTGAAGTGAGTGCGAACGTCGTTCAGATAACATTTACCTACACACCATACTTATAAGTCTTAACTGGAGGTGAGCCAACTTCCTCGTTCCAAGATTGTCACTCTGTAGGCCAATCATTATTGTTGTGCAAACACCTTTTCCAATTGCGGTTGATAAATCGATAAAATATATGCTTCTTTGAAAACCAATGTAAAATAAACGTCAACGAACATACAATGCCATTTAGAAATGTTATATTTGGGAAAACATTTTCTACGAGAATCTGTACTTTACTAAGAAAGTGTTATCCCAAATATAACCTTTGTTACATAAACGCCAACGTTAGAGAACAATCAGTAGCGATTGTATCTTATATATCGTCTTTTAACAGTGGAAGGGACCCCCATACGGATTCCTGGTTAGATTTGACACCCATCAACTTATCTAGGATTAAGCGCGCGTAACCTCGAGTGAAGCGATTAGTTATTTTATTTCATTTCGCCGATCTCACCTTTTCTCTGATAAGACCACGTTGGTTAAAATTCGTAGATATACAAATGTGAGGCAAGTTGCGAAACACTCACTGTTGAAGACGCAATGCTATACATGTAGGTTGTATACTGAATCTAATGTTGTGGTTCAGAGGAAACGTGTATGGCTTCAGGCGCTGAATGGTTAAGTTGTTTGTTTACCACCGTACTTTCTAGTTTTGGATTTAATATCAAATATATTAAACTTTAATGAGACTTTAATGAGACTGTAATGTATGAATTATGTGAACTGAAAAAGCAGAAAAAATGTTTAATAATGTCTTGTTGCTTTTGAACAGTCATATTGTGTCGCTAAAGAACTCGCTCCCCGTTATATAAATCATAAGACATACATCATATATGTGAATGTGCTTCTACGATAAGCTATGTAAGTGTCCATTTTTTCACAAGTACAATCTTAACATTCAGTGGGAGGACCTTGTCTGTCGATACAGTGGTTCATACACTCGTCATACTGCCTGTTAACTGTGTATGATAGATTGGGGTACATTAAACCATCTCCCGCTGAGTGTGCCCATCCAAAATTTCCAGGCTCCAAATTCTCAACATTGTCCTGCAGGTCGAACTGCCAGACATTTTCAATGGCATTAAAATCACGTGAAACGGGCGGAAAATACAACACGTCAACGTGGCTGTCTGTAAACCAGCGTTTTGCGAACGCTGATGTAGGGGATACGGCATTGTCCTGATGTAGCACAAACGGAGGGTTACTTTATCCTGTGGCAGATTCTGTGGCTTCCTGAAGAAGTTCACTTCCTTATGTGATATAAATTTAACCTCCACAAAGATAATAGTCCAGGCCCTTAGAAGGATATCGTACAGATGTGTCTACAAGCATCAAATTTGGCACAGGTGTAGACCAGAACATACTAAATTCATTTTAGGAGGGCGCCAAAGCCGGTGATCATTGGGGCCGCCTTATTGGCAAAATCCAAGATGGCCGCCAGTCCCTATTGGATTTTGTCCCAACTTCATAACCAAAAGTCAATGAAGGCACTTTTTATAGCTTTTTGAGCTTAAGGGTTCCAAATCTGAGCTTTGTTTTGACATAGAAGTGCGTTTTGGCCAATTAAGTGATTTACTTGTATCCTCAAGAGTTGTCCAGTATGGTGACCAGATACCACCGTCTTCCTTTTGCCACCGCCATTCACTGAAGCCAGGGATTTCCTGGCGAACTGAGGCTGCTTGATTCCAATAAAAGTTTGCCTGAAGCAGTGCCCTTTTTATGTGTTCAAACAAGGCTGCCTGAGTGGGTGGTGTATTCTCAGTTCTTGCCACACCCAAGGAGCTGTGATGTCATGTCGCACCCTGTAATGCAATGGAAAAGCGGCAGTGTCACAGATCATGTAGGTCCACGATAGGAAGAGATATCATGGATCGCGAATTTCTTCCCGCTACCGAAACACACCCACAGCTCAGACAGTGAAGAGAAGAAACCACCACGTCACCATCATAAATACGAACATTGGTGGCCCTGTGCTACAGCATGTGCCAGATGAAGAAATATCTTGACAAGCTCCTCGCTGAGGAAAGAGAATAACTCCTTTTCGTTATCATCATTTATGAGAAATTTACTGTTGCAGTCATGCTTTGGGATTCGTGTGTGGCCATCCCCAGTCATAGTCCATGGTCCTGTATCCCGACGCTGATGTGTGGGGGATTTGAGGTTGTTTTCTGGTTTGTTATACCCAATGGCACCTTGCGTATATTGGTCTGGTCATCTCCATCACTGATAATGCAGCATTTGACGTCACTGCGTTTTCCATGTGATGCCCCCGCTGATCTGAGTTTTTTGGGTGAACTCTGTGTTCATGGTCTCTTCACACGAGAACTACTACAGTAGCTCCTACATGTTTTGTGAAAAATTAGCATTATGGGATCGGAGTGTTGCTGCAATAAGTGGTGCATTATTTAGTTGATCAAAGAAGACTGTAATATCAGACTGAACGGCATTGATTTCCTTAAAGTCAGTCAGGTCTCTGCCAAGAGTTAAAAGTCCTTCTACCTTTGGTGTTTGCAACTCTCCATGTTTATCAGACTGGCATACACAGCAAAGTTCCCAATTGATACTTTCCATTGTTGGCGCAATATCACAGGTTCAATTTTTAATTATTTCACCACCACTACTATACTCGCCAATTCAGTCAAAAACAACTACAGAGACGGAAAAATATAAATACATTCACTGGACAAGTAGCCATATACGCCACCTACGTGTGATTAATGCACAATTAGTCATGACCACCCATATCAGTGTTTCTTGAAGAAGGAAAAATAAATGCAAGGAACAATTTATGTGATCTTTATGTGTTCAGTAAACCATCAACCACCAGCAATGCATTATACTCATTTGCAGACAAGAAAATAACATTATTGTGTCACATCCAAATTAAACATGAACCTGCAAGTTTGTGCCCTTAAGTATGCCCCTGGTAATACTCTGACAACTACATTGGACAAAGCGTATTTTGCATGTCAAAACAAAGCTCAGATTTGGAATCCTTGAGGTCAAAATCCTATGAAAAGAGCCTTCATTGATGATCCTATGACTTTTGGTTATTTAGTGAGGACAAAATCCAATAGGGACTGGCGGCCATCTTGGATTTTGCCAATATGGCGGCCCCAATGATCACCGGCTTTGGCGCCCTCCTAAAAGAAATAAGGATGTTCTGGTCTACACCTGTGCCAAATTTGATGCTTGTAGACACATCTGCACGATACCCCCTAACGAGTCCCTAAGGGCCTGGACTATAAGGAAAGTAACTCCCATCGTAGAGATACCACCCCACGGAAACATCTTTAAACCTTCGGCGAGGTCAGACGCTCAAGCTGTTTTTGTTATATGGGGTCAGATATAGTTTCTTCCATTCTTTTGGTTTTAACAATATTTTTATATCACCAAAGTGGGTGTACATTACTGTCAGTATAAACAAATGGCTTACATTGGCTATCCTTTGATATTTTCACGGTAGCACGTGGCTGGTATCAGTTTTTGTTGGCTGTGTTTTGGCGAGCTCGTCGTTGATCGTAAGTCGCTTCAAATAGATCGCGATAATGACGGGGATGGCGATGAAGATACAGTACAGCTGAATTTGAAGACACGTCTACTGACAAGGAATTTGCAGAAAATTACATTTCCATGGTGTCAAAAAGAACGCAAGCATCAATTCATATTTCAAAGTGAATTTCAAATTTGTGGTGCTTTTTTCGACAGTTCACCCAAGATTGAACTTAAAAACATAAGAGACAAATGTCTTTAGCCCGCAGTGTTCAGAAAAGTATTTGGTGATATTGTATTTTTTACATACGTGTGAGGGGTTTTGTCCCAAAGTGTTGTTTGTTGTATAACGGTGCACTCAGCAATATTCCAGCTATATGACGGCGGTCCGTAAAAATTCTAGTCTGGACCAGACAATCCAGTGATTAATGTCATGATCATCGATCCACGCAATTGGGATCGATAACATGCATCAACCAATTCAGCGAGCCTTACCACCCGATCCCGTTAGTCGCCTTTTACGACAAGCATAGTCGTCTTTTACGGCAAGCATGGGTTGCTGAAGACCTATTCTACACCGGATCTTCACGGGTCTCTAGAGGATGGAACTATACGTAAGACGGACATAGAAAAGTATGCGAACTTAAACGATTGAACTATCACAAATCGACTTATGTATATTCCCTGGAGATTTCTCCTAAACACTTAACCCGGCTGTTAGACATGATACGTACTTGCTATACTCCTGCACTGTTAAGATCTGGAACAATTATTCCGATACATAAAGGAAACAATAAGGACAGATCGGATCCTGCAAATTACAGAGGTATCACTCTGACGTCCGTGGTGGGAAAACTGTTTGCAAATACCCTGTTAGACTAAATTGAGAGGAATGACAAATATATAGAGCCCGACTTCCCGCATAGGTAACAATATGGCTTCAGGCGAGTGCTTTATCTGCTCACAAGATTTGAAAATGAAGTATAAAAACATGATTTTCCTCAATGTTTTCACTGAGAATTAGAATAACAGTCAAATGAAACAAAAATATTTGCCAAATTCAGATAACCGAATATAAAACCTATAATCAAGGACATAATTTGAATAGTTTAATGGCTTAATAAAAATGTCACATTCAATCTCGTCAGAGTATGCATTTTACCTTCAATTTATGCAATTTTTACCCCTTGAAAATTCACGCATACACTTTGAAATTGTGTACAGATACCTCCTGTACGAAAATCTTGTTTTTCACCCCTGGTCAACTGACTTATCAGACAAGATGTAGGACAAAGATGCGTCTTATCTGCGTCGATGTTACTTGTGTATATTAACGAGCTTAGACAAGGTGTTATGCTTGGGCGTGATCTCTTTCAATGAGTCTTGCTTAAAAGGCCCTAAACCCAACAAGTAGTGACCTATGTATGTCCTTACAAACTTTACATGCTTGCAATTGGAGACTGACATATAATGCAACCAAAAGCTATGTCTTAGTGCACAAAATCAAACAGTCATGTTCGTTTAGGTAGCCATGTGCTGGACAAGATATCGAACATGATATATGCAAGTTTGCAGGTTATGTAGACAATATTCATTTAGAATCTGAAAGGACCACAAGAGTCTATGCCAAGGCGAGAACAAATTTGAATTCCCAAAAAGATATTAGGCTGAGAGCTGGTGGTCTAAGCGCTACTCCCCGAGTTCTGTATAACATTTTCATGTACGATATCCGACCGTTGGAACTACTAGTATTCAGACCCTGGGGTTGTTGACTGTGACAGCTGAGATTGACAAAATGATGCTGATGGCCACTGGGAGGTAATGAAGAAGCAATCACAGATATGCCTTGAAAATGGTGTTCTGTTTCAAGTGTGCTCCATGAATAACATGTGGGCACAAAAGTAAGACTGTGACGCATGATCTACTCGATGTAGCAAAGACGTATGAATTGTGGACTACAATAGGTCACCTTTAAAAACTAACCAGTTCACACCAAAGGATGTGTGGGAAAATACAGTACAGATGAAGATAACAAAACATGAAACAGCTCATTTGCACACATGATCTGCTAAAGTACCATGAATTAAACAGATTTAATAAAATGCACAGTAAACATGTACCACACAGACTGTGGAATATGTGTATCTGATACAATATGCCGAGACCTGTGTATGCACTTGTGAAGCTTAGAACACTACCTATTACACCCGGACAGTGCTTTATGTGTGAAGACGAGTGCAATGACATAATAGAACCCCAACTGATTTACTATTGAACTTTAGATGATGCAAGGAACACCCATTATGCGCATCTATTTGGAATTTAAACCTGGCATTTTAAACTTGTGCAGATTACGAAGCAAACATTGTGACATTACTTGGTAATATAACTTTAATTGTGAAGGATATCAGCCTTGACAGCTGGGCTGAATTCATATCAGCATCAAGAGACATAATCCATAGACAGCAATATATTTCATTCCAACATCATGCCAAGTACAAATACAGGTTAGGATGCAACATTTACTACAAATGTATGTCAATCTCCGATATTATTTGCGGAAATAAAGATCATTCATTATACATGACTTAGAAGCATAGATGTGGGAGAAAATGTTTCTGATGGCTCCATCATATACAAGATGTAGGATAAGATTTGTCAGAGTTTGTAATTGCTACATTATGTACATTCTCTAGGGTGGGGTGGGGGGGTGGGGGTGGGGGGGGGGGGGGGGGGGGGTGGGGATGGGGGGTTTGTAAAGGATCTATTTCTTTCATGATTTAGAATGATGGATGGGGGACGGTTTGTATTGGATACATGGTATACATGTAGGGCACACTGTTCAAGATATCCAATAGAGCGTGACATGAGACAAATACCAGCATGGCCTGGTGTAACATCAACAGCTATTATGTACATCGTGAATTCCCGAGGAAACTTACACAGCATACATACTACCAGTCGCCTCGACCTAGATCAGAATGTGTCTCGCGTCACCCTGTACAGGTCATAAGACTATGACAAAGTATCTGTTCATACACGTTGAATACGACTGATGTTGTTGTAAATACATCGACCACAAGGGCTTATATTAACATACATGGCGCAACTATGTAAGAAGGAAATAGCGTTGTGAGGACAAAGTAACCGGATGTCAATCAGGACGTTACACAATGTGAGTCATACGTTCTGTTCCGGTGAAAGCAAAAGCAGGACACCACGAAATCTTTTCCAGCGAGCTTTACAAAGGACAGGGAATAAAAATATGATCTGGAAAGAGACAAGCTATATCTTGACTGTGAGTATATTGTCTTTTCTATCAGAATTGTTTACGTTGGTTTTGGGGTTGAGATTGAAGTCGCTAGTTCAACACAATGGTCTTATTCTTGTAAGTAGAAATGAATGTCAGTTCACTTGGTTATCGAAATCTGGTCAGTTATCGACCTTCGCCTTGGCTTCAATTAGATATTTCGCTCCATCATAATACAAAGAAGTATCTGCACCAAACAAAATGCATCGACATACTGTGAAACATAAATAACTGTACAGCACCGAAGGCGACAAAACCCTTCCCATATTCGACCGCCTCCGTGGTCTAATGGTAGAGCGTCCTCCCGGAGAGCGGAAGTCCGGGGTTCGATCCCCGACCGCGTCATACCAAAAGACGTTAAAAGATGGTTCTTGTTGTTAACCTGTCTGGCGCTCGGCATTAATGGGGCTAAAACAAGGACTGGTCGGCTCGGAGTCAGTATACTGTGTCTGAGTGGGGTATTCATGTTAAACTGCGGCATGGTATCTCAGTGAGCATCAGCATCAGTCCGGACTAGTCCAAGCAACAACACACATACATACACGTGCATGCACGTCGCTATATAGGTGCAATAATCTTGGACGCGACGTTAAACCCCATTTCACCTCACCTCATCTTTCCATATTCATAACAGATTTTTGCCAAAAGCAGAGTCGATTGTGCGATTCGGACTGTGTGGATGTGTTTTTGAATAACTATCAAATGATGATACCAGGTGTTCGCAAAAAGGTGATCGTATCCTGCCCAAGCTAAATATAAAGGTAACTAAGTCTCACACACTGGTATATGTCTATTGGTCATTTCTGTTTTGATTGTTTAACACGGGCAGATTCCTTATCAGTATGCTATAAGCTAATGGCATATGATAAATTAGTTATGTACATCCATATATGTTTTCTGGCGACCTGTTGACGGTTATTGGTGAAAATACAGCGGACGTCGCTGTACTCCTCTTCGATTTCATTGGGCGTCAAAAGAAAATAAATTTGAATGGATCACTGAACATAAGGGATGGAACCAGGTGCTCGCGAAAAGGATAAGCATGTCTTGTCCTACCGCTAGGGTTTGTGTATTTAGGTTTTTAGGTTAGTGATCATTTTATTTTTGAGGTAATTTTATGCGGCCTAGTAGGCCAGTTTTGATTAGTAAGATGCCTAATGCTTTGAGGGTTTGTGTATCGTTTAGCGGATTTAGGAGTGTTTGTTGTGTTAGCTGAGTGCTGATGATTAGTTTGGTTTGGAACATTGATCTGCGTTGTTTGCAGTGCGTGCAGTGTAGTAGTGCGTGTTCTGGTGTTTCTAATTGGCTGCAGTGTGTGCATTTACCAGTTTGGGGTTACTTTTGGTAGGTGGAAGTCTAATGTTGTGTGACCTGTCTGTATTATTGACATGTCAATATTTTTTATTTATGATGAGTTTTTAGTTTCTTGAGTGGCTTTTGAAGCATAAGTTTTAGTTTACAGTTTGAATTTTGGTAATTTGTTTGACGCTTTTGGACGAATTTCCTTAGCGATTCTCTTTTTGCGCCGTTTTTTTATATTGGTGAGTTTAGGCTTATTTCTGACAGCCGCTTTGATTGCTTGGTCGCTGTTCGTTTCCAAAAACTCTGACTTGGGCTGGGGTCCATAGGAATTCTATTTGTTTCCCTAGTTTGTTGAGTTGTTTTGAGCTTTAAAGTATTTGGTTTATTCGTTTAGGTCGTTATTTGTGTTTTGTTTTTTGAATATCTTCTAGCCCACTTAGCGAGTCCGTTAACATTGGGATTTTGTTGTTTGTTTTTAGTAGGGGGTTGTGTAGGGCTGTAGCCATACATATTAGCTCGGCCGTGAAGATTGACTAGTTATTTGGGAGCCTATATTATAAGATTTCAATTTCCTAATGGGTTGGGATATATGGATTCCGAAACCTGTGTGTTTTGAGCCCGGGTGAGAGGCCCCGTCTGTGTAGATGTCTCATCGATTTGGCGTACGTATGCTAGTGTGGTGGTTTTGGAGAGTGATGTGTCTATTTTAGGGGTTTGAAGTTTAGGTCTGAAGATGTAATTAAAGGATTGAAGTTGTATTTGTTGACGTTAGCTGATGAAGACAGTTCCTCACGTGAGCAAATTCCACCGCGTGTTAATGAAATGTTGATACTAATTTCATCTAATGATTACCGTATCAATGTTAACAGAAAGAAAGGACAGCTTCGTTTGTTTTCCTTCAGCTGTAAACAAAACAGACAGACATGAACTGATATGCATAACTGTTGATAGCAAAAAACATAATTATTCTTATTAAGATGCTGTTATACAATACTAACCATAGTGGTTGTTTTCACATTGTTGTTATTGAAAATCTGTTTGGCTTAAAGTCATAACTCATCTTACCACTGCTGGGGGCACGGGTGGCCGAGTCGTCTAAGGCGCCGCGATACGCTGTGCAGAGTTGAGTCCCTTGAGCACGCCAGATTGTGGGTTCGAATCCCGATTTGCCCCGATTAGGTTTCTAGATTTGTCAGCACCATACCCGTGCTCGTTGGTTTCACCGAAGTGGTAAACGTCTGAAGCCTGCATCACTTCGGGCTTTCCTCCCACATTAAGCTGACACGCCGTGATATGACTGGAATACTGTTAAAAGCGGCCTTAAACCCAACTCATTCACTCACTCTTACCACTGCTAAGCTGCACTTGTTTAATGGGAAAGAATGTTGAATGGCATAGAATGAGTTGCGTGGTTTGACAAGCAAAGCTAAATATGACCAGGATATGAATGAAAATTATGTACGCTCCAACAACTTTGCATTGAATGAAATATTTATTTGTGTGACGCACCCTTATCGCATACGAATAATAAATACAAACGCAACCTTCAATACAGGTAGATGGCCATTTTGGTTAAATTCATTTCTTGATACTATATACTGACACATTTGACTTGTAACCTCATCACCATTTAAATTATTTAAACAGCGTTGCCTTCCCCAAATGTAATAGTAGTTTGTTACATTTCTGTCGGATTAACGAGAGCAAACTTAAGGCAGATAAGTGTGTTCGAAGTTCATTTGTTTTACTTCCTGCTATTACTTCCAAGTAGTAGTAGTAGTAGTAGTAGTAGTAGTAGTGGTAGTAGTAGTAGTAGTAGTAGTAGTAGTAGTAGTAGTAGTAGAAGAAGTCATCGTTATCATTATTAGTACTATTATTATTAACAATCGTATACATGTAGCTGATCACATTGCTCACCGTTATTTTAAAAAGCTGTCTGGGTAATTGTCATTTTCACGGGTTTTTTTAGGTTTAAGGATTTTACAAAGAAAACATAAAATAAAGTCATTTTACGGAAATATAAAGTTTGATTTTGGATCTGTAGGTGATTAAAACAAACTTGGCACAGTTTGGGTCCTTAAATATGAAAGATATAATTAATCTAAAATCTGACTTGTAAGGACGATTTCATTTTTAGTCATATTGGATTACTTTTATTGTCAAGGCGATCTTTGTGCAGAATAGATCATGAGCTTATTTAAGAAATAAACAAGGAGTGGGAGTTGTTTATTGTACAATAAAACACTGCAGGGAGAATAATACCTGAGGGGCGCCGCCCCGAGTGGTTTATTTTCCCTGCAGTGTTTTATTGTACAATAAACAACGACGACGCGGCGTTTATTTCTTACATGGGATATCAACATTATGTACATCCTCTTGAAGGATGTTGACAAAATGTTCAAACTTTAAAATCATTTTCCCAAATTTTAATAATGATGACTCCCTGAATAGAATCCGACCTCGAAAATGTCCATTTTACGAACATGTGGGTTAAGCTTGGTATGTTCTCACAATCCTCAAGTCGATCATCTGCACCTTTTCCTCTATTGCCGATTGTCATATCTCTCCCACTTGTGGGTGTGATCGTTCGGCCATTGCGTTAATATGCGTAGCCCAGCTACATCTATGGGGAACAACTTACTGGACACTTCCCTCCAAAATAACGCCGTTGAATATATGACGTCATCAAGTGACGCCAAGATAGAACAATGTTTTATCGTGTAATAACGCTTCGTGTGCGATTTTTCGTGTAGCTATCTTATATACTAGTATCATAATATAACACTTGGTAACTGGGTAACGAGTACATTGCATTCGGACTTGGTGTTTTTACCTGATAAATATAAATCTAGATTTACGTACTCACATTCTCTTGCGTTCAATTTACTTTACCATTTATCCTTCAGGCCAATTATCAATGATGTCATCATCGGAGGATTCGGGTCTCCAAGGGAAAAGTAAGTAGTCATCAATTTACTCGCAATTTACTGATACCGTCTCTGGTAAAATCATGACAAAATATCAAAATGTGCACGTTAATCTTATTACATTATTATGTCGGATTAACGAGTATGTCGGATAAATGAAATTAAGTTGTATCAACGTTCGTGATCGAAAATCGGACAACGAGATCTACACGATAGATAACGATCCAAACACGTTGCAATAAAAAAATGAAACAGGAAATATTCATATTGTTGTTACATTGTTAACGGAATATGTTTTCTAATCATGCAACCTCTAAAACTCAACACAAAACTACTGTTGACTGATTCTAAATACTTTTGAAAGAATAGTCTGGAATGGAAATCGTCAGTTTGTAAAGAGTGCTGCAAAGCTCAAGAAAGCAGCTTTCTTTGATGTCAATGTAGACTTCCTTTTGGTCATTTCATTGGTCGGCCAAAGTTCGCAGAAAGGTAGTTTTGACGTGACCTGTAATAGGATGTCTTTAGCGGTAGTGAGAACTTATATCTGATTTTGATGAGATGGAGATTAGGATGTGATTTATTAAATCCTGTTTTGTTTATTTAAAGCATTGATTGTTTATTGTAAAGCAAGCTTATTTCTTTAGCCGTTGTAAATATGCAGCCACTAGCCTACTCATCTTGCATCAAAACACGGTGCTGTGTACTTGAGTGCAGATGATCACGGAGTACACTGATCACTGTGTCGGATTAACGAGACTGATTAAAGAGTAATTTCGTAATTCGATGCACATAGGTGTGTCGGAGTCGGATTGCGAGACTGTCGCATTAACTGGTCTAAATAGCACTGAGTTAATCGGTTCCCATCATTAGTGTCGGATAAGCCGATTATCGGATTAACGAGTGTCGGATTAACGAGACATGACTGTATCAAAATATTAACATTGATGTTGAGATACATTTTCAGTAAACACAGGAGAATCATTTTTTTTCTTTAAGATGGTTTTGTGTTGTAAATAAGGTGGAGTTGACATCACAGTCAAGGTAACGGGAGTGGAAGGTGGTTCCGTTTTTCGGGCTGAAACTTCTGGATGCACATTTGGACCTGGCGCTACCGGTAAGTAGAATATAAATTCTTTTCATTTATATTCGTCGAATATTACTGAAATCTATTCGCATCCAGTGACAAAACTGGATATGCACTAAATAATTTTCGTCTTCATTTCATTTCAGTCAACAGGTTTAAATACGAAACTTGGAACCCGAACGAGGAAAAGGTGGATTCACTGCAAGGTATATGCTGCCATGTGAAGCTTTAGTTTTAAGTAAAAGTGTCTGGCAACTCTCTCGATCGGTACCCCTGCAGACTCCAGAAACAGTATTGTTTTAATCTACATATGTACTGTGCAACGTAAATGGGATATAGTTCATTGCTTTGGCCACTCATATAAGATTATTAAACCGGTGTGCAACTTCAACCGCTCAGTCAGTAGTTGGGGAGGTCAATGAAATCCCCCGAATGGGGTTTTAAACGCACTTAACATATAATTTTAATTGTCATTATTCTCTGAATAAGGTGTATAAATAGTTATAATATATATCATATTTGTATAGTTAAACTACTTTAAACTATTTGTACTCTATTTCAGAACGCACAAAACGAGAAATAACCAACAAAACACACCACTGCATCAAGACGCGGTCTCTCTCTAAAGTTCTGGAAAAAATTCAAGGAAATGGAAAATGCGTAACAATCACTGGCCTCCCAGGAGATGGCAAGACAACTTTGGCCTACATGGCACTCGGAGAACTTCAACAAGATGCCAAAGTATTTGCAGTGCATTCCGCAACTGACTATTTCACCATTACGTCTGTGAGATGCTCTCGGGATATCTACATCATGATAAACGATATTTTCGGATTGTCTGTGTTTGAGAGGGACAGGTTAAGACACTGGAGTGATGTTCTGGAAGATGTCTTAACTGATCAAGCAACAGACAGTCATATTCCGAACTTAAGACACATCAAACTTCTTCTTGTTGGCAGACAAAATGTGGTGAACGAGGCTCTGGATTACTTAGGTAAATTTGAGACCTTGGTGAATTGTGAAGACTGTCTTGTCGATCTAAGTTCTCCATCTTATAAACTGTCCTTTCACGAAAGAGTACAGATCTTTGAAGTTTACAGTAAACAATCGATTGATGAACTAACAAGGGATGAAGTATGTGCTTTGTCCACCCCACATGGATTCCCAAACTGCTGCGTAATGTTTTTCAGCATGATGAAGCAAAGGAAGTTAAACCCGACTGAGTTTTTCACAAATCCAATTAGGTTTCTTATGGAATCTATAAAAGTACTCATTGTTGAAAAACCTGCCTACAAGCGGTTATTTAAGGAAATAATCCAAATGGATGGAGAGCTTGACCTCAGCACAATTCGTCAACGTAAGCCACTTTTGAAAGACGAAGAGAGGAGGAAGGCAATAAATGAACTGAGAGGCAGTTTCATTGAAGAACGGTGTAATACTGTTGTATTCAAATACCCAACCATATTTGAACATGTTACCATTTTGATGGAAACGCTAAAAGATTAAGTAAAGTAAATTGTACAGGTACACACTAGATATGCTAGTGCAGCTACTTTCTTAATGTTAGTTGTATCTCAAGTATATGTTTAAATATTGTGTTTTCCTATTGGGGAGAAAAACATGCTCACTGTATTGTTGTAAAGCGTTTTCGTAAATCAATAAATCATGGATCAATTATTCCATAAATATATTTACACGTAGGTTTGAAACACTTGTAATAATTTAGCCATGCTTTGAAGGAGACCAACATTAATTGATATAATAGTTACTGCAAATCTTTCATGTGGTAAATGGTATCCAACGTATGACTCTCCAAGTGAATTTATATGGGATAAAACAACGCATCTGTAAATTATAATTCAGAAAATATGATAACCGCCAGTATATTGAATTGTAATAAGTGCTTCTTCAGAAATAAACAAATAGTAAGTATTTGATCAATATGTTTTTCTTAATACATTCAATGACGTGCACCATTTCACAAGAATGAAAATGTGAAACTGAGACGTACTGAGATGAGATGGAAGGTATAATTAGTTTTCCACATCGTCAGATAGCTATTTCTCGTTTCAAACGTTTACTCATCAAAGTGAAAAGTTGAAGAAGTGTTGCTGTTTCTTCATATTATTGTCGACCCGTGAAGATTCCGGGGTAGAATAGGTCTTCAGCAACTCATGCTTGCCGTAAAAGGCGATTATGCCTATCGTTGATACATGTCATCGTATCCCAATTGCGTGGATCGATGCTGATGATATCAATCACTGGATTGTCTGGTCCAGACTCGATTATTTACAGACTGCCGTCATATTGCTGGAATATTGCTGAGTGCGGCGTTAAACAACAAACAAACAAAACATCATATTAATGTCTGGGTCGACACTTTCCGGTGACCCCTATTAAAATAGCAATTTAAGTCGTTAGACGTTCTTCAAACACCTTTGCCAATAAATCACAAGGACTAACTGCTTCTTTCCTATAAAATACATGGAAATAAAAGCGACAAAATACTTTTCCATAGCCACAAGAAATCTCTGTCAAAAACAGAGTCGATTGTACGATTCCGACAAGGACATGTGTTAATGAATAACTATCAAATAGTCCACAATTGAATAATTGAAGAAGGTTGTTAAACTTGATATTGTTAACAATAGATAAGTCACCTGTGATTACATGACCTACAGATTGGTAGCACTGTGACGAGTCTTAGCAGCCACAAGAAGTTGAATTTACATCATAAGCTGCCACGTCCACGTTGGTCTTAGTAGAAGCATTGGAAAGTTATTGTGTTCTTTATATAAAGATGTGAAGGTGTGTGTTAGGAACAATGGCGCTACAACAGATGGTTTTATAATTAACATTGGTGTCCGCCAAGGGAGTATATGAAGACCCCTTCTATTTTCCTTTTTCATAAATGAATTACCATATCCAATGCAAAAGAAATTGCACTTTTAGTAAACTACATGTCGAAACTATCAAATTTTGTTTGTTTCTTTTCGCTGATGTTATAGTTATATTCTCGAACACAATACCTGGCTTTCAAAAGCAAATAAATGTATTCGGGATTCTTATGACGGGTCGAAACTTACTGTAAATATGGATAAAACCACAGTTGTACCTTTTTAAACAAGGTGGTAACGTGAGTGAGTGAGTATGGTTTTACGCCGCTTTTAGCAATATTCCAGCAATATCACGGCGGGGGACACCAGAAATGGGCTTCACACATTGTACCCATGTCAGGAATCGAACCCGGGTCTTCGGCGTGACGAGCGAACGCTTTAACCACTGGGCTACCCGACCGCCCCCAAGGTGGTAACGAGTCGAGAACAAAACACATTGTGTTATAAATGGAAACCCATAGATGACTGACATGACTGTAAAGATATTTTTACGTTACCACCTTCTTGACTTTACACGTTGCCATATTCAAACACAAAATGGGTATTTGTCACTTAATTGCCAAATTAACACTAAACATTGTTTGATCAAGGTTACAACATTCTTGGTTGGTTGGTTGGTTGGTTGGTTTGTTGTTTAACGCCGCACTCAGCAATATTCCAGCTATATGACAGCGGTCTGTAAATAATCGAGTCTGGACCAGACAATCCAGTGATTAATATCATGCGCATCGATCCACGCAATTGGGATTGATGACATGCATCAACCAAGTCAGCGAGCCTGACCACCCGATCCCGTTAGTCGCCTTTTACGACAAGAATAGTCACTTTTTACGGCAAGCATGGGTTGCTGAAGACCTATTCTACTCCTGAATCTTCACGGGTCGGTTACAACATTCAAGGCATCAGTAAAGTTTTGTTTATGACATTTCAAATTTTGAGGCATCAGTGACAAACATTATGTCAGATGCAATTCCCTAATATGACTTGTATCATATGTTCCCGTGTTCAGGTGAACAATTGACTTGCCTTTGTATGTGTTTGTGACGGGTGCCACCGGTGGGGCAGGATATGTTTACCTTTTTCGCGAACACCTGCTATCATCACTATTTGATAGTGATTCGTGAACACATGCTCATGATATAGTCGGAATCGTACATACTGTTGATATGAATATGGAAAGAGTTTTGTCGCTTTAATTATTTCAAAGAGGGATCACCAGTTAAGCCTTTTCACCGAGTTGAAGGCCTTTTTCAAAATCTACATATATATACCTTCCCCCTTTTAGATTATAGTTATATCTGTATTGTAGAATGTAGGATGAATGCATTGTCAGTGCTAGAGTATCCCTTTCTACAACCTGCTTGTGACTCACTTTATGGTAGTATTACAACCCGCCCAGAAAACAGGTTTCTTCTTGATAATGGAAGTCGATATTTTACAAATTTAACTGAGTGGGTGAGTATGGGTTTATGCTGCTTTTCGCAATATTCAAAAAATATCACGACGAGGGACACTATGAATGGGCTTCACAAACTGTACACATGTGGGGAATCGAATCCTGGCCTTCGATGTGCCGAGCGAACACTTTAACCACTTTGCTACCCATATGCTCCATAATTATGCTTATTTTGTATCAATGAAACAAACTGTTGAAATCTAGAAACCATTCGTGTGAGTGTGCCCCATAAATTTTGTGCTCTGAATGTAGTTTGGGCCAGATGCCTTATGTTGAATAAAGTATCTGTATGTATTTATCATTCCAATTTGAATCAGCTGAACCTTTTTTGAGCAATCGCTCTTAACTATTCAGATTCTTTCTGGACATCCGCGTATGTCCTTGATTACTATACAGTAGATCATGGAAAGTGCATATAAAAACTATTACTGCAGAATGTTTGTGGTGAGTGTAGGCCACCATATTTGAGAAGTCGGTTTGAGAAAGTAGCATCACATGACACAGGGTTGTGATTGTCTTTACGTATCTCGGAAAAAATCTCTTTGGAAGGAGAACATATACACTTTATTAAGTATTCAGGGAAAGACAACACAACAACTGAAGGTCAATAATGTTATTGGTGAAAACTGTTAAGATATATTTCTCCAGAAGAGTCTTCATATAAATGACATGAGTTGGATGCCAATTTTAATTCTCTTCCCTATAGGTGTGCCTGAGAAAATGTCTCATATGGAAATCCGGGTAGTTGGAGTTGCAGGAGGATCTGTCACACATGCTCAAACAACTGGGTGTTCTTTTGAATCGCAGGCTACAAGTTGGTATTTCATATTTAATAGTTGTGTTGATTGATGATTGAAACATGACGCGAGCAGGCTGGTTTTAACTGAAACCCCGGGCCAATGGTCTTTCCTTCAACTTAGTCTAGTCTAGTCTAGGCGGATGGAAACTTTTATTTTCAATCATGACATGTTTCACCAAATTGATTGAAATCCAGGAGTTAGTTCAGAGGGCAAACTATTGTAATCTTTTGGCTCCGCGAGTTAAAAATAAAAGTGTGGAATTCACAAGATAAGAATATAAATATACAATTTATCATAACATTTTCAAATTTTTCAACTTATCCTATCTCACACTATGCGTTTTATCCCACGATTGGATGGTGGGGCGCAACTCCTTAGTTTACAGATCACAACCATAGGATATTTACGAGGAAGCTGGAACTTAACAGTGGTACAATAATTAATACATTTACACAGTTAAGTGTCGTAGGACCAAAAGACTCGTAGACAGTATAAGAAAAACACTTTCAAAGAATGTTGAGATCCTGACACATGAAGAGCTGAGACACATTAAGTCGGGTACAATATGTGTAACATGTTCAAACGTAAGGACGCGCAATCGTACAACGATCTAGTACGACTTATTTTCGAGAGGGGATGTATCAAGTCATCGAATCTAGAAGACGGGGTATTCCTATCTCCAGAGGACGATAATTTGGACCCGCTTTGCATATATTTTATCGCCTCGTCAAACCTTTAATCATTCTCAGGTTGGACCATCTTGGCAATTCTTTTATCGCTTCGTCAAACCCTCAATCATGCTCAGTGATTGAATCATTGGGTAAAAAATGAAAAGAGAAAACGGTCGACAATATCCACTAAAGACGGGGTGTGTGAAATAAGGGATCAGCATACCGAGATCGGCCGCGTCTAGTGGCGACCAAGGTCTCCACAGCCGAGTGATTTTACCCTCCAACCGGATACTCATTCTGGGAAGCACGAATGCATGCAATAAACACAAACAATCACGACAAGGGTTTATTTTAAATAGAGATGGATGTAATGTAACGTTATCTGGTTATACATCCCTCTATCTGCGCATGTGTGTCTTTGAGTTCTGTTGTGCGAGTACCAAGGGTCCAAACTGGTGAAGACCTTGAACGTCCGTCACTGAGATGCCTCGGAGATAATGGGATGCGAATACGGTATCAGATTTTCAAATCATCCCTCCGTAATTGAGGTCAAGGAGTAATTACCAGGAAATGCCATGTTGGAGGCGACAGCATGGGTTTCATGAGGGTTAGATGTGAATGGAGCAGGTAGGCCAGCTAAGGTGTATGCTCGAAGGATTACTGAGCGTATACAAAACGAGATTTTGGTACGGGATACCTCCGTTGTAGCTACACTGGAGAGCTGGATGAATAACAACTTACATAATCGACGAAGTGGCTTCGCCGCTCCCAGATGGATTCGAAGCACACTACTGGACACAACGATTCGTCTTCTTGATTGTAAGGGTTTAAGATGGACGTCAACGGTGTGATGGTGAATTTTTGGCGATGAAATCCCATCGTAGTCCCAAAAACTTTCTTATGTGCGGTACGTTCGAATCCCACTCTGTTAACTCATTAGTGTGAAATACTGAAGGAGTGTTGACCAATGAGACACTGTCAGAATCACTGCTTTCAATTCTAGATCGTTGACGTGAAGCTGGCTTCCGTCTAGTGATCACCACCCTGCTACAATGAGCACCCCATCCCACAGTTAAGACACAGTCGACGAACAGTGGAGGGTTTGGGAGAATGGCTGCGAGGATAAGGCCGCAGATATTCGATGGAGTTAACCACCATTGGAGCTGGGGTGTTTGTGGTTTGGAAGAGAGATTAGGACCTGACAATCGTCATCCTGAAGGAAGGGCTTGAGGAATCGCTGGATTGGCCGTAAGTGAAGTTGACTCCGCTGGGTGAGGGCTTGTGCTGATGTTAGGAGACCAAGAAGTTGTTGCCATTGACGTAAGAAAATTGGCTGTTTGAGTGCCAATGGTACGAGGCATTGGATGTTCTCCCAACGATCTTAGGGTACAAACATCCTGCCCAAACTTGACTCGAAGAGCGCTCCGATGAACTGGAAACATTGTGTCGGAATCGTTTTCGAACTTTTTGGTGTTGATGATCCAACCCAGTTGGTGAAGTGGGCATTGAGAGAAATCGAGGTGATGAAAGAGAGTGTTCGAATCCTCAATGACTTGAATGCAGTCATTCGAAGACTATGGCTCGAGTGTGTGGGAACTTGATGATGGGTTTTGTGAGGCGAGTAAATAGCAACGGGGATGAAGAAATTCCAGATGGGCGCACTTGCCATTGGTAGTGATGGACAAGGAACACAAGCCAAGGATATTGCGGGGCTCTGGAAGCATAGAGACGGAATGGCTGGAGTCGGAGGTCCTTTTTAGCCCATGAAAAGGAGCTTCCGCCTGATTTCCCTCCTCGCTGATTTTGGTGTCCTCGGCAACGGCCACGAAAATAAGTAGACATATTACTCAAAACCTCTCTAAGGTCTAAGGAGAGGGGGTAAAGGTCAGTCGTCTTTGGTCTTTTCTTTGTTTTTCCAGTTGATTTCTCTGGAGATGAAGTAAGGCAACATTAACTTGCAGGGAGGTGTCTCTTTGGAGTTCATGGGCGACCTCCTGTATGGGCCCACCCTACGTCTACGAAGAGTAGTGATGACTCCCACTAGGCTAGAAGGCCTAGTATAGCTATCGTTTTATCCTGGATGTTGGCAACAGCACCTTGAATACAGGATTCTTCTAGGGGAAGACACATGAGCTAAAGCCATGGAGAGCGCTTCAGTTGCCAATAAAATAGTGATACCAATGGGAGGGTCCTTTGAACAGCGGTTTCGAGGTGAACGAGGTCCCATTCGTCCGCTAAAGATGAACAGTACGGATGCTTAGGAGCTAATGTTGCAATATCACCATCTAGTTCGCAAATACAAAGCATGGAGAATGAAGCTATTCACAAAAACGGTGAAAGAATCCATCATATCCTTTGTCGCAGGGAGTGGGGGAGGGAGTGGGGAGGGAGTGGGGGGGGGGGGGGGGGGGGGGTAACACCTATGGGGAAAAGATTCGGGTGGTTCATCCACTAAAAAGGATGTAGCGGCTGTTGATGTAGATGAAGGTACCATAATTGGTAGAGCGGTTGTCGGTTGGGGAAGATTGCTTTGACAGCCTGTGGTTAGGGATCAATGATGTAGGGATAGCTTCAGATGGAGTCTGTGGTTCAGAGGAAACAGGACGGCGGCGTAGGTGAAGGATATGTCGGATAAAAGACTAAACTCGTTGTAGCATTCATCCTAGCCTAGACGTGATGAGTGTGAATAGTCTCAGCGTGAGACATGATAAGTGGATGAGTTATAACCGCTAGTCTGTCTTAAGACGAGTAATGATCTTTAGGTTTTGTGTTTGTTTGTTTGTTGATCAGCCCCCTCACCAATATTCAAGCTATATGGAGCCGGTCTGTATATGATCGAGGTGATTCAGGTGATTGACATCATTAGCATTGATCCATGCAGTTGGGATACGATGACATGCAGCAACCAAGTCAGCGAACGTGACCACCGAAACCTTTTAGTCGCCTCTTACGACAAGCATTGTCACCTTTTACGGCAAGCATGGGTCATATCTTAGGGAAATGCTTGTCTCTCGAATGTATCCAATCCTTGGAGGTTCGATGATCTCTCGAATCCTGTTGAACCTCCTTTGAAGTATGTCCATCCTTAGGAGTCTTTATGTCCTTCAAGGTACGGTTTGATGATGTTCGTTGAACCGCAGAGGTTCGATGAGGTTTGGATGAAGATTGCTTGTCCAAAGATGTTCGGTTCGAACTCGACTGTCACACGTGGGAAGTTCAACGAGGTTTGGTGATGTTTGGAGGTTTGATGAGGTTCAGGGTTTTGAGGACGTTCGTAGGTTCGAGTTTCGTAGGGTCGAGTTTCGGAGGTTCAAAAGTTCGAGGCACCTTCGATGGTCGGTGGTCCAGTGAATCATCTCAGTGTCGTGAGTGAGAAATCCGTTGGTCCCGGTCTGAATGCCGATCCCTCGATGGTTGCACTGAAAAAAGTGCAGTGGCTGTCGATGCTAGTCTATCAGTAGAGTGATGCTATGTCGCATGACAATTCTCCTGGAATGAATGTCAATCGTCTGGTGAACACTCTCGGGAATGGAAGGTTCGTGAGCCTTGATCCGATGATTCGTCATACGTCTCAGTATAGTGGTCTTAGGAGGATTGATCCTGCGAAGGCTGTCGAATGGGAGATCTCAAACGAGGGACAGAACTCTTAACATTGGCCGAGGTACCAGTACTATGTGTATCCTCTGAAGGCATAACAGGAACAAGCTCCATGATAGTCAAAACGAGACGAAAGTACGATGTTGTCGTGTTCAATGTTGCTACCGAAAGCCTATCATCCACGCTCGTGTTGAGGGAGAAGGTACGAGTCTCCAGCTGTCGACGGTAGGTTCGGCTTTGAAGATAGATTTATGGAAACGTTAGACATGTAGACCACAGGGATCCCTAGTATCCTGGAGTATCTCTTGGAGAGATGATCTGACTACTGACGCCGACATTTGTGCAGGTCAGGCTTCATCTGACATATCTTAGCAGAGCTCACAAGTATAACTGCATAATCAACGACAATCCGAACACAAGGGATAAGAGTCAGACTTTGCTATGAAGTGGAGACTGATCGCCGAGGGGACTGCTCGTCCATTATGAAGAATAACTATCCCAAACAAGAATATAAGTGGGCAAGATGAAGCAAGAAGATGACACACAAATGAATAATGCTTACAAGGCAAAAAACAAAGTGTATTCCCTATTAATAACAACACGTCCCAACTGTGTTGCGATTTGAAAAAGAATGGGTTCACTGGAATAGACACGTGATCAGCGCAAGTAGGTCAACCAGTTTGCATAGCGCGCATGACCCAGATCTGGGAGGTGACCGTGGCAATGTGAGGTATGTATGGATTTAGAAACTTGAATATGCACAGTATGAGATAGGATAAGTTAAAAAATTATAATATTTTTTAACATCAAGACTAATATTTAATCTGTTATAATGGGGATATGGGGCTATTACAGTATTGTGGTTACTTCATGGTACTAGAAAAGAACCGAGAGGGAAAATACTATTATTTTGACAAACAGGGCTATGTTCGCTCATCAGGGGTTCATCGTGTGTAGGTCAATTTTTGGTGAGTGATAAAGATACTTGAACTGGTCCTACAAGAATAGTAAAATGCCTTAGAATAAACATATTAATTAACCTAAGTCGCACCTGGAAAACGTACTGGGAAAAATATTTCACTTGCAATATATGTCAGTTTAGGATACAGTGCTTAAGTCACAACAAATTCATTCATCTTGTTTTGTTCTTTGTCAAACTTGCTCCATAAATAGTGTACATAAGACATGTTATATTGTTCTTTATTGCTATTTCAGTAAATACATTCGTCTGTAAAAGCAACGGCTCGGATAGAGAACCACTTCAGGGTAAGACCAACGAATCTAATCAAGAAATGTCCCAGATCACTCCACAGGAGTCTAACAAGCAGGCCAATACCATCTTCCCGAGGCAAGAAAGATAACTGACTATAAAAGTCCAGTTTCCACGCTTGTCGAACTAGGCAGGGATTATGGAGTTACATTTTGGCTGGGCTAACGAGTCTATGCATAGTCCAATCAAAATCGCGAACCGAAATCGAAATCCGGTTCGTAAACTGTCATGCAGAGTTCAGTCGATTGCAGGATTTGCAAAGCATGTGCATCGCCAACTCGTTGTCAACAGATATTTTCCAAATCTTTTCATGTTTTTAATCAAGGTGCTCACGTGATTTGATGTACTTCGCAAAGTAAGAACCGTTTTATCACAAAATAGATCTTGATGGTCGATCAGACCATCTTGACTGGGCGCCACCATTTTGTTTGAAGCAAATGCATGTGACACGAGAGGTGGAATCTGATTGGTCCACATGGGAGAGGCATAGAATGGACATAACTCGTAATAGCCACTGGTGGCGCTACAATCGAGCCCAGGAATTCCAGCCAAGTTCGGCAAGGGTTGAAACTGGACTTTTATAGTCAGTTAACTCTCTTGCCTCGGGAAGATGGTCAATACTGACTTGTTCTTTCTCAACCAATACACTCGCAAAAACGACACCTGTGCTTCATTACCATTTGCATGAGCTGATTCCCTCTGGGAATTAAATCTTCTTTTACATATGTTACATACTCATATTCAAAAAGAATGAAAATGATTTGTACATGTACGTATACATGAATTGAAACTGAACCTCAAATACATTGCGAGGAGAATGCATTTGTGCTGTAACAATTTATTAACCCGTTTGTACTCTGTTTCAGTGCGTACACTACATGAAATAACCAACAAAACACCTCACTGCATCAAGACACAGTCCCTCTCTAAAGTTCTCAGAAAATGCCAAAGAAACAATAAATGCGTGACCATCACTGGCCTCCCAGGTGATGGTAAGACAACTTTGGCCTACATGGCACTGAGAGAACTTCAACACCATTCTGAAGTGTTTGCAATAAAATCTGCCAAGGAATATTTCACCATCACGTCTGTTAAGTGCTCCAAAGATGCATGTACCTACATCATGATAAATGATGTTTTTGGGATGTGTGTGTTCCAGAAGGAGAGTCTCAAAGAATGGAGTGACGTTTTGAAAGATGTCTTATTTGATCGATTTGAAAGGAGACATGATCCAAGGCATATCAAACTTCTTCTTGTTGGCAGATCCAATGTATTTCAAGAAGCTAGGGGTCACTTAAGAAAATTTGAGGCCCTCGTGATTGCTGAAGACAATCTTGTTGACCTAAGTTCTCCATCTTATAAACTGTCCTTTAAAGAAAGAGTACAGATCTTTGAAGTTTACAGTGAAAAACGGATTGATGAACAAACAAGGGATGAAGTATGTGCTTTGTCCACCCCACATGGATTCCCAAACTGCTGCGTAATGTTTTTCAGCATGATGAAGCAAAGGAAGTTAAACCTGACTGAGTTTTTCACAAATCCAATTAGGTTTTTGATGCAAACTACAAAAGTACTCATTGCTGAAAACGCTTCATATAAGCGGTTATTTAAGGAAATAATCCAAATGGATGGGAAGCTGGACCATGCGACAATCGGGCAAAGGAAGCCACTTATGAAAGATGTGGAGAGGAGGAAGGCAGTTAATGAACTGAGAGGAAGTTTCATTGAAGAACAATATGACTGTGTTGTGTTTAAGCACCCCTCGATATTTGAAACTGTTTCTTTGGCTATAGGAACAATTGATCCCCTGTTTGTCATCGAATGTTGTAGCATGCAATTTTGGAATCATCAGTTAAGACTAAAGCGTACAGATGCTGAACACACCAAGCAATACATATTGCAAATTGGAAGAGAATACATTGCAGACATCACTCAACGTGTTGCGAAGGAACTCAACAGGGGAAACTTGAGATACACACTTAGGCTTGATATATTCAATGATAAAGACTTTGTTGAAGGCATTTTTCAGTTCATTAAAGACCACTACAACTGGGAGGAGCTGTTATACTCCCGATGGGTGAAAAACATGCCATCACACCTTGAAGAGACCCGTCCACCAACGTCTATTCCAAAAGCACTTTTGGGCACTGGATCTACAACACTGATAGACAAAAAATCATTCCTGTTCCTCTGCACTAGCTGTACCTCCGAGCACCTACTGAGGCTCATTCATGAAGCATTTCAACTTCCCAAATTTGCAGTTGAGAACTTGCTATTTGGCGCATGCCAAAACAATGCAGAGAGTTCTGTCACGTTCATTTTTACTCATTTCCCAAATGTCAATGTCAACATTGTGGCTCCAGAAGGAGATACACCTTTAATTGCTTCTTCAGTCACTGGAAACATCAACATTTTGGATCTCCTGATGAAGCATGGTGCAAATCCTAATGCTACCAATCGATGGAATTCGACTCCCCTTCATTATCTCTGCGCCAGGGGACATTTAAAGGGTGTACAAATGATGATCCCAAAGATCGAGGACATCAACAAAGTTGGACATAATGATAATACAGCACTTCATGAAGCAGCCAGGCATCAGTCAGATCGTAGCCAGGCGTGTGTACAGCTGCTAATAGAAAGCAACGCTGAAATTAACCTGAAAAACAATCGTGGTGCCACGCCATTGCACGAAGCTGTTATGTCAAGCAACAGTGAGACGGTGAAATACCTTCTTGAAGCAGGGGCCTATCCTCATTCAGAGGACAACAGCAAAACAAGTCCATTGATGAGCGCATCTCTCAGTGGAAGCTTTGACATCGTTGAAGTCCTTCTTAACAGAAAAGCAGACATAATGAAACAGGATGTGTATGGATATACTGCTCTCCACCTTGCTTCAAAAGCTGGCCACAAGGATGTCGTGCGCATTCTACTACAGAGAGGTGCAGACATGAATATGTTGAACAAGGACAAGAAAACAGCATTTCACCTTGCTTGTCAAAACGGAAATGAGGAGAGTGTGAAGATATTGATAGACTTTCATGCCGACATTCACCACAGGGATTGGAACACATCGCCTTTTCATTTAGCTTGCTACAATGGCCATGACGGTACTGTGCGCATCCTTCTTGATGCAGGAGTGGACATTGAAGACAAAGACAAAGGAGAAACACCTTTGGTCATTGCTTGCAAAGCACGGCGACTACAACTTCTCGAGTTCCTCGTGGACAGAAATGCAAATATGAATATTTTAGATTCAGATCTAAACTCTCTCCTTCATATAGTTGCACGTCACGTGCATCGTGGCCATAGAGATATCACAGAAATTTTACTGAATCAGGGTATGAATATCAATGCAACAAACAAACATAGTGAGACACCCTTGTTCCTTGCTTGTGAAAGAGGGCACGTTGACCTTGTCAGATTACTTGTATCAAAGAAAGCAGACTTAAGTCAAAGTAACACCAATGGTAAGACTCCATTACACGAAGCATGTTATCCTGTTCATGCTACAACTGTACCAAAGGCAAAACAAGACATCACCCTTATCTTAATCAACGCAGGAGTCTGTGTAAATGTCCAAGACAAATCTGGGCAGATTCCTCTGCATTGTGCCTGTGATCGTGGCTACCATTTCGCAGATGTGCCAGATTCACAAAAGTTCCTCAGGGAGCTGCACAATGCTCAACTGCATAAGGTGATGTACCTGCTTAAACACGATGCCAACATAAACTGTCAGGACAATTCAGGACGTACACCTCTTCATAAAGCATGTGATCCACCAGAGCTTGCCTTCTTTGTGGGTGACCATGCCGAGTACAAGGAAAGATATTACATGATGAGGGCAGAGCTAGTGAATGCTTTGATTCAAAGTGGAGCCGATACTAACATTTATGATAAGAAGGGGATACCATCACTTCATGGTTGGTTTGAAAGGAATCTTGGTGGCGTATATACTCATACACACTGAATCGTGTTTAAGTGCTACAAATATGAGTACCTGAGCACTTCCAGATAAAACTGTTTCTGGTGATCCTTAACATTGTTATTTCAAAGTCCATACGCTTTCCTGACTGCACCTTGTATATTCAGGTAAACCTCTGTGTGTACTGTGGATTTGAATCAAGTTATCGTAAATTAACATTACAACACTACACACAACTTGCATTATCACATTAATCCATCTTCTCCAATCCACATTTTGTTACTTCAAATCTACTTTGTCATAAAGAGATGTCCTGTTTGTAAATTGAGGAAAATTGTGATCACAAAAGCCACTGAGTCAATCAGTTTAGTGATTTAGCAATAGAATAAGTTAGTTTTTTTACGACTTTCAAGAACTTCAGATATGTCATTGGGTATCAGCTTGATGTGTGAGGAACGTTGAGGAGATGCAGGTTGTAGTCATTTACCACTTGGTGAAACCCACCAGAACGTTCATGGTGCTGATAAACCACTCATCATAATCAGAGTAAATCTGGTATTCAAACCCATGATTCCAGGATATGGCACAGATGACGGACTCCACACATCAAATTATGGCACACCTAAGGAACTCTAAACATCAAATACTGGCACATTGGTCGACTGGGCGAACTGTGAAAACTTTAACTAAAAGTAGAAATAATTGTTTCAGTGTCTAATATGCCTACTGATGAAGTCATTTGTAATGTTTTTACCCTTTAATTACATAATATTGACAGTGCCGGGTGACCTCGCCTAGATGAACACTACCAAGCTAAATGTCATTCTTTCCCGATGAACGTTAGTATGTCAGTATGATTATGTTGTCAATCAAGCGTAGAGAGATTCAAAACTACTTTTAGGGAATTCCTCAATGTCTAAAAATAGGGTCAAATAGAGATGGTATCATCATATGACCATTCCTTTTAGACAGATCATGTGTACATGGTGGGTGACTGAAATGAAGTGTCCATGAGGAGTTACAGCAGAGAATGCTCTAACCGCACTGCCGCAAGCGGTAATTCTCACCATCAGCTTATCCAGCCTTAGTATTACTCGAACACACACCCATATTAATGCATTTTAAGCATCCACAGGGTCTGCCTTTCATTCCAATTCCAACTTAATTGGGTGCATCTTCTACTTCAAGTGAGTGAGTTTGATTTTACGCCACTTTTAGCAATATTCCAGCAATATCACGGCGGGGGACACCACAAAAGGGCTTCACACATTGTACCCATGTCGGGAATCAAACCCGGGTCTTCGGCATGACAAGCAAACGTTTTAACCACTAGGCTACCTGACCGCCCCTCTACTTCAAGTGAATGAAGCCGCCATTTAATGACTTTTGTAAGACCAAGGGATGTAATTGCCAATGGATAATTTGGGACTGATGACATCGAGACAAAAGCAACTCGCTTCGTTGATATAGTTAGCTTTAAATATTTAAGTTTGGTGTCTGTATGGTATGTTTTTTTAAGATTTATGTATCTGTCAATAAAAGGATTCAAGTTGTATTTGTTGACGTTATTTAACTTGATGAAGACAGTGCCTCACATTAGCAAATGTGCAATGAAGCGCTCTGCACATGGTGGGTTCTTCATTATATATTGGCTTACTTGAGTCCTTTGATGCAACAGTTAGATTTATATAAAACATTGCAATAGACTGATATGTTTCAGATTTTTATGAAAACAAAAGTACAGTAAGGTACAGAAGCTCACCAATACCACATCTGTCCAAAGAGTTAATATTTTTTTTGCTGTCATCAGCTTTATTTTAGCAATATCACACTGGCTTAATAATAATGAAATTTGGGCCTTGCAGGCTGAAAGCATAGAAACAGTTCATTGAGTTGGGTATGATGACAAAATCAGCCAGGTCACACATACTGTAACCACCTGATCTTCAAATGGCAAGCATAGGGTAATAGGGACCTATAGTGTAAGCTGCACTGAAACCCTGAAGGTGAGCGAGTAAGTGAGTCAGTTTGGTTTAAGGCCGCTTTTAACAGTATTCCAGTTATATCAGGGCGTGTCAGCTTAATGTGGGAGGAAAGCATCGAAGTGATGCATGTCTCAGACATTTACCATTTCGGTGAAACCAACGAGCACGGGTATTGTGCTGACAAACCTAGAAACATAATTGGGGCAAACTGCAATTTGAACCCACAATCATAGGTTTCTGTCGTGCCCAAGGGACGCAACTCTGCACACAGAATCGCGACTCCGCCACCCGTGTCCCCCTGAAACCTTGAAGGACTGTCGGCTATGCAAGTCAGTATTTAAAAAAAGGAAAGATGCAAAAAATACAAGTATGTTTATCATTCAGTGAAGATAAAACATAATAATAATAATAATAATAATAAAGTCCATTTCTTCAGCGCCATTTCTGTCTACGTAGTCGCTCATAGCGCCTCACACAGGGTCATAGACACATCTAAAGAGATAAGTCTTTAGTTTTGGCTTGAAAGTGCCCAGAGTTGGAGATTGCCTAATTTCCACTGGAAGGGAATTCCAGAGCACAGATGCAGTGTGAGCAAAGGTTCTGTTGCCGAATGCTTTGAGTGAGACCATAGGGACACTAAACTGGAGTTTATGTGCTGATCTGAGATCTCGTGCTGGCTGGTGTAGGGTAAGAAGTTCACTCAGATAGGAAGGTGCTGTACTATAGTAGCACTGGTATGCAATGCACACGACTTTGTATTCAATCCTAGATCTTATTGGAAGCCAGTGTAATGATTTGATATTACTTTAATTTTAATATAGGAGTGACATGTGCACGCTTATTTCGTCTACATATCAATCTGGCAGCAGCATTCTGCACACGTTGCAATTTGCTGCATAGATCCTGTTTGATATTAATAAGCAGACTGTTAGCATAGTCCAACCTGGATAGGATAAGTGATCTCACGAGCTGATGTGCCTCATCGTATGTCAACATGGGTCTTATCTGACTGATATTTCGAATGTGGAAGTAGCAACTTTTGCAGATAATGTTTACTTGACAATCCATGGTCAGGTTTTACAGGACACTTTCTGTTTGTAAAAGCTCCCAAGAACACATTTACAGTATTTGGATTATGCATTGAAACAATCTCAGCTTTTAGTTTCATCTATGACCATGTTTGTTTTGAGATCAAAACCTCCTCTTCAAAGTTATATTGACACTATCTGGCTTAACATCAAATGATCATTCAGACAGTGATTAATTTCAGAATTCATAAATACTTCCATCAGGAATAAGGACAAAGTCACATGGGTATACAATTAAGGTGACCTGAGGTGAAGTGAGTTCAAATGGGGTTAACGTTTTATTCATGATTATTTTATTCATAGCGACATGCATGCACAAGTGTGTGTATGCTTGTACTAACTGGACTTATGACAGTTTAACATGCATACCCCACTCAGACACATACTGACTCCGAACCAATCAGTCATTTATTTATGCCTGGGTACACTCCAAACAGAGGCCAGTGTTCTGGAGCAGCAATCCACTTTTTAAGCAAGAAATACATAAACATATATAATTATTTGGTGTTAGACTACCAAATGCAAATTGTTTCATTAATAATTGGGATTCATCAACTATGCTGCATGTCATTTGCACCCACACAACCCTTGTCTGTGAAAACAGATGTAGCCAGGCTTGGTCAGGTACATTAGCTCACCTGGGGTGTCAGGAATCAATTACCCCAAGGAGTTGGGCGGACGAGGAAGGGGGAACAAATTTTTCTCAATGGAAGATCATTGAACAACACTTAACTATGAACACACAATGCAATTTAGTACTTGGTCAAAAGTAACAAATGTTATATTTGGAATAACACATTCTTTGTAAAGCACAGATTCTCGTACTTTTATAGGTAGAGTCCGGTCTGGGATTTGAACCCACACTTAACTAGAACAAACACTGTAATGAACAAGTTAATACATGTTTGCTGTAAAAGGCGACTATGCTTGTCGTAAAAGGCGACTAACGGGATCGGGTGGTCAGGCTCGCTGACTTGGTTGATGCATGTCACTGATCCCAATTGCGTGGATCGATCTTCATGATGTAAATCACTGGATTGTCTGGTCCAGACTCGATTATTTACAGACCGCCTTCATATTGCTGGAATATTGCTGAGTGCGACGTAAAACAAGAAACCAAAACATGCCATTATATCCCAATAAAAGTAGGGCTTGTATGAACCCAGCTGCATTCCGATCATTGATCATTGATACCTACAGTTTAACAAAACACAGAAACACAACGTATTATATACACATTTATTAATGTGATGTATCAGTTTCAGCGGTCCTTAGCTGTGACCGAGTCAACATGGCCCGCATGTTTACAGTTGCATTCCTCTTCTTATCATCAAAATAATTCAGTCAAATTCAGTTGTATCTTAAACAACCAAATTACAGATTTGCAAATATGTTTCAAGAGCTATTAAAGCCAAGTCAGGATGAACACTTAAATATCACACAGGGTCACCTGTATCAGAGCAATATGTTCTGCATACCAAAAAGGCACAAAATATATATGTCTGGATTTCGAAAGCAGATTGCATAGGATTATTATTTTCAACCATTTTGTAATCTATAGCATAAAAATGATAACAAAATGTATGCCAAACCCTATTTTTGTTCCATAAGATATTAATCAGTTAAACGAGAAATCTCCGCAACACTTCAAATGTTCATACATTACAAATGAAGCTAGGAAGGCTACTCTGAATATCAATGTAAGCTCAAGGAATATTTCTTATACAATATCCTTGATGCAATCGTGTTAGCCTAGGTTTCACACCCTCTAACATCATATTATAAGTAACATCATGGTATGTATGTTAACATAGGCCTAAGACACATGCTATAAACACCCACCATTTCAGTGAAAACCCAGAGCAAGTCTAGAATACACAGCCCAAGGATCATACACAGGGCAAATCTGGAACTTTAAATCTACAACCCACTAAAAGAACACAATTCTGTACCCTAGTCCAGTGGTCCATCCATACCCCTACCTGACGAAAACAAAACTAATACGATCTCTTAAGCAAGCAAAACAATGACTGAAAATTTGATACAGAATATCCACAAATAGTTTTATTAAAACACACATTCATCAAATAAATATATCTGAGTGGGTAACATCTTGGCACTCCATTCTATACATGTTATAAGAGTAGACTATGTACAGGCCTTGTGTCCAGCACTAGGGGGTCAAGATCAAATCAAGAAAGGTCCGGTCCACCTTCAAGTCACAGAAACCAAGCATAATAATTTTGCAAAACATAAATAGGACTTGGTTCTGACAATACCATAAATTTTGACAGAAAACACAGATGTACCGCGTGCTTATTGTACAAGGTGATCAATGTATCCGGAATAAAAAACTATGCATAGTCCAGTAAAAAATTTATCAATATCATTTGCATGAAACTTGACCATGCTATCGGGCAAGTTTCAACTGAATCATATTGCAAATGTTAACTGTTATTGATTTTCATAAAATTGATTCCATTCAATGAGGATTAATAACAATAATACAACGTTAACCTTATTTTCAAAAAGTAAGTTAACAATCTGATTGGTTCCCAGTGAACAGGTGGACTACAGGGACCTCCTCTGAAATTGATCGGCAATATACAGGCCCTGATCACAGCAATCACAGATAGCTCCCAGGTTAAAAACTGAAATTAATCACAGATTTCAGTGAAAATACATTCATGATGTGTCTTCTTTGAGGAATAAATATACACCCAGCTCCAGGATCTCTGTTCTAGTATGTACATCTCAAACAAAGCTGTGTACAGGAATTGAGCAGAAAAGTATGACTATTTGCAGAAGAAAATTTGCGTGTTTAAGCCCATTTGCAACAATGGCAATAATCTTATCTGCTCAACTAAAATTATCATAATATACTGACATCTCTTTATGAAATAGAACAGATGAATATTTGGCATCGAAACATGACTGACATTAAGATTAAACCGTATGTTTGCTGGTCCTGAGGTTAATAATTCAGAAGTAAAACAAATTTCTGTTTGATGGCAAGTATGGTGATCATAGACCTCCACTTCATATCCATATTGTCAAAATTCTGCTGAATGCATTGATCCACCTGCATTTCTAGAAAAAAAACCTCCAAAAACATCCTTGTTTTAAAACTTATATTTTTTCAGTATAAAAGACTTGAAATCAAACCTTGCATTTGGCATTCTCTATCTTGGTCTATTGATTTTATTAATGTGTCAACTAGAATTTGGGTATGAGATTTCTAAAAAATTTAGCTGGGTATCTGGGGTACAATATGATTTATGTGTATATTATAATGGCACGTGTGACAGAGGTGACCCTTGACATAAGGAAATCTGTGGAACTTCACAGAAAATTCTCATCCCTGTATACTGATTGTTTACGCAAATTCATTTTCACATTGTTTAACAGTAAAAACAATTCCAGTAAGTCACAAGAACATTTGATAACATAAACTGAAATGATAAATATCTTACTAATAACATGTAATTTGAAAACTTAAGCAGTTCAAATTCCCGCAAAATACCAACAGCTTCATGTCCTTACGATGTCCTCAAACAGATCATGTTTGTTTGTTTCGTTCTTTGTCGTTTGCACGCACTCAGCAACTTTCCAGCTATATTCCGGCTCAAACAGAGCAATTTATATGTGTAAAACAATAATTCTGTAAAAAGTATCTGTGACTTAAATACTTGAGCATAATTTAAGAAGGTAAAACAATTTCTAAAAAAACACTAAAATATACTTTTGACACAATCCTCTCACCTCAAATGTCACCTAGATTAAAATGTTAATACAAACCACAACATCATTTTGTCCCTTCAAAATCAAACACATTTGAGAGACAAGAAGAAATACTTGCTAAATGTTAGTATTAGAATAATGCAGTTATTTATTGTGCATGTTCTTGAAAGAAACAAAACAGTATCCTTTAGAAACTTCTTTTGTAAATAATGTAAACATTTGTGAGTGAGTGAGTGAGTGAGTGAGTATGGTTTTTTCGCCGCTTTTAGCAATATTCCAACAATATCACAGCGGGGGACACCAGAAATGGGCTTCACACATTGTACCCATGTCGGGAATCGAACCCAGGTCTTCGGCATGACGAGCGAATGCTTCAACCACAAGGCTATCCGACCACCCCTAAAAGTTGTCATTGATAGATGTATTAAGTCAGAGCTAAAACACCATAGAGGCTATTAAGAATAATTAAATAAAATGGGGTTTTATCAATGTGTTTGGGATGATAAATTTTGTAACAGTTGAACATATTAATCCATCAATGATATGTAGAACATGATGTGAAAGCTACCACCAAAATACAGAAGTTACGGGAATAACAAAGTTGCAATCTGTGTATTAAATCATGTTGGCTTTCATCATCTCATATCTCCCACTGATCTCAACACGCAGTCTCTCAAACAATGATTATCTAAAAATATCTCCTCTCTTAACAACAATCTGGTGAAAGACATGGATGTTTGCTAGTCAGCAATACAATATGTACAACATAGCGACTATACCAAGGAAATCCTAATTCTAACTAAATGGGTGCACTTATCACCATACTCCTTGGAGAGACTTAGTAACATAACCCTGAGACTTATATTTGCTTTACCAGGTAGAAGCCTAAACTATATATTAATACGCCCCTATCAGGAAGCAATTCAACATGCCAGAGAATAATCAATTATCAATTACCAATTATCTGCTGAAACAGATTCCATTTGGCATAAAAGGCAAAATAGTGATGAAAATCAGGTGTTTGCGAAAAGTGTAAGTAGGTTCCACTCTACCGCCAGCACCCGCCGCACTTGACATGAATGCTTCCTTGCAGAGCATAACATCAAGGCTTCATTTGAAATTAAAGATCATATTTTCAGATATGAGGGTGTTATTGTATATTCAATGCCCAGAAGTTCAGTTTTGGAATTGAAGCAGTTGGTGATTGTCATCACACACTCAGTATAACTTTACATCTGATATGCATAATGGTTATTGACAAGGAATATTGCTGTAGTATAGTATGTAAATGCTGTGAGACTGACATAGTCTCTCTTCAATGCAATGGCATCAACAAACAATGGCATCATCAAACTTCAACATTATTCAAACAATGGCATCATCAAACAATGGCATCATCAAACCCGACATTATTCAAACAATGGCATCATCAAACAATGGCAACATCAAACTCGACATTATTCAAACAATGGCATCATCAAACAATGGCATCATCAAACTTTGACATTATTCAAACAATGGCATCATCAAACAATGGCATCATCAAACCCGACATTATTCAAACAATGGCATCATCAAACTCGACATTATTCAAACAATGGCATCATCAAACATTGACATTATTCAAACAATGGCATCATCAAACTCGACATTATTCAAACAATGGCATCATCAAACAATGGCATCATCAAACTTTGACATTATTCAAACAATGGCATCATCAAACAATGGCATCATCAAACAATGGCAACATCAAACTCGACATTATTCAAACAATGGCATCATCAAACAATGGCATCATCAAACTTTGACATTATTCAAACAATGGCATCATCAAACAATGGCATCATCAAACCCGACATTATTCAAACAATGGCATCATCAAACTCGACATTATTCAAACAATGGCATCATCAAACATTGACATTATTCAAACAATGGCATCATCAAACTCGACATTATTCAAACAATGGCATCATCAAACTTTGACATTATTCAAACAATGGCATCATCAAACTCTACATTATTTAAACAATGGCATCATCAAACTCGACATTATTCAAACAATGGCATCATGAAACAATGGCATCATCAAACTCGACATTATTCAAACAATGGCATCATCAAATTTTGACATTATTCAAACAATGGCATCATCAAAGTTGACATTATTCAAACAATGGCATCATCAAACTCGACATTATTCAAACAATGGCATCATCAAACTTTGACATTATTCAAACAATGGCATCATCAAACTTTGACATTATTCAAACAATGACTTCATCAAACAATGGCATCATCAAACTTTGACATTATTCAAACAATGGCATCATCAAACAATGGCATCATCAAACTCGACATTATTCAAACAATTGCATCATCAAACTTTGACATTATTCAAACAATGGCTTCATCAAACTTCAACATTATTCAAACAATGGCATCATCAAACTTCAACATTATTCAAACAATGGCATCATCAAACTATGGCACAATCAAACGATGACAACGTCAAACAATAGCATCATTAAACAATGATATCGAACAATGGCATCATCACACAATGGCATCATCCAACAATGGATAATGTCATATACTTTCCCATAACTGAAACAGAAAATTCAACTAAAGCTAATTTTGTGGTCAAATGTCACAATGCATTTTGAAGCAGACCTGCATTACTGAAAAATATGAAGTCAAAAGCCAAAGTTTCAAGATACAGATTAACATATGCAAGTTGAAATAACACAATTCCCTTTGGGTATATCACTTACATTGATCTACATCCATTTAAGTTATAGTCAAAGATAATTTCTGAAGACATTAACAACAACTATTTTTCATACTTTATGTGGATTTTTCTGAATGGAGCATTAACTTCATTCTACGTCATCAAAATGACAGTGTTTTAATGTTTTATCAAACACATTGTCATCCTCGTGAGTAAATAGAGATTAACTGGACAACAGGCCACAGCCTGTCCTGTATGGGTCAGACTTCTTCAGACTACCGTTCTCTGGCATAAGGCAATAGCCATAACAGACCCCTGAGTAAACTGCAAATAGTATCATGTGGTATGTGTGGATATCCATTCATTCATTCATTAATCTCATTATGTTGCATGCTTTTGCTTAAAATGCCCATCTGAGAAAATATCAAACATTTCAAAGCATTTACCGATAACCATTGTTATTTTATATTAGTCGGATGAAATTTACAGCTATCCATTGTTATTTTATATTAGTTGGATGAAACTAGTTTCTAAACCATCAACTACCAACACTATACACAATGTCCTGGCAAGCTATAACTTGGTTTTTCAAATATCAATAGAAAGTTCATTTGAAAGTTGACACTAATACATTTTTTTCCCTACATCTTACGTTGAATTTTGAGCAAAACATTTTGTAAAACAAGTAATAAAAAACAATAGTCCTTTTCTGTGTTGACCAACTATAACAACAAACATGGACTAAGCTGCTGAATTATAAACTATACTGAACAAAAAATGTTAGGGATCATGACTATTTTGGCGATTATTATTAAGAAGTTGTGTACTCAGTTTTTACCACCCAATATACTGTAAAACGTGAAATTAATGCGTCTCCAAAAGAATGCGACCGCTGGCCCCTAGCCAAAAATGCGACTCAATATGAATGCGACACCCCCCTCCTCTCAAGCATCAGTGGATTTATATCTAAACAAAATGTCCTCTGTCAGGTTTACAGGAGAATCCTCACCTTAATCCAACCTTACATTAATCCAATCACACACCAAATAGCACCGCTTATTAGCGCTGAGTAGAGTACTTCAGTTAAAACAATGCGTGTGTGCTGGCTCGTGTCGGCCTTTGATGCAGTCGCAAAGAGCAAAGACACCGTGTTGGGTGGCGTCTGTCTGGACTTGCAGGTGTGATCAGTGATGACATGAGTGAGTAGAACGCTTGTCTTGACCCCAGCAGTGACAATTCACAGGATGTAATTAGTGTTTGAATGACATTGTTTATATACTTGTTACAGGTGCTGCTGAATAAACATTGATGTGGAATACATACTGGTTTGTTTTCAGCGTATGTCTAAGTTGGTATTTCTGCTATCCAAAATGTCTTATTTTTGGGTTGATATAAATGCGATGTTTTAATAATGCGAGAGACCACTTGCATTTTTCGCATTTAATTCATGCTCACGTTAATTTCACGTTTTACAGTATCCCAAAATATATTCATGATCCCTAACTTTCTTTGTTCAGTATAGAATAGCAAAGACTCTCATGGAGAGACCATGTTGTCAATACAACAAAAGACTTGTATATGAATAACGGCAACTCTCCAAAGTGCACCCATTTAGGTAGAAGCTGAATTCAGTAACAGTAACGTAATGCAAATCAATGCAATATGTCTCTCGGCCAATATCACAACTCGGCACATTTCAACATACAAGCTGTCACCTCACACAACCTGAGTCAAATTGACTCTCTCCAATATCTGTAAATACTCCTGGAAACAACTGGGAAGTATGTCCAATAACTACTGCTGATGTCATACCAACTTTAACATTCAGGGTTTGATACAACATCAAAATACGTGTCCAGTACGCAGAAAAAAACATAGTTCATTGTACCAAATTCTTGACAAGTAATATAAAGGTCTTGTAACTGCAGTAATTATCAAATCATACATTCAGAGCTCCAGATAACTTTTTGAGCAATTGAGTTTTTACTCTTGGGTTTCTATTTTAATTGGGTTATTTCATTATTTTACGCAATTAAGCAGCTTATCTGTAGCTCTGTACATTCCTGAAATGAACTTCTACCAACCCAAAGGGTACCTTTGACATAAGTGAAACTGCATCAGACTAATGGGCAGGTGCTAATTTCAATCCCTACTCACAGTACACGCCATTTCTTTTCAGGACTCATATTTCCTGTAAGGACCCATGAAACTGATTAATGGGGGTCCCTTTGACCCTAGTTATGTAGGTCAAGGTCAAATCAAGCATTTGCTGAGCCATACTCAAGCTCCCTAATCACACTGACCTATATGTGACCTGCAAAGCAGCATGTCAGTTTAGTTAAGTGAGTGAATATTGCTTAACGCCGCATCAGCAATTTTGCAGCTATTCGCGGCAATCAGTTTAGTTAAGTAATGGCGTACTGTTAAACTGTTCATGTTGAATACTGCTTGCAATATTGCTTCAGATTACATTCAGCATATCTAACATAGCCAGGTTCACTGTTGTTTCCTGGATGAAGAATGCTGACATGTCAAAATAATATATTACTAAGTACACCGTACATGCAGTGAGCAAAATGCTTATAATAACACTTGCAAAATACTGTCCAGCTAAATGATACAAGACAATTCAACCTTTTTTTTCTCTGATTTGCTGCTGAGACGCTTTTCCCTACAGCTTTGCAATGATCACATAGGCAAACACAAATCACAAATCACTGTATATAATGTAGATGTAAGATTCACTGTTGCCCTGTAGTGCATCCCCTGCAGCGTCGGTCATGTTGGAGCAGGTCAAGAAAAATACAACATGTAGCTGCCGGACAGCAATCACAGAATTTAGCTGTAACCATGGTAACAGGATATAACTTCACTGCCTAGAGAATACTATCATCAACTTTCGCCATCAGCTTCTTCATAAACCTGAAATAAGCAAAATGCAGAGTTTGTATTGAACACTCCATTGTCAGAGACTAGAAACATACAGTAAGGACTAAGGGACTGGTAATTTTTATAGGGGGGGGGGAGAGAGACAAAAATAACTGTAAAGAACAATACACAATCAGTGACATCGTTCAGCGCAAGAATGAAACACAAGCCCCATCCATCCTGATATGCTAATCAGGAAACAGCAGCCAGGGCGTAAAAAGCACAAGCATGAAATACTATATCCCCCTTTTACCGCCATTTCCAGTGAATGTCAAAGTCATTGCAATGGAAGGGGCACGGGTGGCCCAGTCGTCTAAGGCGCCGCGATTCGCTGTGCAGAGTTGCGTCTCTTGGGCCAAAAACCTATGATTGTGGGTTGGAATCCCGGTTCGCCCCGATTATGTTTCTAGGTTTGTCAGCACCATACCCGTGCTCGTGGGTTTCACCGAAGTGGTAAATGTCTGAGACCTGCATCACTTCGGGCTTTCCTCCCACATTAAGCTGACACGCCACTATATAACTGGAATAATGTTAAAAGCGGTGTTCAACCTAACTCACTCACTCATTGCAATGGAAAATCTAAAAACAATTTTTTTTAAATCCCAAACTATCAAAAACACCACTTCACCACTAGACTTATCTATGTGCCAAGTTTGGTTATCTCTCATGGTTTTGAGAGAACGAAACGTGACGTACGAATGGACGGATGGACAGGACCCATTCCTATATCTCCCTTCCAGTTCGTGGTGGGGGATATAAATTGCTTGATGTAATCACTTGCAATCTACTTACTTCCCTGTCGACTACCACTTTACCATTACTTAGAAGGCAACTCTGTAACAGATCATTTGTGGGTACCAGTAAAAATACAATTAATTTCTAACTAGAATCCAGACAGGACATGTGATCAGTCAGAATGTTGCTAAAAGGATGGAATGTTGACTTCTAGAGCAAAGGCCTACCTTGGAGAAGGGGTGGTCCTGTAGCCTGCTAGCTGTCCACCTGGCTTGAGGGTCATGCTGGAAGCAACACAATAGGAAATCCTTGCCCTCAGCACTTAGGTTCTCAGGGACAGACGGAGTCCCACCCATCCCCACCTTGAACATGATCTGGTAGTTGTTCTCAGCGTCGTGCCAGGGGCGCTAGCAACACACACATCACACGTAGCTTTCATTACAGGAAATAAGGAGTCATGCTGCCAGATCTTATCAGACAGAACACACTTCAAATTCTACTTGAGCAGGATGGATGTTATGTCAGGATATACAGACATGTACATAGATCTTAGGATATGTAAATCTTTCAAATCAACCATTCTTGTCTTTGACAGTCAGTCCGACATCAACAGGTAAAATCTCACTCTGCTCCAAAGCAAGTGCTTGTACAATATCTATTGGTGTGGTATTTAGATTTTATCATTTAACTAAAGCATTTATCCATGACATAAGCTTATGACATAAAAACATGTATGTCATACCCCAATGACATAAGTATGCAAATTATATATGCAAATTAGCTAACCGGAAGAGAGAGCGGTTTGATTTGAAACTATATATTATAAGTGAAGTTACACCAGAGATATAATCAGATTACACAGAATCGTTGTTGTTACCCTTATTAAAGTTTCAATTATTCTGCCAAAGTCTGTTCAAGTATTTTGTTTAAAATAATCCGAGGAACTTTTTTTCTCAGCGAATTGTTTATTTTGGTTTACATGGCTATGGAAAACATGTATCACTACGCACGAGTGAGAATACGCACGTAAGATTTCGACAAGTTGCTGATGTTAATGTTTAATGCAATTATTCCTTAATTTGGAAGCAAAAATGTGAAAATGATAAATAGAATTCATCACTCGTGTTTTTTAATATGGGAAATATCAACCTTGTCCCGTTAATTGGTATTTGCCTCGCCAAAGGCTCGGCAAATACCGATTAACTAAGACTCGGTTGATATTTCCCATATTAAAAAACACTCGGGATGAATCCTCTATATAGTTTAAAATTTTGGCTAGTGTCTCACACTATTTAGCACAGATGGCATATAGAACAATAGACTTCAACTCATTTGTGTACGAAGTATCCAGTCTCATGAAGATTAAGGGTTAGAATTGGTCTCCAGCAACCAATGCTTGTTGCAAGAGGCGACTAACGGGATCGGGTGGTCAGGCGCGCTGACTTGGTTGATGCATGTCATCGTATCCCAATCGTGTGGACCGATGTGCATGATGTCAATCACTGGATTGTCTGGTCTGGACTCAATTATTTACAGACTGCCGTAATATAGCTGCAATATTGCTGAGTGCGGTGTTAAACAACAAACAAACAAACAAAATATCCAAGCTTAAATTTTCATGTTCAGAAAACAAAGTAACTTGCAGCTGTGTAAGAAGCTCTCACCTTCCCGGTTGCCATCTCGATGACAACACAACCCAGACTCCATATATCAGCCGCACGGCCGCTGCCTTCCTTGTCATTCTGGGTGATCACTTCCGGGGCCATGTAGGCTGAAACATCAATCTACACTACAACCCTAGATATATGCTGGGGAGGGGAAACTGATCCAAGATCATTGCACTTATGTACTGATCTGTGTACGTGTGTGGCTGCTTGTGTTAGTCCGAACTAATGCTGTTTTGATAGTGCTAGTTCATTAAGATGTCATGTCTAGTTTTAACACGGATATCCTATTCAGACACAGTATACTGACTCAAAGCTGACCAGTCCTTGTTTAATCCCATAAATGTAATTCCCATACTTAAGACTATAGACTTGTGACAGCCGTAGCGTTAAGATGTTCGTAACTCCCATACTTTAACATAGAATTGTGACAGCCATAGCATTAAGGTGATCATAACTGCCATACTTTAACATAGACTAGTGACAGCCGTAGCGTTAAGATGTTCGTAACTCCCATACTTTAACATAGACTTGTGACTGCCGTAGGGTTAAGATGTCCTTGACTCCCATACTTTAACATAGACTAGAGACAGCCGTAGCATAAGATGTTCGTAACTCCCATACTTTACATAGACTTGTGACAGCCGTAGTGTTAAGATGTTCGAAACTCCCATACTTTAACATAGACTTGTGACAGCTATAGCGCTAGGCCTTGTACCACAAATGTCATCTAAGCACATGGTGGTGTGTAGCATTATCACTCACCCATTGTCCCCGCCAGACTGTTTATTTCACCCAACATGGTGGTGTGGTTCTTCAGCTTCACCGAGCACCCGAAGTCACCAACTTTCACGGTTCCATTGGACGTTAAGAAGATATTTGCTCCTGAAAGTGGAAGTACAAGAAATATGTTGCAAGAAACGTGCAGACACATAATGTGCATATTCATAATGCGCCAAATCTGTACCCTAAATCATGCTAAATTATTACCCGATCAATGGGTCAGTGTGCACTCTATTTTCGTTCTCAACTCCCTAGGGAGTATACAACTGACTAAACACAGTATACAATACAGCATCGTATGCTGCAGCCTGCTTCCACCCTAGCAAGGAGTTACCTTTGATGTCTCGGTGCACGATGCTGTTTTCATGGAGATGATTGACAGCGATAAGGATCTGCTTGGTGTATTTCCTGATGATGTGTTCCGGGAGGCCGATCTTCGCTGCCTCCTCCACAGTGCCGCAGTCGCAGTACTCCATGAAGATCAGCATCTCATCCTGAAACACACAAACATATGCTCACACAATGAAAGCACTAGTGCTTTCTAGTCAGCCCTTACAGGAAGCCAGAGTGTTTGCTAGTCAGCTCTTACAGGAAGCATGGGTGTTTTCTAGTCAGTTCTAACAGGAAGTGTGGGTGTTTTCTAGTCAGTTCTAACAGGAAGCATGGGTGTTTTCTAGTCAGCTCTTACAGGAAGTGTGGGTGTTTTCTAGTTAGCTCTTACAGGAAGCATGGGTGTTTTCTAGTCAGTTCTAACAGGAAGCATGGGTGTTTTCTAGTCAGTTCTAACAGGAAGTGTGGGTGTCTTCTAGTCAGTTCTAACAGGAATGTGGGTGTTTTCTAGTCAGTTCTAACAGGAAGCATGGGTGTTTTCTAGTCAGTTCTAACAGGAAGCATGGGTGTTTTCTAGTCAGCTCTTACAGGAAGTGTGGGTGTTTTCTAGTTAGCTCTTACAGGAAGCATGGGTGTTTTCTAGTCAGTTCTAACAGGAAGCATGGGTGTTTTCTAGTCAGTTCTAACAGGAAGTGTGGGTGTCTTCTAGTCAGTTCTAACAGGAATGTGGGTGTTTTCTAGTCAGTTCTAACAGGAAGCATGGGTGTTTTCTAGTCAGCTCTTACAGGAAGTGTGGGTGTTTTCTAGTCAGTTCTAACAGGAAGCATTGGTGTTTTCTAGTCAGTTCTAACAGGAAGTGTGGGTGTCTTCTAGTCAGCGCTTACAGGAAGTGTGGGTGTCTATTAGTTAGCTCTTACAGGAAGTGTGGGTGTTTTCTAGTCAGCTCTTATAGGAAGTGTGGATGTTTTCTAGTCAGCTCTTACAGGAAGCATGGGTGTTTTCTAGTCAGCTCTTACAGGAAGCATGGGTGTTTTCTAGTCAGTTCTAACAGGAAGTGTCGGTGTTTTCTAGTCAGCTCTTACAGGAAGCATGGGTGTTTTCAAGTCAGCTCTTACAGGAAGCATGGGTGTTTTCTAGTCAGTTCTAACAGGAAGTGGGGGTGTTTTCTAGTTAGCTCTTACAGGAAGCATGGGTGTTTTCTAGTCAGCTCTTACAGGAAGCATGGGTGTTTTCTAGTTAGTTCTAACAGGAAGCATGGGTGTTTTCTAGTCAGTTCTTACAGGAAGTGTGGGTGTTTTCTAGTTAGTTCTAACAGGAAGCATGGGTGTTTTCTAGTCAGCTCTTACAGGAAGCATGGCTGTTTTCTAGTTAGCTCTTACAGGAAGCATGGGTGTTTTCTAGTCAGTTCTAACAGGAAGTGAGGGTGTCTTCTAGTCAGCTCTTACAGGAAGCATGGGTGTTTTCTAGTCAGCTCTTACAGGAAGTGTGGGTGTTTTCTAGTCAGCTCTTACAGGAAGCATGGGTGTTTTCTAGTCAGCTCTTACAGGAAGTGTGGGTGTCTTCTAGTCAGCTCTTACAGGAAGTGTGGGTGTCTTCTAGTCAGCTCTTACAGGAAGCATGGGTGTTTTCAAGTCAGCTCTTATAGGAAGTGTGGGTGTTTTCAAGTCAGCTCTTACAGGAAGTGTGGGTGTTTTCTAGTTAGCTCTTACAGGAAGCATGGGTGTTTTCTAGTTAGCTCTTACAGGAAGTGTGGGTGTTTTCTAGTCAGCTCTTACAGGAAGTGTGGGTGTTTTCTAGTTAGCTCTTACAGGAAGTGTGGGTGTTTTCAAGTCAGCTCTTACAGGAAGTGTGGGTGTTTTCTAGTCAGCTCTTACAGGAAGTGTGGGTGTTTTCTAGTTAGCTCTTACAGGAAGCATGGGTGTCTTCTAGTCAGCTCTTACAGGAAGTGTGGGTGTCTTCTAGTCAGCTCTTACAGGAAGCATGAGTGTTTTCTAGTCAGCTCTTACAGGAAGCATGGGTGTTTTCAAGTCAGCTCTTACAGGAAGTGTGGGTGTTTTCAAGTCAGCTCTTACAGGAAGCATGGGTGTTTTCAAGTCAGCTCTTACAGGAAGTGTGGGTGTTTTCTAGTCAGTTCTAACAGGAAGTGTGGTGTTTTCTAGTTAGCTCTTACAGGAAGCATGGGTGTTTTCTAGTCAGCTCTTACAGGAAGCATGAGTGTTTTCTAGTCAGCTCTTACAGGAAGCATGGGTGTTTTCAAGTCAGCTCTTACAGGAAGTGTGGGTGTTTTCAAGTCAGCTCTTACAGGAAGTGTGGGTGTTTTCTAGTCAGCTCTTACAGGAAGTGTGGGTGTTTTCTAGTCAGTTCTAACAGGAAGTGTGAGTGTTTTCTAGTCAGCTCTTACAGGAAGTGTGGGTGTTTTCTAGTCAGCTCTTACAGGAAGCATGGGTGTTTTCAAGTCAGCGCTTACAGGAAGAACAAGTGTGTTCTAGTCAGATCTTTGGGGAAGCACAAGTGTGTTCTAGTGCAAAGGGTTCTGGGGACCTATTGTGGATGCATCTATCTGTAGAACCCCACAGTGACCATGTACAACATACCTTGTGCACCTCCACCCCATAGTATTTGACCAGGTGTTTATGCTGGTTGCCCTCAAAGTTCTTGATTTCATCAGCAATTTCCTTAAAACCCTGCTGGTCATTCGGCTGCATCTTCATCTGTAATCACAAACTCTTTTAGCTCCGAAGAAACAATAAATCTCAGCAGTAGCATGAGTACACCAGCATTTTCATTCCACACTGTTAGAACAATTCCCATATGTGACCTGTTTCACTTAGTTGTTTTTATATGCCTTCTGAGTGAGTGAGTGAGTGAGTGAGTGAGTGAGTGAGTGAGTGAGTGAGTGAGTTATTGGGTGGGTGGGTGGGTAAGTGAGTTAGCCGCTTTTAGCAATATTCCAGCAATATCACAGCGGGGGACACCACAAATGGGCTTCACACATTGTACCCATGTTGGGAATCGAACCTGGGTCTTCATTATGACGAGCGAAAGCTTTAACCACTAGGCTCCCCTACCACCCCTAATGCCTTCTGAAGTTCTGACTGTCTCAGAATATGTATGTAAACAAGAGATGTTTGATAGGTGAATTCAAATTCAACTATACTGAAGTGTATATTTGAAGAAAGCTCGAAAATATCAGATCTCACGATCAATCTGACTTCAGCCGTGAATTCATTTCAAGCTAGAGTCTTATATTCACATACCTCCATCATCTACATATAGTTATCTCCTATCTTACCTCCTTCAGTGCCATCAGCTCCCCTGTCTCCATGTTGACAGCTGTGTACACCTTGCCGAACTGACCCTCACCTACAACACCCAATGTCATGTGTCTCATCAGGCAAATAACCATCCTCAACTACAGGACTTATCTTCAACCAATGCACCTGATCAAGCAAACATTATTAAACAATTGGCTATTGTAATTTGAAAACATTCTATAACAATATTACTATAAGAATTCAAAGAATCCTCTCTTGTTTTGGAAAGGGTCATCTTTATGAGTAACGTTGTGATTATTTTGCTGTAGGGATATCTATTTTATCATCCAAAACTGGCTCCCACAGGAGATATCGCTTGGGTTAGATCAAGCGATATCTACATAGTAGATATTGCCGCAATGAAATTGCATCACAATGCTTTGCAGACCATTGTGACGTCATTGGTTACCATGATGTCACAATCAAATGACATCACTAATGGCTCTGCTACTGAAACTGTTAGCAGTACTTCTTCCACTTAAGACACTGCTTATTACTGTCTACAAACTGCAAAGTTGGTAAAAGTGGAAAAACTCTTCGGCAAGCCTTAGAGTTTTTTCACTTTTATCAACTCGTGTTGATATATTTGATTTCAAAAGACACTCAGGTGAGATTCTCTATGTGTCAGTGACTTATTGATAGATTTGTTTGTTGCTTAACGCCGCACTCAGCAATATTCCAGCTACATGACTGTGAGCTGTAAATTATCTGAAACCGACAATCCAGTGAATCACATCATGAGCATCGATTTACGCAATTGGGATACTATGACATGCATCAACCAAGTCAGCGAGCCGGACCACTCGATCCCATTAATCGCCTCTTACGGCAAGCATAGTCGCATTTTAAGCAGGTTTGCTGAAGACCTACTTTACCCCAGATCTTCACGGGTTACAGGGAGAAGCAACTGGGAATATTCTCTGCCCACCATAGAACAAAAACCATTTCAAATCACTGTCCGCAATACTCCACTGTACCATGTCTGACTTAAATTACAAGTTCTCAACAGCGATCCAGTTGCTGCAAGATGTAATGTCCAAACCTAGGAACAAATCCATTTTCCAATCCTACCTCAAATTCCTGATGTAGCTCACCTATCTTGTTTCCTCTCTGCCATCTAAAGTTGACTCTCCTGACGTTGATGTGGTAGTCAATCTCACTCTGGCGTGACGTGGTCCGACCGATCACCCTCTTGTCCCGCATCTTCTGGTTGCGCTCCTCCTCCAGACGACGACACCCCAGCTTGATGCGTTCCTTCCGGGACAAGTTGGTCAGAGACTCACACTGGGAGGCTGCAGCATAAATTACAGAGACTCACACTGGGAGGCTGCAGCATAAATAACAAACTCACACTGGGAGGCTGCAGCATAAATAATAGGTTTACACTGGGAGGCTGCAGCATAAATAACAGACTTACACTGGGAGGCTGCAGCATAAATAATAGGTTTACACTGGGAGGCTGCAGCATAAATAACAGACTTACACTGGGAGGCTGCAGCATAAATAACAGACTTACACTGGGAGGCTGCAGCATAAATAATAGGTTTACACTGGGAGGCTGCAGCATAAATAACAGACTTACACTGGGAGGCTGCAGCATAAATAACAGAGACTTATGCAGGGAGGCTGCAGCATAAATAATAGAAAGTTACACTGGGAGGCTGCAGCATAAATAACGGACTTACACTGGGAGGCTGCAGCATAAAAAACAGAGATTAACACTGGCAGGCTGCAGCATGTACTAAAGCTAAAGTGAGTATATGACTGCTGTGCAGGCCATATGAAAAACAAATCTTGCACAAATTTAGTAATAATTGCAATTTCAGTGGTCCAGTGGTTTTGGGGGAGATGATGTTTACACAGTTTCAGTATAATAATTTTTTGATATACAATTGATCACAAATATCATATTTCTTTGCGAGTGTAATATCACATTTGAATAGTTCAAAATATGATGCAAGGTAGGATCTTATGAAAATTTGAAAACAACATAAAAGATAGCTTCTGAGGTGAAGAGGTTGTCACAAAGGCTGTAGTATTTACAAGCTGCCATCACACACAACATAGCTAGAATATCGTTGAGTGCAGAGTTGAACATCAAACAAATAGATTTGTTAGAGTGAGCTGATGGCCTATGCGATATGTAACAGAGAATGGTGACTTCATCAATTCCTCTACACGAGGAGAATATCTGCTTGTATACTTACACGCATCCAAGATGCTGGGACTGGGTGTGGAGGGAGTGGACAGGCCAGATGAGACATGTGGGATCCCCTCACTGAAGGTGGATCTACTGGAGTTGGAACGCACCATCTTCTGACTCAGAGACGGCTCCGGACACGATGGAAATCTCTGCATCGGGTGACGGAAGTTGCCCTCTGAAACTGACTTACCTGCAGAGAATGTTCATACATGTTATACATACATATTTAGAGATTATTACATGAGCCTGTGTCATACTGATCTTTTTAAACAAGTGTCAGAATTCTTGGATTTTCAAAGCAAGATAGAGGGTAATGCGTGAATTCTTACACAGGTTTTATAAAATCAGTGTGACACACATGCGAGTGTCATAATTTCTTCATCACCCCTTATTTCTAAATTCTTCTGAGCTCCCCTTTAGAAAAATGCACTGATCAGGACCCCCGTCTTAGATAACCACAAATGTCAATGATAGCAACAATCTTCAGCTATGACATCATTGCTAGTGTGACGTCATTCCATCATTACATTACAAACAGCTTTGAAAGACGTGAACAAAACCATCTCAACCGGACGACCTAAACAATAAACTGGTGCGCATGAAGTGATATTTGATAGTGCACATACAATGTTTATGAACTCGAAGGGAAATAAATAAATATATTTCTTTTTCTTCACAGTTTAGGCGGACCTAATCAAAAAACTCAAAAGAAGCACGGAATCTTCTTCTAATTTGACACACAGAACAAGTCTGGGTACCCAGCGTGTAGCCTGTGTAACAATCCCAACAAGGGCCATATCCATAGCAAATCTCACACTCCGCCTCAGTGATGACTTAGCATTCAACAGTGCAACAAGCTATTTTGATTGGAATTTTCTCGTCTGGAAAAAAACAAAACATTTTATTCTGAAATCAGAACAGGCCTTCAGTAAGTCTATAACATGAAACAAATAAAAAAGGCGTGCAATTTGTGGAAAGGACTTTGTAAAATGTGATAATCATCCCATCTCATTGGCCTGTGGCAGAGGTACTTGGTCGACAACAAGAACCTCTGTGTTGAAAAGTCTCAATACATCAGACTCCTTCCTGTTAGATACATGTTTAGGGGCAGCTTACCATGAGGCCAATGTCCACCCTTGTCTGCTGATCCTATAACATGGGTGATACAGTCGTTGATGTTTTTCTTTAGCTCCTGAAATAAGATTTGGACAATTATTACCATATATCCAGTGTATGTTCTTGGTTTCTGGGTGGGTGAGTGGGCGGTTGTGTTTGGGTGGGTGGATTGCTGGGTTGCTGAGTGAGTGAGCGGTTGGGTGAGTTTGGTTTTAACACTGCTTTGAACAGTATTTTAGTCTTGTCATGGCTTCTCATCCTGTGGGAGAGAACCTGCAGTGATAAAGGTTGTGGATGTTTTCCATTTTGTTTAAAAGAGATGAGCGCAGATAAGGAGCATCATAATATGGGAGAAAATGGGATTCAAACAGATCACAGACAGATCCTGAAACACCTAAGGGATGTAACTCTGCTCATATATTTTAGCAACTAAGAATACTAGTGAGTGAGTGTGTATGGTTTTACCCCACTTTTAGCAATATTTCAGCAATATCATGGCGGGGGACACCAAAAGTGGTCTTCACAACCCATGTTACGAATCGAACCCAGGTCTTCAGCGTGACGAGCGACTGCTTTAACCACTAGGCCACCAGACCACCCACTAAGAATACTAAGTATACCTTCAAACCTGTTCAGGCAACATGTAGAAAAACACTGATATACATAACTGAACAACATTACCCCAAAGTATTGTATTCATGTGTATCAAAAGCTCTTAAACGACTTTCTCTGAGCTATTGAAATTACTATTACGAGCTGGAGCTTCCCAGAACAGATACATAGAACCTTAAGCTGCAAATCTTCAAAAAGATCTCATGCATATTGGTGGAAGAAAATGAAACTTGGTTTTTTTGGGTTCAAACAAAAATGATGAGGGAGGAACACTTTATATTTGATCTGTCGACAATATCTAACAAACACCCATTGTACTGGATTCAACCAAATGTCATTTGTGTTTTCATTATGGTCAGCAGAATCTGCTTTATATAACTGTACACCGAACTGAGTTGTCATACTTTGGAAATTGAGAATGGACGTCATCATAAAATCCCAAGAAATTTAAGAAAATGCAAACTTTGTAAATTAGACTTGGTTGAAACCGAGTACCACTTCCTGCTTATTTGTCCATCGTATGTCAAGTTACGGCAACTATATCTCAAAGCAAAGTTCTATTGTCATCCTAACATCCATAAATTTAATATGCTTCTGTCATCACCAGATACATATATTATTACAAATCTAGCAAAATATCTATATTATGCAAATGAAGTAAGAAATACGAAACTGAAAGCTTAAAACCTGTCTGTACTCAACTTTTGTACACAAAGGCCTGTGGCCTATATGTATTGGAAATAAAACCAATGAATGAACTGTACACTGCTTCAATGAAAATGGCAGATACGCAGGATTAAAAGTGCCCAAGAATTATTTTCTTTTTTCAGCCTTACACACAGACATACCTGAAACTCATCTTCAGACAAACAAGCTAGGACCTTAGGCTCACATGCTACTGTGAGGAAATCTAGGCCTTGATTTGCCCACCTGGAAAAGACAGTTATGTTGCATTTTCCCAACTGATTAAAACATAATTTCAGTATCACACCTTATTCAATTGCAATGATATGAACTTCCTCTTACTCAATACCTATATGTGTGGCTAATTACACAATGCCTGTCTTTCCTTATTCACTGTATCTATTACCATAGAAAATGTAGACAGGAATTTCTAAATTCTAACTGCTTGTACCTTTATGTAGTAAACTCTACCATATATTGGAACAATACTACACATTGAAAAAATAAAAATGGATCTGAGATTAACATGTATTACCAACAAATGCCTCTGTCTGTCAACATTTGTGTAAGAAACAACATGCTACACCAACAATGTGGGTGGGTCTACACTATGTATGACAGCATCTCCAGTTCGTTAGCTACATTAAAGTCCATCACTCTATCTCTAGACTATCTCTAGGACCTATCGCTGACTGCCCATAGAAGTTGTACTGATAGAATATGCTGGTACTATATCACCCAAGGACCTGTATCACCCAATGACCTATCTCTGACTGCCCTTGGTGGTCTACTGATAGAATATGCTGGTACTATATCACCCAAGGACCTGTATCACCCGATGACCTATCGCTGACCGCACATAGAAGTTGTACTGATAGAATATGCTGGTACTATATCACCCAATGACCTGTATCACCCGATGACCTATCTCTGACCGCCCATAGAAGTTGTACTGATAGAATATGCTGGTACTATATCACCCAAGGACCTGTATCACCCGATGACCTATCTCTGACCGCCCATAGAAGTTGTACTGATAGAATATGCTGGTACTATATCACCCAAGGACCTGTATCACCCGATAACCTATCGCTGACTGCCCTTGGTGGTCTACTGATAGAATATGCTGGTACTATATCACCCAAGGACCTGTATCACCTGATGACCTATTTCTGACTGCCCTTGATGTTCTACTGATAGAATATGCTGGTACTATATCACCAAAGGACCTGTATCACCCGATAACCTATCTCTGACAGCCCTTGGTGGTCTACTGATAGAATATGCTAGCACTGTATCTAACGAGGGCCTATCTCTGACAGCCCTTGGTGTTCTACTGATAGAATATGCTAGCACTGTATCTAACGAGGACCTATCTCTGACAGCCCTTGGTGTTCTACTGATAGAATGTGCTAGCACTGTAACTAACGAGGGCCTATCTCTGACAGCCCTTGGTGTTCTACTGATAGAATATGCTAGCACTGTAACTAACGAGGGCCTATCTCTGACAGCCCTTGGTGGTCTACTGATAGAATATGCTAGCACTGTAACTAGCGAGGGCCTATATCTGACAGCCCTTGGTGTTCTACTGATAGGATGTGCTAGCATTGTAACTAACGAGGGCCTATCTCTGACAGCCCTTGGTGTTCTACTGATAGAATATGCTAGCACTGTATCTAACGAGGACCTATGTCTGACAGCCCTTGGTGTTCTACTGATAGAATGTGCTAGCACTGTAACTAACGAGGGCCTATCTCTGACAGCCCTTGGTGTTCTACTGATAGAATACGCTAGCACTGTAACTAACGAGGGCCTATCTCTGACTACCTTTGATGTTCTACTGATAGAATATGCTAGCACTGTATCTAACGAGGACCTGTCTCTGACTGCCCTGGATGTTCTACTGATAGAATATGCTGGCAATACGTCACCTTGGTCTCATTCCCCTCCCCCTTTCGCACTTTTCCGACACAAACTTCATCCAAGATTTGGCAAACTTGACGAGTCCTCGGCCTAGCCTCTGCCTCTGGTCCCCAGATACAAGACGGGACACCTCCTTGTAGTACTGCACACACAAAACATGGTCCTCTTATCCAAGGTATACAGAGGATTATCACAAACAAAGGTGGCTAAACCATGCACCTAGGCCTAATCAATTATCAAATGTCCGTACCACATGAAATATCCTTAAAAAAGTCAAAATCCATAATCTGTATTTATTCATGCAAAAAATAACACACTGTTCCATGCCCATGTTGAACTGAAGGCAATGTCTCTGATCAGACTCAAGAAAACTCAAGTGAACAACTCCAGAGGCCCCAAATCTTTAGTCTTGTCTGACATTAACACAATTTTACATTTCGTAATAAAGAACCCAGTCGTGACTATTCATGATATTATATTGACAGTTACAGTTTTCTTATATCCCCCTGTGAAGATCCGAGTTAGAAATGGTCTTCCACAACCCATGCTTCAAGCAATAGGTGACTAATGGTATCGGTAGGTCAGAACCAGGCTTGGTTGATGCATGTCACCATACCCAAATTGTGCAGATTGATACTCATCATATCAATCACTGGATTGTCTGGTCCTGACTTGATTAATTACAGACAGCTTTCATATATCTGGAATACTGCTGGGTGTAAACAACAACAAAAAAACCAAACAAACAAACAAAACATTTGAACTGACACTAGTCCTGCAAACTCACCTCAAACCCAAAGTTATAGCACTGCAGCATAGTCTCTCTGTATAGTTTTAGTATGTGATTCTTCTCGTTGTCCTCCAGCTTAGCAATGTCATCAAAGTTGAGTTTCTCATCCACCTGGCTAATGGCTGTCGCCACATTCTCCCTCATCTCGATGGCTGTGTTCTGCAACAAACAGAGACTCAACATATTCCAACTGTCTCTGTGTGTGCAGGGGCATCAACCTGATGTCCTTCTCACAACGTTCAAGCCTCTGGAGTGAGTGACTGACAGAGTATGGTTTTATGCTGCTTTTAGCAATATTCCAGCAATATCACAGTGGGGGACACCAGACATGGCTCCACACATTGTATCTATGTGGGGAATCAAACCCGGGTCTTCGGCGTGACGAGCATACGCTTTAACCACTAGGCTACCCGACCGCCCCCTTCGGCGTGATAAGCAAATGCTTTAACCCCACCACCTTCAGTCTCCGGACATGCAGGACCCTTGTATTCTAAAATGATTACTTCAAGAATAAGACCCGTGAAGATCCAGGGTAAAATAGGTCTTCAGCAACCCATGCTTGCCGCAAAAGGCGACTAAGCTTGTCGTAAGAGGCGACTAACGGGATCAGGTGGTCAGACTCGCTTGACTTGAGTGATGCATGTCATCGTATCCCAATTGCATGGATCCATGCTCATGATTTCAATTACTGGATTGTCTGGTCCAGACTCGATTATTTACAGACCGCCGTCATATAGCTGGCATATTGCTGAGTGCAGCTTTAAACAACAAACAAGCAAACAAACTTCCTGAATATATTTGTATTCCAACAGACCTATAGAGCCTCACAGCCAGCCTCATGTATACTCCAAAGGGAGCTGAGAATGAAAACCGTGTGTACACTTATCCATTGACCGGGGTAATAATTATTATTTTTACTATTGCTGTACTCTTCTAACCTTGAGGGAAGCCAGGGACTCTGCTATAGACTGATGGCAGGATGTCTGTTCATTGACCAGGCTGATGGTGTCTCCCATCTTGTAGTTGAACTCCTTGCGCTGACTGGACAGCTGTGATGAGTGGATCACCACCAGCAACAGAGACTCCACCTGAAACATCAGCCAACTCTCACTAGAAGCCTAACAACACAGAGTGTAATATGTGTCATGATGCCACATGTTTGTTGCACAGAAGGGTTGGAAGATCGTGTGTAACACGTCTGATATCTGCACATATATACATTTCAGTATCTTCCCAAGGCAAGGTGCATAGACTGACTATAAAAGTCCAGTTTCCACCCTTGCCGAACTAGGCTAGAATTCCACAGTAACATTTTGGTTGGACTAACGAGTCTCTGAATAGTCCAATCAAAATCTTGTAATGAACTAGATATCCGGTTCATAGACCACATGGATTTCAATGCGCAGATTTCTGTCGCCTGAAGGATTTGCAAAGCATGTGTACTGCCAACTGGAAGTCGACAGATATTATGAAAATCTTTCCATGTTTTTTACGAAGGTGCTCAAGTGATTTGATGCACTTCATAAGGTAAGGCTATTTTGTTCGAAGCAATTGCAGATGATATGAGAGATGGAATTTGATTGGTCAAGAGGAGGGACATAGAAGGGACGTAACTCGTAATAGCCACTGTCGGCACTACAATCGAGTTTGGAAATTCCAGCCTAGTTCGGCAAGGGTGGCAACTGGACTTTTATATTCAGTTAATGCCCTTGCCTCAGGAAGATGCCCTTAAAGCTGCTTGACCCTGATGAAGCAGTGTCTCATGAGACAGCTGCTGAGTACAACATGATCATCCATTGTTCATGACATTCCCTACAGACAACACAGCATTATCAATAAGTTTTGCATGTCCTCCAAATCTTTATACATTTTCTTTATTTACTTTCTTAAAATGGCAATGGGTAGCACATAGAATAAGTGCAAGTCAGATCATTCCCTTGACACAGATTAAACTTAATTCCTTGAAGTTTGTTGATTATTCTCAGAAACTGATAAATAAAATTTGCAACCTTTTTGGTGTTAATTTGTATTCTTTGTAGAAGTTCAGAAGAGTCTGTCAATGTATAGCATGTAAAAAAAACCTATTTTTTTCAGTCTGTCTATTATTGACATTCCAATCAAGCTGATTAGTTGACTTACCTCAATATGAGACAGAGCAATAGCAGTCTCAGCAGTGAGCTCCATGTGGACTTTCTCCCCCAACCACAGTGGACATTGTGACACATGGTCAATGCCGCCCTCACACCGCAGCATGAGGAGGTAGCCCTCGTTGACGAGACACTGGCCATCCTCATCTGTCCACTTCTTGGCCGTACTCTCCTCCCGACCACAGGTGACGTTGAGCAGCTGCAGGATGAGGCGGGTGTTGCACATGATCTCGTGGGGGATGAACATCATGTACCCAGAGCTTAGAGGGGCTATCACCTGTAGAGATACAAGCACAATATCACTGATGAGGTCTATACTGTGTCGGCTCAGAGGGGCTATCACCTGTAGGGATACAAGCAGAACATCACTGAGGCGGGTGTTGCACATGATCTCGTGGGGGATGAACATCATGCACCCAGAGCTTAGGGGGGCTATCACCTGTAGGGATACAAGCAGAACATCATGTACCCAGAGCTTAGGGGGGCTATCACCTGTAGGGATACAAGCAGAACATCATGCACCCAGAGCTTAGGGGGGCTATCACCTGTAGGGATACAAGCAGAACATCATGCACCCAGAGCTTAGGGGGGCTATCACCTGTAGGGATACAAGCAGAACATCATGTACCCAGAGCTTAGAGGGGCTATCACCTGTAGGGATACAAGCAGAACATCATGTACCCAGAGCTTAGAGGGGCTATCACCTGTAGGGATACAAGCAGAACATCATGTACCCAGAGCTTAGAGGGGCTATCACCTGTAGGGATACAAGCAGAACATCACTGATGAGGTCAATACTGTAGCCAGCTCAGAAGCTCTATCACCTGTAGGTGTCTACCCTACATCAGAGGGATTTGTCTACTCTCCCTACATCAGTGGGACGTGTCTACTCTCCCTACATCAGTGGGACGTGTCTACTCTCCCTACATCCGTGGGTCGTGTCTACTCTCCCTACATCAGTGGGACGTGTCTACTCTCCCTACATCAGTGGGACGTGTCTACTCTCCCTACATCCGTGGGTCGTGTCTACTCTCCCTACATCAGTGGGACGTGTCTACTCTCCCTACATCAGTGGGACGTGTCTACTCTCCCTGCATCAGTTGGACGTGTCTACTCTCCCTACATCCGTGGGACGTGTCTACTCTCCCTACATCAGTTGGACGTGTCTGCTCTCCCTACATCAGTGGGACGTGTCTACTCTCCCTACATCAGTGGGACCTGTCTACTCTCCCTACATCAGTGGGACCTGTCTACTCTCCCTACATCAGTGGGATGTGTCTACTCTCCCTACATCAGTGGGACGTGTCTACTCTCCCTACATCAGTGGGACGTGTCTACTCTCCCTACATCAGTGGGACGTGTCTACTCTCCCTACATCAGTGGGACATGTCTACTCTCCCTACATCAGTGGGACGTGTCTACTCTCCCTACATCAGTGGATCGTGTCTACTCTCCTTACATCAGATGGTCGTGTCTACTCTTCCTACATCAGTGGGACGTGTCTACTCTCCCTACATCAGTGGGACGTGTCTACTCTCCCTACATCAGTGGGACGTGTCTACTCTCCCTACATCAGTGGGACGTGTCTACTCTCCCTACATCAGTGGGACGTGTCTACTCTCCCTACATCAGTGGGACTTGTCTACTCTCCCTGCATCAGTGGGATCTGTCTACTCTCCCTACATCAGTGAGACGTATCTACCCTCCCTACATCAGTAGGATGTGTCTACTCTCCCTACAGCAGTGGGACGGGTCTACTCTCCCTACATTAGTGGGACGCGTCTACTCTCCCTACATCAGTGGGACATGTCTACTCTCCCTACATAAGTAGGACGTGTCTACTCTCCCTACATCAGTGGGACGTGTCTACTCTCCCTACATCAGTGGGACGTGTCTACTCTCCCTACAGCAGTGGGACATGTCTACTCTCCCTACATTAGTGGGACGTGTCTACTCTCCCTACATCAGTAGGATGTGTCTACTCTCCCTGCATCAGTAGTATGTGTCTACTCTCCCTACATCAGTGGGATGTGTCTACTCTCCCTACATCAGTGGGACGTGTCTACTCTCCCTACATCAGTGGGACGTGTCTACTCTCCCTGCATCAGTTGGATGTGTCTTCTCTCCCTACATCAGTGGGACGTGTCTACTCTCCCCACATCAGTAGGATGTGTCTACTCTCCCTACATCAGTGGGATGTGTCTACTCTCCCTACATCAGTGGGACGTGTCTACCCTCCCTACAACAGCGGGACTTGTCTACTCTCCCTACATCAGTGGGACATGTCTACTCTCCCTACATCAGTGGGACATGTCTACTCTCCCTACATCAGTGGGACATGTCTACTCTCCCTACATCAGCGGGACATGTCTACTCTCCCTACATCAGTGGGACATGTCTACTCTCCCTACATCAGTGGGACGTGTCTACTCTCCCTACATCAGTAGGAGGGGTCTACTCTCCCTACATCAGTGGGAGGGGTCTACTCTCCCTACATCAGTAGGAGGGGTCTACTCTCCCTACATCAGTTGGGTGCCAGTACCTACCCGGACATGATTCTTTTCTCCCAGCTTATCCAGGATTTCTCTGGTTGTCACGGAGATGTTGAAATCTGATGCAATCTCAAGGTCCTTATATGAAATGAAGATAAAATAACTACGACCATGGCACAGGTGACATCTAATATATACATGGCATATTCTCCATGTACATAATTAACCTAAAAAAACTCAAACATAATGCAAGGTTTATTTATGCCTAAATTATTTTATTACCAATTAAATAAATGTACAAATATATATACAGATTCTATACGGAGCTCAATGCAAGAGATAAACAACTTTTTAAAGAAGCATTATCTTCCTACCAATTCATCAATTTCAGTTTCCATGGTTTCCGGTAGCATATAAATTTTAAGAAATTTAACATGCCAAGACAAAGATTCATAAAGTGAAAAATGAGCATTTTGGGATAATGTTTATGCATTATGCAATGTTTAATACTTACCTGAAGCTACGTAGTGCCTTAGCTTCCCTGCCTCATACAAACAGACTGTACTGGAAATGCTCATGTTTTACTTTACCTGACGCTACACAGTGATTTATTCAACTGACGGCAGCGAGGTGGCAGCTCCAACCACGTTAGGCCAGGGGATATGACTCAGGTCAGAACAGAATGGTGTTCTGCATCCGGCTAGAGGGATGGGGAATACGGTACCAATACTTCACCAGGTACCAACGGAACAGTACCCAGCAACCCAGAATGTTTATAGAGGATCTGAAACAAGGTGTGGTACAACTTTGGCAGCAGGCGACAGCCGAATGAGTGGGGTCGAAGGCGAACTTGTATGTGCTTAGGCCGACCCAGGACAGTGTGATTGTCTATCTCCAAAGCAACTGGGTCCTGACACGTTGCGACATCCTGGAATGTGACGGGTCCAGATCTGAAGAGGGGGGCCATCCGTCAGGAGAAACAGGAAAAACGTCTGCTCCAACAGAGATGCAGACCATGGCGACCCGCTTGTTGATGTAATCCATCAACGTGTAGTTGTATGAGGCGATCAGTAGACAGCTGTTGCGGAGGATCGCTCGCAATGACGAATGGCCCTGATGAGTGCTTCCAACTCCAAGTTGTTGATATGCCAGGTCATCAGTCGTCATCCAAAGACTGCATGGTCCGGGAGAAAATGTGCGCCTCATCCTTGGAGATGCTGGGTGGCCTCAGCGCTTGTTACAGAGGTACCACTCAAGACGTTGGAGGGGGCTAGCCCACACTCCAGAAAAGGGCATACCTCTACTGGCACAGTGAAGGAGGTAGCCCTTCACAACTAAGCACAGAAATGGTAGGAGAAACCTCTGAAGGGGACGCAGTTGAAGGCGACCGTGAAGGTAAGAGCCCAAAGAGAGTCTGTCACTGGCATAGGTCATAGGTCATAGGTCATAGGTCTGCTGGACCGCGGATTGGATGGCTTCAAACCGATCTGACGGAACTTGCGGTCTGTCAAAAAGAGGCCACTGATGAGAGTGAGTTGGTGACAGGAAGTAACTCTTGGCCTCTATGGGATCCAGAACTTAGGGATCTGGTTGTGGAAGAGCGTAGGACCCCCAGACCAGGGTTGCCGCTAATCCGGGTCAAAAAGGAGGGTCCAATGAAGACTGTTTAAGGAAAGCCATGCATCGCGCAATGGTGATGGAGTCTGGGCAATACTGTAGATACAAAGACACGGGCTATAGTCTGTTTCGACTGTCTCTCTGTTCAAGTACTGTCTGTCTGTCTAAGGTAGGGAAGCTAAAGCACTGTTTAGCATCATTGTTTAACATTTAACTCAGCTTCACCAAAGGAGGAAGTCTAAGTTTGTTGATTAACATTCCATGAGTGAGTACGAACTAATGAACTGGAGAGAGTAAAACTGCCTCCTGACATTCAGTTCAGTCAAACACAAGGAAGCAGCAGAAACCTCCTTTCAAATTTACAGCTAGCAAAACTCAGGTGGCCTTATCAGAGGTGTCGTTGATTGCTTACCTTTCTCAACATTTTAGCAAAGCCCAGGGCCTTTGATGCTCTTTCCCGCGCCTCATGAAACAGTATCTTAAAGTTCCTACATGTGTGCTGAATGGTGTGCCTGAATCGAAGAAAACAAAAGTGGAGTTTGTATCACTTCTCAATCATGATCAGCATATTGTCCCCTATTTGATTGGGACAAACACCTACAACATGTATGACGCAAGGTAAGCTGTTACCAAACTGGAGAGTAAGATGTGGTGCAAGTTTAATGTCTGCATTCCTGATTCCACACTACATCACAGTAACCTTACTCAATCAAAGGGAGATCTGTTAGCACGGCTTCATAAGGCTTAAAAAAATAAAAGAAATGCTTCTCAGGCAATGACTTTTGAAAATATAGTGCGGGTGGTGGTTTTATTTTTTTGCTTGTTCAAATTAGTATGTAATCAAATAAACAGTTGTGTGCAGTCAACCTCGGAAAGGGCCTCCCTATATAAACAAGCATACAAACTCCAATGACTGCCATTACCATAACACAAGATGTGCAGTAAAGCAATGTGCATGTAAAGGCATGCTATATTTGATCCCATTGTGTTCAAGTATTTTTTTTTTTTTTTAAATGGAAATAAAAATGAAATGTTCGACAGACTTTATGATGATGCGGACGTTGCCTGAGAACCAGGACTATTTATTTTTTTAGCCTAATGTATTTACTTTTATGAGCTCAGTACTGTAAATGGAAATATTTCAATGCTTGATTGATGTGAGGGCAAAGTTTCATGAAGATCATTAAAATGTTTAAATCCTTGAGACAGAGAATGCAGAGGATGATGAGACCTACAGATGAAAAGCATTTTTTCACACAACTTGTTAGTAGATTCTTATCAAAGCTGTATCTTTGAGTCTGTTCAGAGACCAAATACCTGTAGTCGGAAACCCATTCCTTGTTAGACGTGGTGGTCGAGTCATCAGAACACTCCTGGTCACTGCGGTCATTATCGTAGGCCGTCAGGTCGTACAGGTCAGATGTACAGTCATCAATGCCATTCTCCAGGAAGTCCGCAATATTCACCAGCAAACTGAGAACCATGGTGCTGCAAGTGAAACCAATAGTCAAGACAAATCAATATTCAAGACAAATAAATAGTCAAGACAAATCAATTGTCAAAACAAATCATTAGTTGAGACAAATCAATATTCACGACAAATCAATAGGCAAGACAAATAAATATTCAAGACAATTCAATAGTCAAGACTAAGGGTGAAACGATACACCGATATTCCGATGCATCGCGATACTTGACCCACGATACGATATACGATAAACGTGGGCCCATTTATCGATACGCCACGATACGGAACGCAAATCTCAAGTACAGTGTTTCCTCGCTATTGTGCCTTTCAATAAACCGCTAACTTGGTTATAGCGCGGTATCGCATGGCTCCCAAAAACGTACTTACATTTTTAATAAGCTCAGGTTTTACACCGACAGATGTTTTTCCCCATCTCAAAAAACATTATCAGCTGATCCCCGCAAGCACATAACAATGGAAATACCTCTCAGCAAATGCGAACTGAAGTACGCAATTCAATACCATTATCATACTAACTTGTTATTAAAACGTGTTCATTGTATATCTGGACTTGTGTTTGTAATATATTTTAATAGTTTTTTTCAAAATTTCATTTTATATTGTTTTCATTAAGTTATGTGAAATCGTGTGTGAAGAGATACAGCAACCACGGTCAGATTACCGCTTTTGACGCATTGAAGCGAACTTTAGTTGCTAGAGAATGGATACATATATTAAAAATGCCATACTTTGACTCGTTCAAAGTCATATTTATGGCAATTTGGCTAATATATGTCAACATAACGTTTCGCAATCGAAATACATGTAGCACGGGAAGTCCCTAGGGTGACTGGTCAAATTGTTCCATACGTAAAAATATCCTGCAACAGCAATCACCAGTACCAAAATGCTACACTTGTGGTTCTTATAATTTTAAATACATATATAGTAAAAGCTGCAACTAAGGTAACATGATATTGGAATATATTATTCCTGATAAAACAATAATTTCAGATACAATTTCTTCGACCATTGCATCAAAATTCTTTGACGTTGTATCACTGGTGGAGCACATTAATTATTTTCTGGTGTTTTAACTCTGAATTGTTTTTAAGGAAAGTTAGAGAAAGTTCCACTTTGAAGCTGAACAACTTCAGTAGTCTTGTTATTGTAAAATAATTTTGACTGTTCCAAAATCATGAAAGGTTCAATTCTGACATGCTTTAAGTCTTGTTTTTTTATCATTGCGTATCGAGATACGTATCGTATCGTGACCAGAATATCAAGATGTGTATCGTATCGTGACCTTCCTGTATCGTTGCAGCCCTAGTCAAGACAAATCAATAGTCAAGACAAATAAATAGTCAAGACAATTCAATAGTCAAGACAAATAAATAGTCAAGACATTTCAGTGACTGATGTTACAATGATCCTACTATCTGGGTACAAGGATGTGCTTCATATATTTCATTACCGTATTCGACGTAATAAGCGCCCCGCTCTAATAAGCGCCCACGGCGATATTTGCTGATATATTGGCTAGTGAACAGTCCCAATTAGCACCCCTTCCGATTGATCAATGTACAAAAGACTTATTTATTCGTGTATAATACGCACTCTTGAGTTACATGCACCCTTAATTATGGGCAATTAAATTCTGGAAAAATATATCTGTCGTATATAAACATTTCAGGCTGTCAGCATAAACCAAGAAGTTTATCTTTCAACTCTCTTTTTTTCACCAAAATACTATTCTAATAACAGCCCCCTATTTCTAATTTTGAGAGCGCCCTGGGCGCTTATCACGTCGAATACGGTATTTTAACTTTTTGTCCAAAAGTACTAACGAGACACAAGAGAGTGTTGTAAGGAGGCCTCGATTATTGTTCCTCATCACTCTACCACCATACAATTCTATAGTCAAGGTGACATCCTACAAACTAATCATACAGACAGTGTCGTCTAGTCTATGTTACTAATGTTACTCTTGAGTGAGTGAAGTCACCTGAACTCTGGGTATCACTGACTGTACACACGGTACATCTTGAATCGATATATCAACTCAAAACTGTCACAATAAGTCCATATATGGTTTAGGCCAGGCATTTTATATTTTTTGGATTACGGAGTAAATATAAAAAAAGAAAATCAGATTTCCATTTTCCTTCCCCGCTGATAGCCGGGTAGTCAGTTATTTTATTTGTTATCATCACCTTTTAATAAAAAACATATGAATTTACCGTTGTAAACTAGTAAAGAGATACATAATCGATCCCTTGACAATTGTCCGTGTTGTAAGTCGTAGAATTTTTATTGTTACAAGGGCCTTTATCGTCACAAATGGCGGTCTTTTGAGCACAGAATATGTCCATAAAATATGCCAGAGGCGTTCTGCATTTAAACAAAATGAGTCTGGCTTTTTTTTCCCTCCTCCAACCCTGGACTTTGGGCTGAAAAATCCGTAATCCTAAAAATAAAAAAGCTTTCTTTCTCACTGTCCATCTTAACCATGATAATGTTAGTAAATGTATAGCTTTATGAGGCAGTGACATCCCTACCTCAGTCGAAGAGGCGACTAACGGGATCGAGTGGTCAGGCTCGCTGACTTGGTTGATGCATGCTCATGATATCAACCACTGGATTGTCTGGTCCAGACAGATTATTTACAGACGGACGTCATACAGCTGGAATATTGCTGAGTATGGCGTTAAACAACAAACAAACAAACAAACAAACAAAACTATTGGGCAGCCTGGCAAGGACTACAGGACTAGTGCCAATTTCTAACGCTGTACCTGAACTTCTTGCCAGCCTCCGCCTCCCCTCCGATGACATGGGGACAGATGTACTTGGTGAACATCCACTCCTCCTCGAGGGCGTTCTTCAGGCTCCGGGATGCTTCAGGCAGAGACTGTAGGGCGCTGATCCAACTCTGCAGATACTTGAAGTAGTCCTGCCCAACACAGAATCCACAATCAAATACAAGTGAAATCATCTTAAAATCATAAACCTTCAAACATCAGTTTCCTTAACCTTCTACAAAGTTCTGCCAGTTGCTTTATTAATACTGCAGAACATAACACAAAATATTTACATTAATATGGAGAAGTTGTGATTACTACATAAGTGTGTTCACCTTTTTTCCACAAAGGAATAAGAAAGTAGTCGGAAACAAAACCCTTTTAAATGGAGGTAAAAAAATGTAAGTCTGATGTTTTCTCTTTTGTCCCTTTCACCTTACATCACAGGGTTCGAAATGCTTTGTATTTGATTGCTGATGGCATCAACTCATAAAATCATGGCTAAAATTTCCAGTGCCTGAACGGTGTAAAAATATAACAAAATATTATTTTAACAATGCCTTGGGACAATGTTTGTTCATGGAATATGGAAAATGGAACATGATCTATATATGGACATGATTATTGTACAGAATGATTCATAAAATAGATTTGGATAATTAGAAATGAAAAGGGGTTCATCAATCTCAGTAAAAAGGAAGAAGGCAAACTTTAAATTTTAACATTACAACTGCCTTGGTGAAATGATATTTATTAGTTTTCTAATTTCTAGTTTCAAAGGGCACACCTAAACATACTTATTTTGACCTGTGGCACACAGGAAAACTATATATCTCCATACATGCATCATGTGTAAGAATAATATCTTTTTTATTGTTTGTTTTCTTCAAATAAAATATTTTCCATCAAAGCAGAGGCTCTGAAGAATTGGTCTTAAAATGACAGTGTTCCCGTTTACCGGTATTTACCACTTTTTTACTGGTAAAATTAGGCTGGACCGTTAATTCACGTGACTGCCAGGCCCTGTGGACTGGCAAATAAAGTATCTTATAAATCTTTGTTGATGAACAAAATATCGGCAATATTTACAGAAGCATATTTTTCAACAAAGTCAGCCTGGAAATATTGACACAGATAAAAAAGAAACTTATGACTGAACTTTGTGTGAATGATCTTAGTTACTTCAGAGATGACGTAATTGCAGTGAACATGATGTTGAAAGAACTAAAACCAGGTAATTTTCTTTTTCTTATTTGCTGAAAGTTGGGACTGACAAATTTGTTTAAGGTTGATGTTGTTTCAAAAGCCAGAGGGAACACCCCAAAAGGAGCCATATGGACAATGAGAACTGGGCCTTCTGATTGAGTGAATGACAGTGTTGTTACCTTCATTGGCAACATTAGAACAGAAACATAAGGTAGATCTCAATTACAACTCAGGATTGCACAACACTCCGCCACCCATTATAACACTGACGGACGTACATCCAGCATTGCCTTCATGTCATTGTCGAACTGCTCCAGGTCCGTGGCGAACTTCTCCTCGGCCTCGTTGTCGTCCCACATGACGGAGGCCACCATGTGCTGGTAGTACTGCTTGACCAGCACCGCCCCCTTCAGCACCTCCTTGCACTCCCGGATCAGCTGCAACAGACAGCAGGCTACCATCAGTGCAACATCATGGGTTCATCACAGAATTGCTTGGATTATAATCATTAGTTTGTCAGCATCACTTTGATCACACTCATCTTTCATCTGTGTGGTACATATTTACTCACTCGCTGAGCAATCGCTCTGCAATTATTTCTTAAAACATGAAGCTAATACCAAGAGACAATTTTTAATGGTTAAGTATATTATTTGACATAATTTATTCAAGGGTCATAATTGCTGTGAGTGAGTGAGTGAGCTGGGTTTAAAGCAGCTTTTAACAGTATTCCAGTTATATCACGGCGTGTCAGCTTGATGTGGGTGGAAAGCCCAAAGTGACGTCCACTGGTTTTACCACTTCGGTGAAACCCACGAGTAAGGGTATGGAGCTGACAAACCTAGAAACATAATCAGGGCGGACCGGGATTCGAACCTACAATCATAGGTTTCTGGCGTTCCCAAAGAAAAGCAACTCTGCACAGGGAATCACGCAGCCTTAGGCAACAATTGTATGTAATGTGAAAGGGGACTTGAAAACTAGTGAATCCACTGGCGGAGATGGTTTGGTTATTAGTTGTTTATGCCGCACTCAGAAATATTCCAACTAACTGACGTGGCCTTAAAATAATTGTTTCTGGACCACGGGGACCAGACAATTCAGTGTTTGTTGTTTATGCCGCACTCAGAAATATTCCAACTAACTGACGTGGCCTTAAAATAATTGTTTCTGGACCATGGGGACCAGACAATTCAGTGTTTGTTGTTTATGCCGCACTCAGAAATATTCCAACTAACTGACGTGGCCTTAAAATAATTGTTTCTGGACCACGGGGACCAGACAATTCAGTGTTTGTTGTTTATGCCGCACTCAGAAATATTCCAACTAACTGACGTGGCCTTAAAATAATTGTTTCTGGACCACGGGGACCAGACAATTCAGTGTTTGTTGTTTATGCCGCACTCAGAAATATTCCAACTAACTGACGTGGCCTTAAAATAATTGTTTCTGGACCATGGGGACCAGACAATTCAGTGTTTGTTGTTTATGCCACACTCAGAAATATTCCAACTAACTGACGTGGCCTTAAAATAATTGTTTCTGGACCATGGGGACCAGACAATTCAGTGTTTGTTGTTAATATTTCGGATGGGCTGCATGAAATTTTCCTCCATCTGCCCGACTGTCTGGCAGATAAGTTTAAGACTTCTTACGAATTCAGTTTCAGTATAACACCTTGTAGATTCTCAAGGAATTGTTTGCATTATTTCAACTGAATCAAGACCCAATTTGTCTCTTATTTCTTGCGATTTTACAATATTAATAAAGTCTGAATGCGGGCAGGTAACTTAGAGATGGGCAGGCAACACTTATGGTCACCTGCCCGACTGTCTGGTTTGGTTTTAAAATTATTTCAAACACTGATCAGGGTAGAATTCAATCGTCACCTGGTCTAACCATTTGATCTATTAACAGGAGTAAGTCGCCCCTAACACAAAGAATATGTTGCTTGGATCACTTAGGGAATCCACATGGGGCGAGACAGTAACTCACACTTATGCAATGATGCTAATATGCAAATATCTGCAAATATTGACATGGACCAGTCCACTTACACCTGCTAGCGCCATGAAGTAGTACAACAATAGCATTACTTCTTGTTGAACACTACACCAACGTATCAGTCAGTAATTTAAACACCATAACACTGTATCACCTCCGTACATCATCCATAACATACACTCAAGTTGGACATCTACATTCCCTATCAAATCTGTCATCAAAATTAGGATTCTTTTTTTTCAAATATATATTCTTTTTCTCAAATACATTGTTTTTTTCTGACTGCTCCAAAGAGTCCCACAAACACTGACCTGCCTGACACTGAGAAAGGAAGGGTCTCCCAAGGGCCGCTGTTCCAGTCTCAACCGGAGACACTCGTGGCTGACATCCAGTGGGATTCGAACCAGGAACAAGTAGCTGGGTCGGAAGGAGGGCAGGCCCATCTTGATGAACTCCTGGCTCCAGGCACCGTGCTCCGACAAACTTGTGCTGCGGTAGAATATGCCGTCCCTCACTTCGGGGAGTAAGACGAGGGACGGGGAAGATGCTAGGTCACTGGCGCTGGGGGACTGAATGACAGGATATTAGACCAGAGGTGTTAAGGGGAGATAACTTTTGATGAATAATCTCCCCTTGATCAGACGATTTCATGAAACATATTTGTTTAATTTAGAACAATCTGGGTTTAACAGAGATTTTACTTGAAATGCATTACACCTAAATTGAAAAATATAAACATAGAAAAGCATTGCCCTATTACAACAGCTGATTTGAGATTTGTTTTTGAAAAACAATATTTCATTTCCAATATTTATGTTGAAGCTTGTCTTTAGCAGCAGAATAAAGATTTGGTCATATTATTGTCTTGATGAGTATAGGTCTTCAGCAACCCATGCTTGCCGTAGAAGGTGAGTATGCTTGTCGTAAAAGGCGACTAATGGGATCGGGTGGTCAGGCTCGCTGACTTGGTTGATGCATGTCATCGATCCCAATTGCATGGACGATGTTCATGATGCCAGTCACTGGATTGTCTGGTCCAGACTCGATTACTTACAGACCGCCGTTATATAGCTGGAATATTGCTGAGTGCGGCGTAAACCAACAAACCAACCAACCAACCAACCAGACATTCAATAGAGTACATGTAGAACGAGTGATTTAAAGATGAGTGAATGCTTTAATTGTCACAAAGGATGACTACCTTGTCCTTCTCTCCTCCCTCACACGTTGTCAGCTTGGGCTTCTCCAGGGCTTCCCGAGCCCGCTGTAATGACCGGTCCAGCACATCCCTGAGCCGTATGACCAACTTCTGCATGCCCATCTTCTTGAGACACTTGTCCACGTAGTGCCGGTAGACCGAGGTCTTGTTCAGTTCCTCCAGGCTCACCTCACTTGACTCCCGAGATATTGATGTGGCGAAGGAGCCGATGTTTCCTCTCTTCATAGGGGTAGATGTACCCAGGGGTGGGAGGGTGTTCTCGTTGATACAGGGGCTCTCGGGTCTCGAAGACTTCTCATCACCTTCGTAGACCTGGAGAAATACAGCAGTTAAATCTGACTGAACAGGATAAAATATTTGATGCTGATTTACACTGACTTACAGAATCTGGGGTCCAGGAGAGCCCATTAATTAATTTTAAGTGTCATAGCTGGCAATGTTTGAGTGTTTGAGTTAGTGTGTGAGTGGGTGGGTATGGTTTTATTGTGCTTTTAGCAATATTCCAGCAATATCACGACAGGGGACACCAGAAATGGGCTTCACACATTGTACCCATGTCAGGATTCGAACCCGGGTCTTCGGCACGACGAGCGAGCGCATTAACCACGAGGCTACCCGACCGCCCCCTGCGTGATTGATGGATGAAATGACAGGCACCCATAACTGCTCTAGAGGTGCTGTAGGCAGTGTCCAACCCAGAATTGAAAATCAAGGGGGGACTTGTCCCCCCATCATGTAGAAAATAGGAGGGATTTTGAAAAAGTAGGGGGGATAATTGCTTTCTTCAAAAATGTCTTATTTTGTATTATGTACTGGAACATCATCATAAAAAAGTGTAACAGATCAGAATAAAGAACTGAAATGAATAACAATGCTTTGTGCTTTTTTCTATTTTGATTAAAAAAGTCTGTAATTCTTTTGTTTTTGCGCGACATGGTAATTCACTATCCAAAAGATCGTCTGCTATGACAGTCGGCGATTCATATTGTGTGATTTCAGAAACGAAACTTAAACGAACTAAAATGCTCAAAATATTTTCAGAACTATTCAAGATAGAATATTTAATTGTCTTTAAACATCTTGTCAAAGGTTTTTGATTACTAAACAACAAAATATAAGATATTTTTTATCAAAGTTTTGATACGTTTTCTACTAAAGTAAATCAAATTTCGTTTCCTATGCCAATCCTATATCGATAATTTATTCAGCAACCTAAGGGGCATCACTCGTGTTCGAACTTCCTGTTGTTATCGATCGGTCTTCGACAGTTGTTTACAATGTTTGCTGTGAACTGTCTTTCTTCGTTAATTGATTAAAGATTTAGTGAGTATTGAATCTAAAGGTAGGGATAAACAGCTGATAATGTAAGTGACTGTACAAGAAATTACTGTGTGCGACAGATCGCGCTTTGTTTTTTTTATGAGGGGCGATTTCATTTTTTCAGCGTGAATCATGCAATTGCGCGGCCTGGGTTGGACACTATGTAGGTACAATGGGTATTATTGTGCATCCCTTGGGATACAGTATATTTTTTTCCTGCAGCCAATGTTAACATCTGTTTGTACTGGACGCACAAATGTCGCGTAAAACCCTGGTGTACTATAATTAGTCTTCATGTACACCCAATTAATCTCCAGAAAGCTCGCTGCAAAAAGCTGTTTAGAAGACTACAGAACACAAGGAATTATTCAGACGTGCTCTGACACTAATATTTGGTCCCAAGTCTGCAGCAAATGTCATTAAAAATTACCAAATTGAAATCCAAATTTTAAAATTAAATAATACAAACTGAAAAGTGTTCTACCAGTGTTTGAAACAAAACAAATTGCCAGGCTGCCATCACGACCCACAGACTTTAGAAGCTGCAGGCCCTGACTAAGCTCTTCAGGCCCTAATTTAAATAACTGCAGCTTATTGTGACAAACAAATCAGCACATAAAATTAATTTACTGCAGGCCACATGGACCAATACAAATTTGAAACTACGGCCTGACACGTGACCTACCTGCCACGGGCCTAGGGGCAGATGCTTATTTTGAACACTGCTTTTACTGACCCCGACAAACTTGACCTTCTTGCAATCGTCGGTGGGGCTGAGAAACTGCTTGCCTCCACCAGCTGCCTCCTCTGCTTCATCATCAGCATCCGAGTCGGACGGAACTGGAGGCAAATCACCAAATGTCTTCATCACACACCACTGTTACCATGGTAATTCATGTACATGGACCCAACATTCCATATTTACTGCGAAGTATCTAGACCTGCTCTTAGGCAGATATTCGGACCCAAGTGTGCAGAATTTTATAATGCTAATTCTCAAATTGAAATTGATAATTTCAAATTTCATGTCATGGTTATTATTACAGATACAAAACAAGCAAACGACATTTTCACTATCCCCTGCCATGGGGCACATTAGAATTTTGTTTCTTCATATAGTAGTGAACATAAACTATGAAAAAGAGACCTATAAAGCCTGAAGAAGTGATAGGCACTCGGCCGCTTATGTCATCAGAAAAAAAAAGAAATAAATGTGAAATTATTGCACACAAAAGGCCCCTTCTCTGGAATAAATAATGTATGGTACCAATTTTCAAACTCGGACTTGATAAGTATCTCTTACTTAAACTTAGTCTTTGAGAAAACATGTCCCCATTGTAGAGACACTATGCACTTTGTAAAATAACATGGATCAAGGGCTGTAACTGTGTATGCTCAAAATCTAAAAGCATGTAGCAAGGGAAGTAACTCTGGGAAAAATAATTTGACGAGTATCACATAGACAAGCATTAGGGCTGGGACAAGTCCAAATTTACTACCCGGGTACCCACCCAACTATTACTCGACTCTACCCGGATACTCGCTATAGGTCACAAGAGTTAGACACAACATGTCCGATTGGGAATAGTTTTATCGGAGCCAAGGCAAAATGTATTTAGATACAGTACATGAGTTAAATGTCTTGTCATGCATACACTGAAAAGTTGACTGAAGTTTTATCTTTATTCAAACCCATAAAGGTAGGAAGGAATGGGTGCAAAGTCAGAAAGAAATGCCAACAATAGTGACATGGAGTGTAACCATAGAGTTTTAGATAATATTTGTATTTTGACAATGTATCTTGTGACTAACCACAGGTCTGGGCAGTCCTGTGGGTTCCCCGGTCCTACTCAGGACCCACCCGACCTGAGTACCCGAGTTACCCGTCCCAGCCCTAACAAGCATGTAGCATCAGTAGTTTCTGAGAAAACTTGCACTAAGTTCAGGGATGTGAGTGGGTTTTGCCCAAAAGAGAGGAAAACTACTTTGGTTGCATTTTAAGCAATTTCGCGCAGTTTGGACAACATTCAAACCAAGAAATGTAATAAGTTTATGGCAAAAGTCAAGTCAAGTCGGTTGTCCGAAAACACAATTATATTTTTTGGAGAATTTTTTTTAAATCTTTGATTATATTTTTACAAGGAAGATGATTTTTTCCCGAGGACTGCTGTTTTAAAAAACGCGATTTTCCGCATTTCCGCGGAGATTTCACATCCCTGTAAGTTGAAAAGCACTGTGCAAGGGCAATAACTCTGTATGTAAAAAATGAATTTATGACGCCAATTTTTTAACTCATTTAAAATGATGACCAGTGATTTCAGTATGTAAAATTTCATTTCTCTAACTTAATAGTTTCGGAGAAAATTTGTCCCCTTTGAGGAGCAGGCGGATGGATTGACAAACTCCATTACTTTATCCCTGCCACAAAGCGGCGCGGGAGTAACGGAGTTCGTCCATCCGTCCGCCCGCATCTCAAAGGGGACAATGTAATGGCTCTGCAGACGTGAATTGTACTTCATTAATATCTGGACCAATAAAAAGTTAAGTGAGAGAATTTATGGACGTCATCTTCTTTGTTATGTGGAACACAACTATTCGGAACATATGCTTACTCCTTTATCATGTTCATCATGTACATCACCTGATGAAGGAGTAAGCATATACTCCAAAATGTATTTCACATAAAAAAGGTGACATCCATATTTTCTCTCTTATGTGCATCACTTCTAAATGCCATTCAAAGACTTAATAAACACTTTAACATGTCTGAGAAAATATGAACCAATTTTGAACCAAAATATTTTAAAAAGTCCCAAATGGCCCACCACTAGTACCAAGAGCACATTTTCTGAAATCCTAGATAAACCCCTATCCAACACAAGTACATCATCATTGAACCGTGACACCCCTGCCTCAGAACCACAAATATTTGTATATTTTCTGTATGTTCAGGGTCATTCATTTTTCACTGTAACAATGGCAACTTTATCATGTTTACTGATTATTGAAACAATGACAGTCCATTCATGTTCCAATATTAACCCTGTTTCAACCAGGTAAAATGTAATATCAAAATCACATATGAATCATGCATTTGACATGTTTGATCAACAGACAAAACTTCTGGTAATCCTGGATAAGTTGAATCAACTCACAAAACACGTTTGAGACAAGTAGGCAGTGCAGTGAGTTTGAGCAAACATATCTGGTTTGTTACAGGTAGAGGGGGTGTACGCATGATGTGCACATGCAGGTCTTGATAATGAAATTGACTACACTCCCGTGGACACATCTGCTCATAAGACTATTAAGAGGTCGGTGTGACAAGTCCATACCAGAATCCTCAAAAAGTTGCTTGATAGAAGTTAATTACAAATAGGTACATGACAAAATTAGGTAAGCATGGCCGAATCATACATTCTCAGGCTTGAGAATTGGCCAGTAATGTCATACATTACATGGAGGAAGAATGTACCAATAAATCTCAAGCACTGTCAAAAGCTAGCATTGCCAGGGTCTGTCTGTGTCAACACTAAAGCGCACCAGAGCAGAGGTATCGCTCGTGACAAAGGCGAGAGTAGTTTCATTAGCCAATGTCATGTCACGGACCACCCACTACCCTTCCTTCACACGCCAGTGGGCGGACCTCATACATAGTCACACAAAGTTAACTGCCAGGTCACAACTCAACTTATCCTGCCTTACAAGTACATCCTTCAAGATGCTCCAGCCTTATAAGTCTAACTTATTGATTAAGGAGCCAAGCAGCCCCTAACATGAACATTTAAGGAGTCAAACTGAAGTTTTTACTAGCCAACCTACAGTCAAGTCCCGTTAATCAGACATTGTTGGTTGCATATGATTATGTCAGATTAACGAGTATGTAGGATTATAACCGTTCGTGATCAAAACGCGGACAACTACACGATAGATCATGTAGATAGAGATACGAACACGCAGGAAGGAAAAATGAAATATTCATATTGTTGTGTTACATTGTCAGCGGAATATGATTTCTAATCATGCAACCACTAAAGTTTAACACAAAACTACTGTTACGGACTGTATGACTGATGCAAAATTGACTGATGTTTAAAGCATAGTCTGGAATGGAAGTCGCTAATTTGAAACTAGTGCCACAATGCTTAAGAAAGCTACTTTCTTGTGGCTAATGTCGACTTCCTGTAAGTAATTTCATTGGTCGGTCAACATGGTCAAAGTTTGCGAAAGGTCGTTCTGACGTGATGGGATGTCCTCAGTGGTAGCGAGAACTTGTATCCGAGTTAAATGAGATTGAGGTAATGTAGGCATGTGATTAATCCTGTTTTGTTTTTTTAAAGCAGTAATTGTTTATCTCTGCAGCCGTTAAGATATGCAGCTACTCGCCGACTCGTCTCGCATCAAAACACGGGCTGTGTACTCGCGGGCAGATGACCACGGAGTACACTGATCACTGTGTCGGATTAACGAGACTGATTAATGAGTGATTTCAGCAATTCGTTGCAAATTAGGTGTGTCGGAGTCGGAGTGCAAGACTGTCGGATTAACAGGTCTAAATAGCACTGATTTAATTGGTTCCCATCATTTTTTGTCGGATAAAGCCGATTGTCAGATTAACGAGACTGTATATTCCAATGAGCCAGACTGAGTATCTGAGATAGGACACATGTTCGCACAAGTTTCATTTGAGGTAGGATATATGTTTGCTGGGGCATAATTGTCTGAAGGCTAAAGACAGGTATTCAACTGTAATACTTCCTTTTGGTACAATATCACATATGTTCATGCAATTGCAACAGGGTACAAGATACCCCAGCTTAATGAATACCCTGCAATAGTATTAACTGTAAATAAACAAGACAAAAACTGAACAGGGCTCACTAATACCCTTGACTTCGACTCCAACATTTCTAAGTTCAAAACATGAAATGGCAATGTTTTCTAAGAAAATGCACTTATTGAAATCAAACTTTGCACTGCACCTCCCCTATTGGTATCTAGAAACTGTACCCTCAATCGGAAAAGAATCCATGAATTAGTTATAGTTATAGGCAGTGATTTTGACACAAAAAGCTGTATACAGGTCAATGACTTGGACCCAAGAAATGTAATAAGTCAGTGGCAAAAGTCAACAAGTCACTTAAACAAAGATTCCGGATGCAGTAAAATTTCTAAGATAAATCAGTACTTTTAAAAAATCGGGCATAGCTTCCGCACACCCGGCTAACCGCCGGGTCTGGGAGCAATACTGCCATCAACTTCACCCCCCATCCCCCAGACACAAGGACAACTGTCACAAGCGTGCAATGTCTGACCCTTCCCCATGTTGAAATATATATTTTTTTTAAATAGCCTTGTACTTACTTACCTTTTGTTGAAAAAAACATTGCAAATATGACATTATTTCAACACATATCCAGGGTTATGGGTTTTCGGACACTGAAGAAACAGTCATAGTTTTCTCGCTGATCACATGAACAACTGTAAGTGTAAAACTTCTCATTCACTTATTCATAAAGGACAACTTTATCTTAGAATCAAGCCATCATCTGAGTATTTATAATTTCTGTGTGACACCTACCGTTATGGTGCAAGTATTCGTGATTGAAAACGTATGATGTCCGAAAACCTATGATCCGACGATAATAGTATTGTGTCATGAATAATAATAAAGGCATAATTGATGCTGAAAGTTCTGATCGAAAACAGGACAATCCGCGACGGTTCTCTGGAAACACGATATTTTCGGAGTATTTTTTTTAATCTTTGATTATATTTTTACTAGGAAGATGACTCTTTTCGAGGACCACTGTTTTAAAAAACGTGATTTTCAGCGTTTTTGCGGAGATTTCACATTGTTAGATCTAATTATTTACGTATTGAACAAATTGACCAGTCACCGAAGGGACTTCCCGCGCTAGGCTACATGTATTTCGATTGCGAAAGTGTTATGTTGACATTTAATAGTCAATTTGCCTCAAATATGACTTTAAATGAGTCAAGGTATGGCATTTATGATATGTGTATCCATTCTCTTGCAAATAAAGTTCGTTTCAAGGCGTCAATAGCGGTAATCTGACCGTGGTTGCTGTAAATAACGGTGAGTTGTGCGATCTACCGATCACTTCGCATAAGATTTCGCCAAAATTATTATAATTATTGAATATTTTTTTTAATAAAATCTATAAGATATATTGCAAACATAAGTCCAGATAAACAATGAACACCTTTTTATAACCAGATATTATAATAATAGGATTAAATTGCGTACTTCAGTTCGGATTTGTTGACTGGTATTTCCGGTGTTACGTGATCGCGGTGATCAGTTGATTATGTTTTTTTGAGATGGGGGGAAAACATCGTGTCATTGGAAAACTTGAGTTTATTATAAACATAAGTAAATTTTGGGACCATGCTTTACCGCCCGCTATAACCGAGTAAGCGCTATTATTGACGGGCGCAATAGCGAGAGAACACTCACTGTATATGATGCTGAAAGCTCGGATCGAAAACAGGACAATATGTGTACTGTACATTCTCTCGATTGGCACTAAACTTTATGAGAGCATTTCATCGGGCATTAAAATCGATACCCTGAGTGGAATAATCCCTACTATTTAATCATGAAATTATGACACGTGTGACGGCTTGCTTAGCATTTCTATCGGTCAAAAGTCGAACAACTTAAACAAACCATCGGTCAAATAGAAATTTTATCGGTCTATGACCGGTGACCGACGGCCATCTAAAACCCTGATAGGTCACACATGTTGAAGTAAAAGAATATTCTAAGCTCAAAACATGAAAAATAAATTCTTTTTCAGAAAATACACATTCCAAAATTACACTTTGCAATGCACCTCTTCTATTAGTATGGAAACTGTTCTCTAAATTTGAAGAGAATCCATGAAGTTGTTTTCTAGCTATAGGTTGCACCAATGTTTCAGCCAAAACATTCTAAGCAAAAAAATGAAAACAAGATCCAAATATTGAAATCCAACTTCACACTGCACCTCTCCTATAGGCACAAAAAGTATTCACTAAGTTTGAAAAGAATCAATATACATGTATTTTGAAGTCTTCAAGTTATAGGTCACACATACACACCAAAAAAAACGGGATTCCTTCATATAATTTATACCCCCACCCTTTTATATATTTAGGTCGTCAACTGTTTCCATTGTTTTGTTTCATGATATAAACCGGAACCCAAATTCCCAAATACTTACCCGTCTCCAGTATGTTAGGGATACTGGGTCTCTGTGACACACAGGCCGACTCCGACGCACGTGGACTCTCATAGTCTATCATGGGCCAGTCTAGGCCATGAACATTCTGAACACCAAGCACACGTCCTAACAGTTTCATCTTGTGGCACAGATCTCGAGTAATGTTCAACCACAAACATAGAGACTTCACCCTCTGATTAAATTGCTCACTAGCATACAAGTCATTTTCTTTAGCAAACGCTTTTGTGGTTGGATAAAGACTTTCACAATCGTCCAAGTCATCTAAGAGTTTCTTCACACAGCTAAGAGCCTCTCGTTGACAATCCACCATATCTGATGTGAGATTCAGTGACTGAAATGATGCCGAAACACCTGGTGACACACGACCACACAATTTGTCGACAGGAGACGTCTTGGACACCTCATGTTCATGAAACGTGTCATCATCGACATCCGACATATCCTGGCACACCATCTTGAAGTTGATGATCTCCTCCAGAATCGCCATAACTTTTTCCCTTTCAAAATTCAGTTGTTCCTTAGCCTCCTCCAAGGAACAAAATCTAAACCATGCATGAAGTTCTATCCAAATAACATCATTGACCCTGTTCTGCCACATTTCTTGTTCTGAGCTCAACTGGCGCTTGTAGCAGTTAGCTAACTGTCTGTCTTTGTCCTTCTTATTTTGCGAACCCATATTAATCAAAGTAGAAAAGATATTGTAGAAGTCAAACCTCTCTTTCGGACATTCAATTGGCACAGCAGCTTCTCTCTGCATTCGATTATTTGGCGTAATAGTAATTGGATTCACTGGCATCTGTAGGCTGCTGAAGGTATTAGATTTATTTAGATCAATATTCGCATACATGCTGACAATTTTCTTATTGAGCTGATTTTCAGAGCTTTCCGTGAAATCATCAGAAAGCCTTTTAACAAAGCGTTCATGTCCACGGGACTTGGTCATCAACCGCTTGGAATCCTTATCTTTCCTTCTCTTGTCCTTCTTTTCTCGTTGGATGTCTCTGTCAAGATTGTCATCTGAATCAGTTCCGCTGAGTTTGCATAAGCCCGGATCATCTCCGTACTGCTCCTTGATGATATTGACGGGTGTCCGGGGTTGGGGCTGGGTCTTCTTCATGCCCAAGTATTCCTTCCATTCTTTGTAGGAATCAGTGCCTTGCTTCCCCTTACCTGACAGCTTCCTGCTGGCTCTCTTCCTCATCCTCGGCTGTGACGGAGGGGTCACGCTGTACTGAAAGGCCCCTTGGGTGTTGTAATCATCATCATCGAAACCCCCATTATCAAAATTGCTGTCCTGTTCTCCAGGACTGACCTCTCCATCGTCAGCTTGCACGAAGTTGCGTCTGTGGGGTATAAAAGGAAGGTTATAGCACAGTTCATTGTAGTGTAACTTTGTTTGTCTTTTAATGCCACACTCAGCAATATTCCAGCTACATGACACCATGACGCCTGTAAATAATTCAGTCTGGACCAGACAATCCAGTGATCAATATTGTGAGCAACAATGCAAGCCATCAACCAAGTCACCAATCCCAATCACCAAATCCATTTGGAGGCCTCTTACAAACCAGCATATATTGCCGGAGGCCAATTCTAACCCGGAATTCCAAATCCCCATGAGTCACTAAGAGAGTGTGCTAGACTGGTCTTACGCCGCTTTTACATATATTCCAGCAATTCTGTGACAGGAGACAACAGAAATGGGCTTCACACATTGTACCCATCTTGGGTGCCAAACCCAGGCCTGCAGTGTGACAAGTGAACAGCTTAACCACCAGGCTGTAAACTAGCACTGACCATAGGTCATAGGCTGAAAATAGGTGTTGACCATTGTGACCTACTCAGGGAGTTATCTAGACCTTTTCAGAGGCAGCTATTCGGCCCCAAGTTTGCAGCAAATGACAGCAAAAATTCCCAATTTGTATTAAAAATTTCTTATTTATTAAGAATTTAAGAAAAAAATGAAGAGTAAAAATCAATTTTGAACAAAATCATTCAAATATTTTCCCAAACTGCCCTCCAGCATTGTGTTTAGGGGCACTTTGTTTAGAATCTGATATAAACCCCTGTCTACTTGACATCTACAGGCTGGTGAAATACAAAACAATGCTTAACATATGCTTCAACTTAATAATGTAATATGTAAAAGATTGTGCTTTCTCTGAAGTTCTACACTAAATGGCTAAACATTCTAATTGTTCCAGTTATATCACAGCATGTCAGCTTCGTGTCGAAGGAAAGCCGAAAGTGTTGCAGATCTCAGATGTTTACCACTTCAGTGAAACCATAAGAACGGATTTGGTGCTGACATACCAAGACACATATTCGGAGAGAGCCGAGATTCAAACAGACAATCATATGTTTCTAGCATGGCATCTGAAAAACCATTGGACTTACTCCAGTCAAAGTTGGTATGAGATTATTAAACAGTCATACATAACTGGATATTACATTTAAAGACAACTGGTGCATGAATAAAAAAATCTGTCTATTTAGCTATCACTATATTTCATCAACAACCAGACCTGTTCGTCACGGGTGGAACGAGCATTTATTGCCACCTGCAAAATGCTACCCCTGCGTCACAGTTGAACCAATCAACTCAACTCGAAAGGGCGCACGGGAATCACGCATGCACGAATACGGTGTTAGCGTTGGGCATCTCAACGTGCGTGATTCCTGTGCACCCTTTCGTCTAAATAGACAGATTTTTTATTCATGCACCGATTGTCTTTAAATGTAATATCCAGTTATGTATGACTGTTTAATAATCTCATACCAACTCTGACTGGAGTAGGTCCGAAAGTTTTTCAGATACTGTAGTAAACGTCGGCACCTTAAATTACCTTCCAGACTATATGTGATACATGTAGGTAATTTTTCCCTGAGATTTGATCATGCAAAGGTACCAAGTAAACTGAAATTGCAAAAATTATGAAGGGGGATAACTCTAATCTCGTAACCTCGATTTGTTACAGATATTTATTTTATTTTTGATGGACAGTCATCTACAGAAACGTGGGAACTTTTCTAAATTTTGATCAACTAAGAGCTGTGCAAAAATTACTCCTGAAAATCGATACAGAATTATAACAGGAATGTACACATTGCTTGATTATCGTTGTGTTTAGACTAAATTTGCAATACATCGATACATTTTGTCATCCCTACAGCACAATATTCAAACATGTTTTTAACACCAACATGATTAATATATTTATCTCATATAATGGTACATGCCACGTACAATAGACATTACAAGTGTGTAGAAAATGAAGCAAATCCTAAGCCCTGGACAACTATTAAACCTGCATCACTTCAGGCTTTCCTCCTACATCAAGCTGACATGCCGTGATATAAACGGAATGCTGTTGAAAGTGGTGTTAACATGTTAAACCCAACTCACTCACTCATAATGATTAGAACATCAAACCGCTTATTATCATGATCATAATGCACAATGTCACAATGGGAGACAGAGATAAAAGCTGTCTTGTCCTTAGGCAATATCTCAATTGATTTCTATCGTGTTTTTCACCAAAATGTATTGCCACACATACCGTATTCTACGTAATAAGCGCCCACAGCGATATTTGCTGGTAGATTGGCTAGTGAACAAAGCACAATTAGCACCCCTTCCAATTGATCAATGTACACAAAACTTATGTATTCGGTATAATACGCACACGTGTGTTATATGCACCCGTATGTCTGGGCAATTAAATTCTGGGGAAAATATATCTGTCGTACATAAACATTTCAGGCTGTCAGTATAAACCACAAAATTTATCTTTCAACCATGTTTTGTTTCACCAAAATAATATTCTAATAAGAACCCCCTATTTCTAATTTTGAGAGCGCCCTGGGCGCTTATTATGTCAAATACGGTAATCTAAATACTTAACATGCTTAAGTGATTGTAACCATCGTAATAACTCAGCTCTCTGACGCATACACTTGTACAAATAGTTATTTCAAAATGCCTGCCAATAGGGATTGTTTGCACTCATCAATCTTCCAGCAATAGACCATGATGATGGCAGCTTGTGTATTACTGAGTATGGACCAGACAAACCAGTGTTGACATCATGGGCAGTTATCCGTGCTGTTGAGGTATGATGACACACAAGCAACAAAGTCACAGAGCCATATCTGTCGATCCAACATATTCTGTCACTATTCATGATACATGTTTCTGAGCAAAGTGAATACCGACATCATCCTAACAGTTCAGATGTCATGACACAGAAGGCAAACAACTGATAATAAATTCAGTTTCCCAAAATGCTGGTTTCCTGTGTCAAAAACACTGTTGGCATGCATCATGATGCAGTTAAGAATAAATTTCTATAATTTTTGCACTAATGTAGGTACAAACATAAGGCACTTTGTGTAAATCCACATAGCATATGCACACCAGTTTTTACATTTGCAGCTCCATAAATGCAAAAACATATTGAAGTCAATTCTTATAAACAATGTCAGCAACAATAACTTCACAGGTTGCTTATTTCATCATTAACACAAAAACCTGTAGACAACAGTACGAAATCAGTGACATTGTGAAACAAATATTGCAACACATGCCCCGCCCATTCCAATATCAGCCAATCAGGAAATCAGCAGTCTGTACTGGGAGTGGGATGGTTTTCTTTTTGGTCTATCATGGTTTATGGAAACATAAATGCAAATAAAATTCTTGTTTAGCCAATCAAATACAATGGAATCACTTGCAACCAATTTATTAACACAGCTGATTAAGTCATAAAGCTCTACAAAGTAGACACAATTTATGGATAACAACTTCTTTATTTACTGTAAAGGTGACGGTAAAGATCCTCGATACTATTGTCAAGCAAGGCTTCCTTCCACAAATTGTGTCTACTTTGTCATCTGTCAACTTCTAAGTAATGTCTATCAAACAATTCATAAAGCTCTAGTAAATGAATTGCCAAGTTAAAGTGATAACCCTAAAAATATAATATAAGTCCCTTTAATTCATTCATTGCACGAGCCTACCTGTGCCTTTGACATAACCAAAAAATGTCATTAAGAAGTGACCATCAAGCTTCTTGTAACAACCAGTGCATCAATTGGGTCAATATGATTACGCACAATTCAGAGGTTAAAGTTAGGATACCCACACAATCCGTAACGAACACGGAAGAAAGTGTAGGCGACAGTGGAGGCCCCAGTGTCACAAACGTCATTATCCGACTCAATTGACATGACCCCAACTATAGAACGGTGGGCGATGCTCAAAAGCAAATACGTATCCATGGCTATTTCAGCAAAGTGTTAATGTAATCTGATGGCATTTATTGTCAAATAATTCTGGAAATCACGTCTTTAGGGATACTGTCATGTAAACAGGTATGGGGCTTCTGCATGACGATCGGGGCCATATCGCACAACAAAAGCGAAGGAAGAATGTCTGTCCGCAAACCGATTGATTCTGCAGAACTGCAAACGGCTGCAGCTCCCATTGATCACGCATGATATAAAAATAACTTCCGACAATCAGTAGCACTAGCTGCCACCTACCGATCGTCCTTCAAGGGGTCGTAGTCTTCGCGAGGTGACCGAGAGTACCTTGCATCGTCTTCGTCGTCCGCCATGTTGGAATGCAAATATCGTGTTATCACACCTTCTCTCGAGGTCGCTGCGCGAGACAAGCTGCAGGTGCCCAGGGTGAACTTTGACCCAAACAAGCTTGAATCCCGCCAATTTCAAAAAGGTTGGTAGACAGTCGCATAGTCCAACATGTATCAACATGTTATCAATTTGACGTAGTATTTGTTTGTTTGTTGTTTAACGCCGCACTCAGTAATATTCCAGCTATATGACGGCGGTAATTTGACGTAGATCTAGTAGGAAATAGAGATAACGCACAAAGCGAACGCTGTATTCTATGGGGCATTTTGTATGACGAACAATAGAAAGTGAATATTTATGGGAGTAAGTACACATGGTTTTGCGCCGCTTTTAGCAATATTCCAGAAATATGGCGGATATCACCAGAAATAGGCTTCACATTACAAACAGTGGGGAGGAATATTTATAATGTAAACTTTAATATAATGAAATAGACATTTTTACTAAAGAATTTGCGAATATACCTTTTCCGAGAAAATCGGGTTTAGAATAGGTCTTCAGCAACCCATGCTTGCCGTAAAAGACGACTATGCTTGTAAGAGGCGACTCACGGGATCGTGTGGTCAGGCTCACTGACCTGGTTGATGCATGTCATCGTATCCAAATTGCGTGGATCCATGCTCATGATGTCAACCACTGGATTGTCTGGTCCAGACTCGATCATTTACAGAGGACCGTCATATAGCTGGAATATTGCTGAGTGCTGCGTTAAACAAAAAAAGACTATTCAACTAAAGTATCGATTGACTGTGTATTTTATTTGGCATTAGAACAATCACATGATGAAGATATTCCACCATAGCAAAAATATACTGAAGGGCAAAAGAAAGTAAACCCGAGTTGTTGTTTTTTATGTTATTGAATATTGAAATAACATAAAGAAGAGAAATCATGGATGTCGACTTCTTTATTATGAGGAACACAATGTTTCGGAGTATATGCTTACTCCTTCATCAGGTGAATTATAAAGGAGTAAGCATATACTCCGAAACGTTGTGTTCCTGATAATGAAGAAGGTGACATCCATAAATTCTCTTCCTTATGTGTATCACTCCTAAATGCTTTTCAAAGACTTGGTTGAAATAAAAGTTTTACTGTTGTTAAATTTGATTATATCTATTTATAACCACCACTAATTCCTGCAACAGTTTGTGAAAAGTAATCCGTGGCGGAGTATTTTGGGTAAATATAATAAAAAAATTATATTGGTTCAAATAAAATTCGGGTAGGAAATGAATTTGCAACCACATTACCCCCACCATGAAATGTTGTAAATCTGTGCCGAAAACAGCAAATACATTGATTCTCAAAGATAAGATGTCTAAGATACCTATCAGCTAGCAGTTGTGTATTACACGGGTTTTTTTAAAATGATTATAAAAGCTTTAAATCAAATTATATATAAAACAATGAAACATTTTTTAAGTATTCTTTGCGATCTGACTAAATGTTAATATAGTTAATGTTTTGGATATAATATAGCTAACTTAAGACGTTTTAAGATCATTTTGTGCTTATATGCAATGCTTATAGTGATTTAAGAGCTGAATACATTCCTCCTAAATATTTTACAACCCCTTCTAAAAATAAATTTAATGTTCTTATGTCATCCACTAACTTTGAAATCATACGAAATCTAGCAGTCTACGTTTCCAAAGCTTTTCGACTTCGGTCATTACATACAGTCTAAATATTTATTTGTATATATGCATGCGTATGTGTATGGATATGGATATATATGTAAAATAGTGGTAATTCTTTTTTCTCCCTCTCTCTGTGTAAATAGTTCTGTGTAATAGGCCTACGGCCTAACACTTTTTGTGAATAAAACAATTACAAGACGTTTTCAATAGAAAATCCCGCTTGCGGTAAAAGGTGACTATGCTTGTCGTAAGAGGCGACTAACGGGATCGGGTGGTCAGGCTTGCTCACGTTGATGCATGTCATCGTATCCCAATTGCGTGGATCCATGCTCATGATGTCAATCACTGGATTGTCTGGTCCATACTCGATTATTTACTGACCGCCGTCATATAGCTGGAATACTGCAGAGTTCAGCGTTAACAACAAACATTAGAAAATTCAGCATGCGAGAAAATCAACTGAGAGGCATAGTTTCTTTTCCCACTCAGTGTTATTTATTAATATTTTATTGCGCACTAGTTTAAGTGATGGTTTCCTAACAATATAACCATAAAAACAATACCATGATAATGATACTCCAACATGCCAAAAACACAAACTTAGAATTTTTTTGAATTTTTGAATTTTCTGCAACTTTTTGTGGTTGTTTATAACGCAGCAATATTCCACTTATATGACAGCGGTCTGTAAAAACAATATGAAGTCGGTAACCACAAGCCATCGGGTAAGATGATAAGCAATCAGCCGAGTCATTGAACCTATAGGCTAGACCTGTTCCAACTCAAACTCCCCTTGGAAGGGATATTGCTGTCATTGTAGAATATTGTTAAATTTGTAGATGAAGGGCATGAATTGTTTTGTGGTGTACATAAGTAGTCAACCCCGTCTCTATGGAGTATTTTTCGAAGATGGCGGCACTTCCGGAAATCAAAGCTCCCCACTGCGACAGCTAGGTGATCACAAACCATGCTTGGAGTTCAAATCACAACCGACTGACCGTTATGTCTACAAACAAGTGGTGACTGCCGTGGCGCCGAATTCTCTTACCCCGGCTTAATTATTTTCTTTGTTTGTCAATTTAATTTTCTATTTCATTCCAACTATCATGTGATTGGTATTGTAAGAATGTAACGGGGAAGTTAAGTGAGTTTCCGGTAGTCTGCAATCTCGAACCGGTCTGATTAAACAAACAAAAAGTTAAATTCATCTGGGAAATCTGGTCAGTCATGAATCTTTTCAAAATTCACTATGGTGGCATTCCCCAAAACATAAACAAATAGATAAACGTGACTAAATTTGGGGTTAGAGGACAAATTTCAAGGTTATTGTAATGACCGCGCCCACACTGACGGCAGCGATGTTACCGAGAGTGTATCGAAGGTATCACCCGCTGAGAAGGAGCTTGAGACGCCATATCCGGCAAGATGGTGTCACGTTCGGTTACGTGACCGGATACGCCGCCATCTTGACGGGATCTCTCAGGGGGAAGTGACGACATCTTGTATGAATTCACGAGATCCGACCGGAAGTGGTGGAATCTAGTCAGAAGTGATGGAATCTAGCCAGAAGTGATGGGATCTCGCCGGACAGGTTCATGTGAAGTTGTTTGAACTGTTGTCATTAAAGTTACTTTTAATTTCAGTTCCACGGACTACCCGCCCATTAAGTTTCAACTTGAAGCTGGTCACTTTATAATGTTGGAAATGGAAGGGATTCTTTTCCTTGCTGCCAACAATGGGTCTGTTGTCTACAAGTCCCAGTACCACCTGTTTGGGCAGCTGACCTCCAAATCAATTGATCTTTGTTGAAATCGCGCCCTCCTCAAGGGATGTCATGGACTCGGGTCAAAGGGTATTTTGCCATCACTCCTGGTGACATGTGTTTCACATGTTGTTTCTGTATTGAGTGAATATGTTGAGTGAGTGAGTTGGGTTTAACTTTTAACAGTATTCCAGTTATATCACGGCGTGTCAGCTTAATGTGGGAGGAAAGCCTGAAGTGATGCAGGTCTTTGACGTTTACCACTTCTGTGAAACCCACGAGTACGGGTATGGTGCTGACAATCCCCATAACCCAGCAACGCTTCCAAATATGTTTGGTATGGGTAGGTTCCAACAGAGGGCGTAATTTCCAACTGGTTGTGACCCACTTGCACACATACTTCCCGAAAGAGAGAATGCATCATGTTGTTCACTGTGGGCACGTTGAGTCCATCATCACCGTCACGCATCCGTACCATTTGTAGTCTTGACTTTCAGACAGATACGGAGGTAACAAATCTCAAATCAATGAAGGCATCGACAGGGCTAGCGATGTTAACTTGAAAGGGACCTCACACTGATGGTGCCGCAAAAGGACTGAAACGAATCCACTGATCTTTTTTATTCTGATATGACCACAGGCGGAACAATAAAGAGGTCCAGCTGAGCCTTGGAGCAATCACTGGCATCTCAGCGCATCATCTTGCCAGGACGTCTTGGCAGGTCTTGACAGGCGGCGAGCTCAGTGTCTTGCTGCGCTGATGCAGGAACCTTGATATTGACAAACTCGTTTAATATCAACAGATTGACAAACTGCGGTCTCCGTGCACATACTGCAAGGAGAGAGCAGGTTTGTGTCATTTGTAACCTCTCCACAGATACCAGCGATACTTTTGGAGATTGCAAATGTATTCAGTTTGATACGTTCTTTGTCACATGTTTCAATAACAATAAAAAGTGGCACAAACCACTCTCCACAAGCCTGTATGAGAAGAGGGATGACATCGGCCTGTAGTCAACGTTCCCTTTATGTCGACAATACTACTGAAGCGCCAGCTCCGGTAGACATTTCACAACTTTTGAGGTGCAATCGGGCATATTCCTTCTACCAAGATTTCAAAGAGCGCCACACAACACTTGCTCAGAAGTTGTATGATCAAGGTTATAACATTCAAGGCCTCAGTAAAGCTTTCAAAAAGTGACAAGAAAGATGTCCGATGCAAGTACCTGTTTTGACTTGTACGAAGGCTCGTCAAAATGTTCTGAGCCTGTCTAACTTGCATCAATGGGCCAATAACAAAGTGAAGTAGTCAATGTAGTACATTATTTGAGTAGTTCATTGCAAGCGTATTTGGTCTGTTGATGCCGTTTGCATATTGGTGACAGCCAGTTGAACGTCATGCGGGTCCAAATAGACACCGAGCAGTCATCAAGTTTATTACTTTAGAGAAAAGGACCCCCCAAGAAATTCATGACCGCATGTCACAAGTGTATGGGGATAGGTGCCCTAGCTAGCTACACGTTGGACAAGCCTGGTTGATGACCCATGACAATGCCTCTTCTCACACGTCTCGACTTGCAAAGGCTGCTGTGCGAAAATGTGGGTTCGAAGAGCTTTCTCACCCTCCATACTCGCCAGACCTGCACCAAGTAATTTCCACATGTTTCCAAAACTGAAAGAACATCTTCGCGGAAAGCGCTATGACGACAACGATGCCCTCAAAGCTGCAGTCAATGGGTTTTTCAGAGTGGCTTCAGAAAACCTTTTCCTGACTGGAAATGAAAAGCTTCACTAGCGGTATGAGACGTAAAGTGAAAAGCAGGACGATCACGTTGAAAATTAAAATAATCACTTTCACAATTGTTGGTTTTGTTTGTTTGGCTCAGAACTTTTGACCACCCCTCGTACCATATGCTCCTGTGTCTTTTCAGGTGAACAGTTGACTTGCTTTTGCATGTGTTTGTGATGGGTGCCTCCGGTGGGGCAGACTACACTCAACTTTCACCAACATCTGGTACCATCACTTTTTATAGTTATAGTTATAGTTATAAAGTTATATATAGAATTGTACAATCAACTCTAATTTTGGTAGAGATTTCTTTTGACTATGGAAAGGCTTTTGTCGGGATTTTTATATATAAATCATTGTTAAATAATGATACCATGTGTTCGCGAAAAGGGTCAGTATTTTGTTTCTGAACGAGTATCCGTGTGGACGAGTTGTAAAGTTCCCTGCAAGTGCGGGGCCACGAGCGAACACATTTTTACCCCTGAACCAATCACGTTTTTCTACTTCTTTTGTGTCAAATTTCTGGGGAATCGTTTAAGGAACTAATTGTGGATTGTTCGCCAAGTGAGTGAGTGAATATTTACCACATGGTGAAATACAAGAACACGAGTACGATGCTGACAAACAAGTGATTATTGTCAGAGCTATCACCCGATAATACCGGCTCCCTTAAGATACGTCGCTGTAATGTTCATGTGCAATTGAGATATAATCTTGATAACTTTATGTGATAAACCATATTGTTTAAACATATTTCCTCATGTTCAAAGAAACTAGTGATTGATGTCAAGAGAAACCAACCGCCGGGGCACAGTGACAGACAGAAACGCGTTCATGTGTATACACAGCAATACCCAATACCCAACACATTAATAATCAGTGAAGTACTTAGGACAGTTTCTGATCAAGATTTAATACACAAGAAGTTTACATTATTCTCAAATCTATCTTACCTCATATACATCAAATGTTGCTCAATGCATATCAAGGGGCGGTCGGGTAGCCTAGTGGTTAAAGCGTTCGCTCGTCACGCCGAAGACCCGGGTTCGATTCCCGACATGGGTACAATGTGCCCATTTCTGGTGTCCCCCGCCGTGATATTGCTGGAATATTGCTAAAAGCGGCGTAAAACCAAGCTCACTCACTCAATGCATATCATGATCAGTATGATCATATTACTTGTCCCTTTATCTCCTAGGATCACCACGGTGTTAAAGGAGGCGATGAAATGCACATGGTGAAACGTTAAAAACAATAAATGGACAATCGTTTAAAACTACCCTCCATTTTCTCAAACAATGACGTCAAGTGCTTCCTCGATAACTAAAAAGTCAGACTGAACTTATAGTTCAGATAATCCAGGCACGAGATTGGTTCATATTTGTCTGAACCATCTAGACATTTAATCACGGTGTCATTATTAGGGTTGACAAAGAAAGCAATTGATTGTCGACTCTGATGTTTCTTCAGTTCCAATTCAGGAATCAGGATCCGGTGTTTCTGAAAATAACAAAGATTCATGATGTCCGTTACACACCTGTGAACATATTTGGCTTACAGTTGCTTCTCTCCGACAATCAAGAGTTTTTTGTTAGTCTTGGACGTGATGCCTTGGCTTGATATGTGGGTGACTGTGCTAGTTCATATTTAACGGTAGGGCACAAATGATAGTCAGTCCTAAACACTAACGTGTGGTTGATTGTGTGAACATTAATCCAAAACAGTCAGTATGGACATTAACTAATCTATGGTTTATCGTCTAAACATAACCCGTGCATGTTTGTGTGAACATTGAACCACATCGGATCAGACTAACAGCTAAGATTCCAAGATTTAGCTATTCAAGTACTGTGCATCTTTACAAGCACCCAGTGATCAGATGAACAGTTGACCAATAAGACCTTGGAGTTGATATGTCATGCTCACGAGACATGTAGTATTATGTACCCACAGTGCTAGTCAGTCTTGTGTTGGTGCAATCTATTCTTTGAGTGGATTTATGGCAAGTGACACATGAACACGGGGCTATCTTCCACATTTCGGTTGTTACAATGTCACCAATCTGACGTTTCCACTGGATTTTAACCAAATTGTGACGGGCAAGATCAGACCCTTCATTCTGTTACGTCAAAAACTAAAAGCAGTCACACCGTTCGTGTATTGATTTGACAACTCACTGATCTTTACTCGGACAGACATAACACAGAACTAAACGACATGTAAACAGCCTGTCAGATAATGTTGTCTCATTATTTCACATGAGTACAAGAGACGTTTGATAAGACTGATTCTGTCAACTCTGCTCACTGTGGCTTTAAGCTGATCTCCAGTCCATCGCTGCATGAGGTCACCAATGTTGACCACGATGGTGCCAGGGACAGGCTGGGCCGGAACATACACATCGTCAGTATTCATCACCTGAAACATGCCACCAGTATTCATCACCTGAAACATGTCACCAATATTCATCACCTGAAACATGTCACCAATATTCATCACCTGAAACATGTCACCAGTATTCATCATCTGAAACATGCCACCAGTATTCATCACCTGAAACATGTCACCAATATTCATCACCTGAAACATGCCACCAGTATTCATCACCTGAAACATGCCACCAGTATTCATCACCTGAAACATGCCACCAGTATTCATCACCTGAAACATGTCACCGGTATTCATCACCTGAAACATGTCACCAATATTCATCACCTGAAACATGTCACCAGTATTCATCACCTGAAACATGTCACCAGTATTCATCACCTGAAACATGTCACCAGTATTCATCACCTGAAACATGTCACCAGTATTCATCACCTGAAACATGTCACCAGTATTCATCAACTGAAACATGTCACCAGTATTCATCAACTGAAACCTGCGATACCACAAACTTGTAATCAGTATCGATCATAATTATAGTTATCTGACATTTTCTGTATCTTACCAAGATGGCCACCCAAGGACATATTTGTGAACCTTACCTCTAAGCCCCCAACGTCATCCTGGAACAGCAGCGTTATTGTTCCGTAGTCGGTATGTTCTCCACAGCGAATTTGACCTGATTTCACGGCTGCAACAGCAGACATGGAAACTCTTTATATCTTATATTTGTTAAAATGTGCCCATCAGAGACAATTGTCCATTTTGAATTGCAATAACATATATCAATATCCACATTCATATCTAGATACGATACACGCCCTACGCCCATTCCAACACCAACCCCCGCCCTTACTAAAACACATAGCTCACCTCAACGTTGTATATAAAGTAACAGCGACTGTTTAACCCATGTTACATTGAATAGAAACAACGCTTACTTCCAGACACAGGGGGGTAGTACAGACTTCTGAGAGTGGTGGCGCCGCCCTTCTTGCCCATCAGGTTGTGACACTCACGCAGGTAATAGCGATCCTGCAACACGGGCAGAAATTGAATTCTTAGATCCCGAAACACGGGAAGAATTCTGATCCTGCAACGCAGTTGCAAGCACATATTGCAGGTAATTACAAAAGTTTGATGCACTAAGCATGACATCAAAGAAACGCGCACCTATCTGTTTATACCTATATATACCTACATTTACCTTATGAACCTACTATCGAGGTCATACCTGAAGTTTGATGCCGATAGACAAGGAAACTCTCTGTCAGCTGTTCATACCTGCAGTTTACAACAAAACACCTACATTCATCCAATGAAGCTACTATTAAGGTCCTACCTGAAGTTTGAGGCCGATAGACAGGACATCAAGGACTCGCTCTGTCAGCTGTGTGCAGTCATCGAAGAAGGATACGAAAGTTGACTTAAATTTGGGAACATCCGCCGGCCACGCCTGTAATTTACCAACATTTCACTTGTGTCATCTAGCAACTGGATACGAATTTGGACAGAATTGTTTGTTGAGTTCCAAACGAAACGCAGTTCCGACTTCCGAGCTCACTGATATCCAAAAACGTGATCTATTTGCACAACAAAAGACACACAGTGCTAGAATAACATGTCTAGACACGTTCCATGCATCAGAGACTGTTCATATCCATGAGACAAAATGTCCAGAGCAGCATGTACACCTTTAATATGAAACACGGATTGTTCCATGCTGAAGGTACCCATGAAAGTGAAGCGTAGCAAAGTTCCGGTCGACAGTTTTTTTGTGTGAGGCGGAATGAACCAAGTCCAAATTAGGCACAAATAATCGTCATCGAGTATTGATCAAGACTAAAGCTGGAAAACACGGAAATAGATCGACAGGGTCACCACACTACGATGAACCGTCTCGTTGCACATAATGCACAGACAAACAGAGCAAGGTTGCCCAAGGAGCGGACGTCAACGTGTAACGTCTTAACGTAAAGACGTGGTAATTTTCCGTTCTCACTTGGGCCAACGCCCTTTGGAATTAAGTATATAAAGGACGAAGTGGGATAAGGGCCCTATGTGACCCACTAGAGATGTCAAATGTTAAAGTTGCGGAAGACTGAAATATTGATATGAAAATAATCAGACATGTTCACATTGCTGACATGACCAGGCACATTAGTATGGCCCAAATTAGTAACAACAGGACGATGTTTCGAACTTGAAATGAAATTATAAGAATGACGAAGACCTATTCGATCACTTATTCCAAGGTCAAAATCTTACTTTTGTCTATAATATTGTTTCAAACATGTCATACACTATTATCCATCTGGGGGTCAGAACGGACCCTTAGCATACCTTGTCCTTTGTAGATGAAGTGTCATACTGTAGAAAGATGTTACCCCATTTCGGGTGTCCCCTGCCATCATACCACTGCAATGTTGCTATTTAAGGGGCATAAAACAATTTTAATTCACTTACTTGGGCTTGTTCCTATGCACCCTAGTATATGTGCTCATGTGTGTGTAAGTTGTGTGAAACACTTTATTCCTTGATCACTGGGGCTGTGTTAAAATACGTGGTGACCACAGATACAGTTACGTATCTATATTCAGAGGTTCCAGACAATTTGTGAAACATGAAAGCAAATACCATCTGAAGTTTACTGAGAAAACAATATGAGAAATGCTGGACTTCCTCAATGATAACACCTTCGTAAGATTTGGGGCGTTAGACATTTAGGCAAGAGGTAGGCATCGCCATGGGCACCATTTGTGCTCTCCACTTGCAGATGTGTTGCTTTAGGCATATGAATCAGAATTTCTGTTCGGATTGGCAATGTCAAAACAAGGCAATCTGGCCCAAAAGTGTAACTTAAGCTTCAGGTGTATCTATGATAGCGTTCAATAACAATCAAATATTCAATTCCCTTCCACTGATTTACCCTCCTGAACTAGAAATAAAGGAGACCAGTGAGACCGCCTCATCTGTTTCATATTTAGATCAATGCATAAAGATTCAGAGTGGCACTAAACTCTCCACAAGACTTATGACATCGACATTTCGCCAAGACGCTTAAAAGATCCATATGAGGTTTTATTGAGTTCAATTTTCAAGAGTGATTTATATTACGCATAATGATTTAAGAAAACAGAATTGTTCATCTTTTGACTCCAGGTTTGAACAACAATGTCAATACATCTTCTCTTGAATAATTCCATAAAATAATGCACCTCTCCACAACCCTGCGATATCCTGGCGTAACCATAACCAGATTCAAACAAAAGCATTCTCACATGAGATGCCCAATTAATACTACCATTATCATCTTGTACTTTCAGCATTTTATAGGAAGCATGTGGAAGTCGATATAGATCATGCGTCTGGAATAATTAACACTTAGATGATAACATTTAGTGTGGTTTAAGACTACAATGAACAGTATTTCAGTTATACAACGGAGTGGCATCTTTATAGGTGACGTGTTTTCACGTGTGTGTGTGCGTGCGTGCGTGCGTGCGTGCGTGTGTGTGTGTGTGTGTGCGGCTGCTTGTACTATTAGTCCGGACTAATGCTGATTTTATCGTGCTAGCCCACTGAGATACCATGCCGCATTTTAACATGAATACCCCACTCAGACACAGTATACTGACTCCGGGTCGACCAGCACTCTGTTTTAGCCCCTTAATACCGAGCGCCAGGCAAGTTAACAACAAGTACCGACTTTTAACGTCTATTGGTATGTCGCGGCCGCAGATCAAACCCCCGACCTTCCACTCTCCGGGCAGACGCTCCACCACTATTGTTTGTTTGTTTGTTTATTTGTTGTTTAACCCCACAGTCAGCGATATTCCAGCTATATGACGGCGATCTGTAAATAATCAAGTCTGAACCAGACAATCCAGTGATTGATCCTCGCAATTGGGATACGATGATATGCATCAATCAAGTCAGCGATCCTGACCATCACACCCCGTCAGTAGCTCCTTACGAGAAGCAGAGTCACCTGGTAGGGCAAGCATGGGTTGCGGAAGACGGATTCTACCCTTGATTTTCACGGGTCGCTCTACCACTAGAACACGGAGGCGGTCATATGAATAATATGGGGTATGTGATTCACGAGTCCATGAACAATACCTATGGTCGCATTTATCAAAATACTGTAAAAAATATTCAAGAAGATTCAAATTTAATTTTAAGACGTATACCATTGAAAAGATACTTATATATCAAACCAAATACGTAAATAACTTTCAAAGTTAATATTTGGCTTAGAGGAATAATTGTGTAATTTGGACAATTAGTTGGACAAAGTAGTTTGAGAAATGAAAACCCATGTGATAGACAGACAACGAGTGTGGCAATGGAGATAATTATTTGGTGTTGCTTCGTTAATGTAGCAAACTCATTTATTATCATGATCTCGCCGAAGTCACGTACTTGCGTGACATCTCACTCACAACACTTGCTTTCACAGCCATCTACCCAAAGACAGGCTATAGTATTTAGGTCAAGTAAATAAACATACGCATACCGTACTCGCGAAATAACACACACACACACACACACACACACACACACACACACACACACACACACATGACTGCACGGTGGGCTCATTGAAAATGAGATTTGAACATTTAAACCTAATCAAAGGTCATCATTGTAGTAACAAGCAGCAGGACATAACATATCATTAAGATCTATTCACCTTCAGTCAGGTGACCTAAAAGTAACATGCTGTGGCATATTCCTGATGATAAACAATTCTGAATACCCCATCATTCCTTGGCGTAAAGTTGAACGCTTCCTTCAGGTCTCCAGTCTGTCGCTCGGGATTCAGCCTTGTAAGGAAATAAACAAAGAGGTGTCACTATACTGAGCCGCTTTGGGTAATATTTTAGTTATACAATGTTAGATCAATGATGTAGGGAAGCCCAAAGTGATGGCGTCCTGTAAATAATCGACTGAAGATGAGACAAACCAGTGATTGATATTATGAGCAACGATCAAGCAATCACTGACCTTGACCACACGGTCCGTGTACGGCAGGCATATGTTGCTGGGGATCAGGTCCAACACGTAAATCCCCGCGGTGATCGTAGCCGGGTGAGCACGGGTAGGGTGGTGACATTGTAATGGGAACGAATCTTGGATTCGAACCCAAAATCAGCAAGACAACGATACGCACCACTGCACAGTGTACAGTGTACACGGAGCGTTATTGTTAAATGAGTGAGTGCATATTTGTTAATGATGTTAAGAATCCGTAAAATAACCCAGTCCAGACACACCGTCATGATACGTCATGATCGTATGGCTTAGAACATACACCAAATAAAGGTGTCACTGAGCCACAAAGATCCGCAGACAGAAGGGTTTGCCGCAAGTATCACTGTTACATCACGGTTATTGTCATCGTCACACATATACTTCACACACTAGTGACTGCCCCCTGGATCTATCAACCAACTGTAAATGTAGATCTCAGCATCTTAGTCTACAACCAGTTTACTGAGGATAGTTAAAGTAAATCTTCCCCGTAACCTACCTTTCTCAGATAGGACTCATTGGAAACAGTATGAAAGTAAAATCGTTCAAATATTTAGTTGCCTGTAAACAACTCTACGAATTTAAATTTTATTGATAAGATAAATATGGAAATATTGGGCGGGGTAACCAAAAACACAATAATCATTTTCGTGACCTACGATTCGCTCTCCAGGGCAACCCAGCCATGATCACCATGGTCTGTGTGGACTCGAGCACACTTCCTCTTCTCCTCCACAGGTTGATCAAAGAAGGACTTGGACGCCGTGAACATGTCATCCACCTGGAATAACAATAGTACAATAAACCTCCATGGCTCACCTAATGACACTGTGAACATGTCATCGAACTGGAATAACAATAGTACAATAAACCTCCATGGCTCACCCAGTGACACTGTGAACATGTCATCGAACTGGAATAACAATAGTACAATAAACCTCCATGGCTCACCCAGTGACACTGTGAACATGTCATCCACCTGGAATAACAATAGTACAAAAAACCTCCATGGCTCACCCAGTGACACTGTGAACATGTCATCGAACTGGAATAACAATAGTACAATACACTCTCACCTAGTGACACTGTGAACATGTCATCGAGCTGGAACAGAAACTGCATGTGTGATGGATGACTGTATCATTTGATACATTGCATGTGTGATGAAGTAAAAACAGGAGATGTGGTTTACCAGCCTCTGACGAACGCCATGATTCATCAGGTACACAAAGCCAATTGTACTGAAGGCATCATATATCTCCCTGGCCGTAGTCTCCAAAACTTCACTCGCCACGGATGTAGGGTCCGCTACATTCAGTCCGTACTTCTGGAAATCAACAACTGGAATAGCAGACGCCGCCATGGCCGCCCGATGAGATTGCGAACTGACCTCTCTCCCAGGTCAAGTGGCAAATACGTGACTTCTGATTGACCTGCATTTATTTTAAAGCTGCGGTAACTCCACAAGGCTTCGAGCGTTCATGAATACTTGAAATAAACATACTGACACTTGTTTCGTAAACCAATATCTCACACACCGTTCAGCAAACATTTTAGTGCGTTCTTCTACTAGTTAATTAAAATAGTATACAACTCATAGATTATACAACTCGTTCCACTCGTTCCCAATTTTACAAGTTCAATGGTGATACGCCAGTGCTATTTTCACTATAATGGTGGTTAATTGACGCATATCATTACATGGAGAACATGGAATATCGCCAAAGCGGCGTAAACCGACACTTACACGCTTCCGGTGGATATTTTGGGAACTGGACACCAACGGGTAATTAGAGAAAACAGTCACTGCACAAGAGAAAAAACCCAAAAGGGTAAGTGAAAACGGCCACCTCTTGTGGACAAAACAGTCAACACGAATGGCGCAAACGGGTTGTGTATTTATAATGTTATGAGTGGAGTACTAGATTAATCCATTGGTTTTTTAAAGTTTTGATTCTATTTCCCCGATTTGATGGTAGAAGCCAGTTCGAAAATATAACTTGTTACTCATCTTTAAAAAACCGACCGTGAAATAGTTTCTACAGAACTTTAAAAGACTATTCCAATGTATAACTTTGTTTTGAATGAGAAGATCTCAGTTCAGTGTGTTATTGTAGAAGCTAGTTAGCTGTAATCATAAACGTATATATAGGCGGGATAATGTGAGTTGAATATGAATGATCACTCGTCAACACGAGACCTACGTGCTCGGATTGCAAGAAGACAATGAAAGCTGGGCAACATGCTAATATTTGAGTTTTGAGGTGTGTGGATATTTGTAAATGTGGACATCGCACCATAATTTAAAATACGTCTATGTTTGAAACATTTTCATAATTTTTCTAGTCATACTCTATTTGTGAGATATCAATCAAGTGTTGTGAGAAGTCTGAAAAAGGAGAAAAGATTTGTGAACTGTAACAAAACATGTTGATCGAATCAGTCATGTATTATAGTACTTGTTGAATGTTAACTAAAATATTCTAGATTCACTGTTGAATGTCATAAAAACTTATTTAAGAGCATATTGCTACTTCGATTTCTAATATAAATCCAGAGACCAATTTATCCAAACGTGGTGGCCGTTTTCACTAACCCTATTGGCTGTTTTCTTTTGCGTGGTGGCCGTTTTCAATGTTGGTCGCTTTCACTGGGACTCTCTATTTTCACGGGAACATTGCCAAAGTGGATTAACCAAATATTAATTATCAATGTTAGAGAATAGCCATTCAGTAATGTAGATTATCCACCGAAACAGATTCTATTTAGCTCAAGGGGCAAATAGCTATGAAAATTAAATGAATAGAAAACCCAGAAAATCCGTTATGATACCAGGTGTTTGCTAAGAGGGTAAGAATATTCTGTCATACCGGTAGTGTTGTAAATGCGTCCCGGGGTGCTAATGGACCCTACAACATTAACCTTAATGTATTGTTGTTCCGTGTCGTCATGGGCACTAAAGTCATGACTCTGCAACTCCTCTGGCCATCGGAGTGAGCGGTCCGATGAACATAACGACTAACTTACTCTCAGCAGCATGTGTTTTTGAGGGAGGGCTTGGGGGAAAGGGGAGGGGGGAGGGGGGGTGAAACTCACTTTGGACTCTCCCTCACGGTCACGCTGAGGGACGCAGGTCCAGTCATGCAACTAGCTGTTGGATGGAACGTGCCAGGATCGGTTGGTCGTTCGAATCTTACATTTTCCCTGATTACGAGCATTGGTTTGTCTGCACCACATACCCGTGTGATTATAATTTATTTAAAGAGAGTCTAAAATAGGGTTCTCCAAATCAATACATGTCTAAAACCTGCATCAGGCTCTCGGGACGGTGAGGTAGCCTGGTTGTTAAATTGTTCACTCGTCACAACGACGACCCGGGTTCACGTCCCAACATGGGTACAATGTGTGAAGCTAAATTCTGGATTGAAAACTGATAAAAGCGGCGTACAACAATACTCACTCACTCTTCAGGTTCCCACCTCGTATAGGCTTACATGCCGTGATATAACTGAAATACTGGCTCATAACACAAATCTACCTGTATATATCATATGACATGCATATGTAAGTATGTCATACACCATTGGGAGGGAGTTATTGTTGTTTAACGGAGCATTCTGCCGTATTCCGGCTACATCATTGCTATCTGCGCATAATCTGGTTCAGACCAACAAGTGACTGGATCCATAGGATATGTGAAATGCTGGACTACCTCATTGATAACATTTGTGTAAAATTTGGGGGTAAGACTTTCAGGCAAAAAAAGCATCTCCAATTGTTCTCCCATTCTTGCTGATCTGCTTTTTTTGCATATGAATCGAAATTTCTGCTCGGATTGGCAAAGTTAAAACAAGGTAAATTCGCCAGTTTAACTTGAGTTCTAGGTTTATCAATGATCTGATATCGTTCATTTAGCCATAAAACAGTCAATTCCCTTCCACTGATTTACTCGCCTGAACTATGAATAAAGGAGACCAGTGAACCGCCTCATCTGTTGCATATTAAGATCTATGCATCTTAAGATTCAGTGTGACAAAACACTCTCCACAAGACTGAATGACAAGAGGGATGACCTCAACTTTCCTGTAGTCAATTTTATGTCCAGCAATAATCCTGATGAGCCTTGGTAGACATTTCACAACGTTTGAGGTACAATTGATCATGCGCTTTCTACAAAGTTTTCGAAGAGCGCCACACGTCTCTTGCTCATTCGTTGATGGATCTATGCTACAAGAAGGTCTCAGTACAGCTTTCAAAAAGTGTTATGGTAGACATAATTATGGAGGGAATTTCCAAATTTGACGCCTCAGTGAAAAGAATTATGTTCGATGCAGTTGCCTATTTTGTTCTATCTGTGTTGCCTACAAGTTCTTCCTGTGTTTCATCATGTGAACAATTGACTTGCCTTTGAACGTGTTTGTGATAGGTGCCACCGGTGGGACAGAATACGCTCACCTTTTCGCGCACACCCGGTACCATCATCAATTGATAGTGATTCATAAACACATGCTCATCATATAGTCAGAGCTGTACAGTCAACTCTGCTTTTGGCAGAGATTTGTTTCATGAATATAGAAAGGGGTTGGTTGTTGTTTTATGTTTGAGTCATTGTTAAATAATGATCATACCAGGTGTTCGCGAAAATAGTAAGTACGTTAGTATTTTGTTTCTGAACAGGTCTCCGTGCGAATTAGTTGTATTAATTGTTTCATGCAAGTGAAGGGCAACGACGAACACATCGTTACCCCTAAACCAATTTGTCTTGTGTTTTGTAGTCTAATTTCCGGAGAATCGTATCTCCAAAACGGCTGTTTAAGGAACCAAGTGCGGATTGGTCGCAAAGTGAGTGAGTGAATACTTACCACATGGTGAAATACAAGAACACGAGTACGATGCAGACCAACCAGTGATAATTGTCAGAGCGAATCTGTAGTTCGAACCCACATTTACCTGATAATACCGTCTCCCTTAAGATACGTCGCTGTAATGTTCATGTGCGATTTAAATATATTCATGAGAACTTTAGGTGATATACGATATTGTTTAAAAATATTTTCTTATTTTCAAACAAACCAATGTTTGATGTTAAGAGCAACGTCCCATGGGGTACATGGGCAGACAAAAACGCGTTGATGTATATACACAGCCATAACTTTTACCCCACACATTAACAATAAAAGTTACACATAATAACCTGCATGTATATATTTAGAATTAATCAGTCAAGTCAAGATTCACTACACAAGAAGTTTACGTTATCCTCAAATCTATCTTACATCATATACATCAAATGTTGCTCAATGCATATCATGATCAATATGCTTATATTACTTGTCCCTTTATCTCATAGGATTACCACGGTGTTAAAGAAGGCGATGAAATGCACATGGCGAAACGTTAAAAACAATAAATGGACAATCGTTTAAAACTACTCTACAATTTCTCAAACAATGACGTCAAGTGCTTCCTCGATAACTAATAAGTCAAACTGAACTTATAGTTCAGATAATCCAGGCACGAGATGGGTTCATATTTGTCTGAACCATCTAGACATTTAATCACGGTGTCATTATTTGGGTCGACAAAGAAAGCAATTGATTGTCGACTCTGATGTTTCTTCAGTTCCAATTCAGGAATCAGGACCCGGTGTTTCTGAAAATAACAGAGATTCATTATGTACGTGACACACTTGTGAACACAATTGTCTTACCCCAAAGCTTAAGCCATTCAAATACTGTCCCCCTTCACAAGCACCCAGTCTCCATGATCAGATGAACAGTTGACCGACAAGACCTTGGAGTTGATATGTCATGCTCACCAGACATGTAGTGGTATGTACCCACAGTGCTAGTCAGTCTTGTGTTGGTGCAACCTATTCTTAGAGTGGATCCGTGGCAAGTCACACATGAACACGGGGCTATCTTACACATATCGCTTGTTTCAAAGTCACCACTCTGTCTTCAATTTGTGACAGGCCAGATCATACCCTTCATACAGTTACGTCAAAAACTGAAGCAGTCACACCATTTGTGTATTGATTTGACAACTCACTGATCTTCACTCGGACAGACGTAACACAGAACTAAACAACATGTAAATATAACTGAAAGCGAACAGCCCAGAGGATGTAGTATCAAGGAACACTCGTCCGCCCTCGGGTTCAGTCGGCCTGTTCCGCTACATAACACCTCTGATGTTTGTTGTTTATCATCATAGAGGCGGTCGGTAATTAAACCGGTCTGAACCCGATAGTCCAGTGATGACATCATGTGGGTCGTTGTACACAATTTGGAAACGAAGACATGAGCATGAACATGAGCATGTTTGAAGATATATTCTGTGCTTAACGCCAATTAGGTAGGGCCCATGTAGATTAGGGATAAACAGTGTCAGAAAATGTTCTCCCATTATTTCAGAAGAGACGTTTGATAAGACTGATTCTCTCAGCGTTAACCCTGCTCACTGTGGCTTTAAGCTGATCTCCGGTCCATCGCTGCATCAGGTCACCAATGTTGACCACGATGGCGCCAGGCACAGGCTGGGCCGGAACATACACGCCATCAGTATTCATCACCTGAAACATGTCATAGAACACACATGCCAGCAGTATTCAATACCTGAAACATGTCATAACACATACATGCCAGCAGTATTCAATACCTGAAACATGTCATACCACATACATGCCGGCAGTATTCATCACCTGAAACATTTCATAGAACACACATGCCAGCAGTATTCAATACCTGAAACATGTCATAACACATACATGCCATCAGTATTCATCCCCTGAAACATGTCATACCACATACATGCCAGCAGTATTCATCACCTGAAACATGTCATAGAACACACATGCCAGCAGTATTCAATACCTTAAACATGTCATACCACATACAGCAGTATTCATCAACTGAAACATGTCATACCACACACATGCCAGCAGTATTCATCACCTGAAACATGTCATACCACATACATGCCATCAGTATTCATCCCCTGAAACATGTCATACCACATACATGCCATCAGTATTCATCACCTGAAACATGTCATACCACATACATGCCAGCAATATTCGTAACCTGAAACATGTCATACCACATACATGTCATCAGTAGTCATCATCTGTATTATGTCATACCACATACATGTCATCAGTATTCATCTCCTGAAACATGTCATAATACCATACACGTCGTCAGTATTCATCATCTGATACATTTCATATCACATTCACGTCGTCAGTGTTCATCATAATTATCGTTATAATCCGATATGGTTGCCTCAGCTTTCAAAAGGTATGGTAGACATGTGGAGGACATTTCCAAATTTGACGCATCAGTAACAAAAATGCAATTCCCTATTGTGACTTGTATCATACGTTCCCGGTTTTTTTTCAGGTGAACAATTAACTTGCCTTTGCATGTGTTTGTGCTCGGTGCCACCGGTGAGACAGGATACGCTCACCTTACGAACACCTGGTATCATTACTATTTGGTTGTGATTCATAAACACATGCTCATGATATAGTCGGACTCGTACAATCAATTCTGCTTAATGCAGAGATTTCTGTTTGATTGGGAAAGGGAACTATTTGAAGACAATAACTTCACTCTGTGGGTATACGGAACGATTTATCAACATCTTGTAGAATGAGAATGATAATGAGAATAGACATGCTGCCTTATGCATTTTGATTTCTTCTACAGATCATAATAAGAAATAAAATGTATTCACTATGGAAAGATGAACATACGTTTAAAGTCAAATATGCATTCGGTTTTCGTGGTATTTATATTTTCAAATTGGCCAAAGTTCAAGAAATCATCACATGTATTTCATTTTGGCAATATGACATTATGTCGCTTTCCAACTGGAACACATTGAGAACCTTACTTCTAAGCCTCCAACGTCATCTTGGAACAGCAGCGTTATTGTTCCGTAGTCGGAATGTTCTCCACAGCGAACTTGACCTGGTTTCACGGCTGTAACAGCAGGCATGGAAACTTTATATTTTATTTTTGTAAAAGTGTGCCTTTCAGAGACAATTGTCCATTTTAAATTGTAATAACATATATTTCAATATCCACATACATATCCACATTCACGCCCTACGCCCATCCCATCACCAACCCCAAACCCTTACTAAAACACATACATGTAGCTCACCTTAACGTTGTATATAAAGTAACAGCAACTGTTTAACCCATGTTACATTGAATAGAAACAACGCTTACTTCCAAACAGAGGGGGGTAGTACAGACTTCTGAGAGTGGTGGCGCCGCCCTTCTTGCCCATCAGGTTGTGACACTCACGCAGGTAATAGCGATCCTGAAACACAGGGAGAAATTGAGACTCTCACGCAAGAAACTGAATTCTGATCCGATAGCACATGTAGAAATTGAGCCCTGATTCCGCAACACCGGGACGAAATTGAATTCTGATCCTGCAGCGAAGTTGTAAGCACACCTTTATTACGGACGTTTGATGCGATAGGCAGGATAGCAAAGAAAGGCTCACCTATCTGTTTATTCCTATATATACCTACATTCACCTCATGAACCTACTATCGAGGTCATACCTGAAGTTTGATACCGATAGACAAGGAAAAGCTCTGTCATCTGTTTACACCTACAGTTTACAACAACACATCTACATTCATCCCACGAAGCTACTATTAAGGTCCTACCTGAAGTTTGAGGCCGATAGACAGGACATCAAGGACTCGCTCTGCCAGTTTTGTGCAGTCATCGAAGAAGGATACGAAAGTTGACTTTAATTTGGGAACATCCGCCGGCCACGTCTGTAATAGACCAACCATTTACTTATGTCATCTAGCAACTTGACACGAATTTGGAAAGAAATGTATATTCAGTTCAAAACGAAACGCAGTTCTCACTTCCGAGCTTACTGATATCCAAAACGTGATCTATTTGCACAACAAAGACACACAGTGCTAGAATAACATGTCTAGACACGTTCCATGCATCGTTGTTAGATTCGAACAGAGCAGAGACTGTTCATGTCCATATCCATGAGACAAAATGTCCAGAAAGTGTCTTTCAGAGCTTTTAACATGAAACATTTATTGTTCTATGCTGAAGGTACCCATGATAGTGAAGCGTAGCAAATTTCCGGTCGACGTTTTTTGCATGACACGGAATGAACCAGATAAGGCACAAACAATCGTCATCGAGTATTGATCAAGATTGAAGCTGGAAAACACGGAAATAGATCGACAGGGTCACTACACTACGATTTACCGTCTCGTTACACATAATGCAAACATGCGTCAACTACTGCCAGGAGACCATTTGAACCCACCAAAGACCCGTGTCGGCAAACATAGTGCGTCGGTTGTCAACGGCTCATCTCGGGTTGCGACGCCAATGCTTTAGTTTGTGCGTTTGTTTTGGAATTGAGTATATTGAGGACGAGGTGGGATAAGGGCCCTATGTGACCCGATAGAGATGTCAAATGTTAAAGTTAAAGACTAAAATATTCGTATGAGAAAAATCAGACATGTCCACATTGCTGACATGCAGCAAGGTTGTTTTCGAACGCAAGTCTTGTTCTTGTGACATAGCCAGGCACATTAGTATGACCCAAATTAGTAACAACAGGACGATGTTTCGAATTTGAAATGAAAATCTAAGTAAGACGAAGACCTATTCCAAGGTCAAAATCTTACTTTTGTCTATAATATTGTTTCAAACATGTCATACACAATTATCCATCTGGGGGTCAGAACGGACCCTTAGCAAACTTTATCCTTTGTTGATGAAGTGTCATACTGTAGAAAGATGTTACCCCATTCCTGGTGTCCCCTTGCCTCATGCCACTGCAATGCTGCTATTTAAGGGGCATAAAACAATATTAATTCACTCACTAGGGCTTGTTCCTATGCAACCACCTAGTATATGTGCTCAACTTTATTCCTTGATCACTGGGGCTTTGTTAGAATACGTGGTGACCACAGATACATTTACGTATCTATATTCAGAGGTTCATGACAATTTGTGAAACATGAAAGCAAATGCCATCTGACGTTTACTGAGAAAACAATATGTCAAATGCTGCACTTCCTCAGTGATAACATCTATGTAACATTTTGGGTGTTAGACATTTAGGCAAGAGGTAGGCATCGCCATGGGCACCATTTGTGCTCCCCTTCTTGCAGATCTGTTGCTTTAGGCATATGAATTGGAATTTCTGTTTGGATTGGCAATGTCAAAACAAGATAATCTGGCCAAAAAGTTTAACTTAAGCTTCAGGTATATCGATTATATCTTTAAAATATCCAATTCCCTTCCACTGATTTACCAGAGACCAGTGAGACCGCCTCATCTGTTTCACTGAGATACCATGCCGCATTTAAACATGAATACCCAACTCAGACACAGTATACCGACTCCGGGCCGACCAGTACCCCTAAAAGCACAGCGCCAGGCAGGGTAACAACCCGTACCGACTTTTAACGTCTATTGGTTGCTCGCGGCCGCAGATCGAACCCCCGACCTTCCGCTCTCAGGGGGGACGCTCTACTTCTTGACCAGGGAGACGTTCTTGCCATCTTTGTTAGGGAGGAAAGCCCAGCATGACGCAGGTCGTAGATGTTTACCATTTAACGGATATGATGCTGACAAATCTACAAACATAATAAAGACGAACCGGGATTCGAACCCATGATAATAGGTCAATGGCACGCGGAAGGGACGCAATTGTACACAGAGAAGTGATACGGCTTAGATGATGAAAACATTTTGACGACTTTCGAATTCTTCATTTCTTTTCCTTGTTATAAATGTCGTCTTATAACCAGTATCACTAGTCTCACACAAGACCTTATGCTTACGTGCACAGGCCATATACAGGTCGATATTCAAATACATGTAATTGCCGAAAACGGAACATCTACAATATAAACTACTTATATTCAGAGTTTTATTATATTTGAAATACAATTTCCGAGTAACAGCATTAAAGGACTTTTCAATATGGCTGCACAGTGGCCACATTGAAATGAAATTCGAACATCTTAAAACAATTCAAAGGTAATTGTAGTAACAGCAGGACATTACATATCTATTTACTTTAACTCAGGTGACCTAAAAGTAACAAGCTGTGGCATATTCCTGATGATAAACAATTCTAAATACCCCATCATTCCTTGGTGTAAAGTTGAACGCTCGGGATTCAGCCTTGTAAGGAAATAAACAAAGAGGTGTCACTATACTGAGCCGCTTTTGGTAATATTTTACTTGTACAATGATGTTAGATTAATGTGGTAGGAAAGCCGAAAGTGTGGCGTCCTGTAAATAATCGACTGAAGATGAGACAAACCAGTGATTGATATTATGAGCAACGGTCAAGCAATCACCGAGCTTGACCACACGGTCCGTGTACGGCAGGCATATTTTGCTGGGAATCAATTCTAACACGTAAATGCCCGCGTTGATCGTAGCCGGGTGAGCACGGGTAGGGTGGTGGCATTGTAATCGGAACGAGTCTTGGATTCGAACCCAAAGCAGCAAGACAACGAGATGCACCACTGCACAGTGTACAGTGTACACGGAGCGTTATTGTTAAATGAGTGGGCAAGTGCATATTTTTTAATAATGTTAAGAATCCGTGGGGATCTGCAAAATAACTTGCCGCAAGTATCACTGTCACTGTCACAGATAAATTACGTATGAAAATATTGGGCGGGGTCACCAAAAACACAATAATCAGTTTCGTGACCTACGATTCTCTCTCCAGGGCAACCCAGCCATGATCACCAAGGTCACTCTGGACTCGAGCACACTTCCTCTTCTCCTCCACAGGTTGATCAAAGAAGGACTTGGACGTTGTGAACATGTCATCCACCTGGAACAAGAATGAGTGAGTGAGTATGGTTTTACGCCGCTTTTAGCAATTTTCCAGCAATATCACGGCGGGGGACACCAGAAATGGGCTTCACACATTGTACCCATGTCGGGAATCGAACCCAGGTCTTCGGCGTGACGAGCGAACGCTTTAACCACTAGGCTACCCGAGCGCCCCACCTGGAACAAGAACTGCATGTGTGATGGATGACTGTATCATTGATACATTGCATGTGTGATGGATGACTGTATCATTGATACATTGCATGTGTGTGGATGACGGCATATAAACATTGCATGTGTGATAGATGACTATCATTTGATACATTGCATGTGTGATATAATATAAACACGGGATGTTGCTTACCTGCCTCTGCTGAACGCCATGATTGATCAGGTACACAAAGCCAATTGCACTGAAGGCATCATATATCTCCCTGGCCGTAGTCTCCAAAACTTCACTCGCCACGGACGTAGGGTCCGCTACATTCAGTCCGTACTTCTGGAAATCAACAACTGGAATAGCAGACGCCGCCATGGCCGCCCGATGAAAATGTCAACTGACCTCTCTCCCAGGTCAAACGGTAAACACGTGACTTCTGATTGACCTACATGTATATAGAGGTTATCACGCGAGTGTGTTTGGGGATGGTAAATATCCTGCATTAGGAATAAACATTGTATTAAGCGAGCCTTGGCGAGCTAAATACATAGTGTTTATTCCTAATACAGGATATTTAGACACGAGTTCCATGCGACGGAGTGTGTCGATCCCCGAATGACGAGGGCGACGCCATGTTTGTTTATAAACAGTTAAAGTAGTCCCTACTTGACCTTTGATATTTGCATCTCTATCCGCATATGACCCCCAACGGATATCGTTTTTATCCGTTGGCTTTATCCTGCCGAGAAACCTACCCATTATATAATAATTAAAAATATACGGTAACTTCACAAGGCTTCGAGCGTTCATGAATACTTGAAATAAACACACTGGCACTTGTTTCGTAAACCAATATCTCACACACCGCTCAGCAAACATTTTAGTGCGTTCTTCTACTAGTTAATTAAATAGTATACAACTCACAGATTATACAACTCGTTCCATTCGTTCCCAAGTTTACAAGTTCAATGGTGATACACCAGTGCTATTTCTTACTATAATAGTGGTTAATAGACGCATGCCATTACATGGAGTACATGGAATATCGCCAAAGCGGCGTAAACCCACATTCACACGCTTCCGGTGGATATTTGGAACTGGAGACCAAAGGGTAATTAGAGAAAACAGTCACTGCACATGAGAAAAACAAAACAAAAGGGTAAGTGAAAACGGCCACCACTTGTGGACAAAACAGTCAACAGGAACGGTGCAAACGGATTGTGTATTTACGATGTTTTGATAGTGGAGTACTAGATTCATCCATTGCTTTTTAATGTTTTGATTCTATTTCCCTGATTTGATTGTAGAAGCCAGTTTGAAAATATAACTTGTTACTCATCTTCAAAAAAACAGACCGTGAAATAGTTTCTACAGAACTTTAAAAGACTAATCCAATGTATAACTTTGTTTTGAATGAGAAGATCTCAGTTCAGTGTTTTATTGTAGAAGCTAGTTAGCTGTAATCATAAACGTATATATAGACGAGATAACATGAGTTGAATATGAATGATCACTCGTCAACACGTGTACGAGACCTACGTGCTCGGATTGCAAGAAGACAATGAAAGCTGGGCAACATGCCAATATTTGAGTTTTGAGGTGTGTGGATATTTGTAAATGTGGACATCACACAAATCAGTGATATTTGTCAGAGCTAATCTGTAGTTCGAACCCACAATCACCCATATTACCGGCTCCCTTAGATACGTCGCTGTAATGTTCATGTGCAAATTGAGATATACTCTTGACAACTTTATGTGATAAACCATATTATTATACATATTTCCTCATGTTCAAACAAACTAGTGTTTGATGTTAAGAGAAACCTCCCATCGAGGTACAGGGACAGACAAAAACGCGTTGATGTATACACACAGCCATAACTTTTACCCCACACATTAACAATAAAAGTTACACATAATCACCTGCATGTATATATTTAGAATTAATCAGTCAAGTACTATAGGGCAGTTTCTGATCAAGATTCAATACACAAGAAGTTTTCGTTATCCTCAAATCTATCTTTCCTCATATACATCAAATGATGCTAAATACATATCATGATCAGTATGCTCATATTACTTGTCCCTTTATCTCCTAGGATCACCACGGTGTTAAAGGAGGCGATGAAATGCACATGCGAAACGTTAACAACAATAAATGGACAATCGTTTAAAACTACCCTCCATTTTCTCAAACAATGACGTCAAGGGCTTCCTCGATAACTAAAAGGTCAGACTGAACTTATAGTTCAGATAATCCAGGCACGAGATGGGTTCATATTTGTCTGAACCATCTAGACATTTAATCATGGTGTCACTATTTGGGTTGACAAAGAAAGCAATTGATTGTCGACTCTGACGTTTCTTCAGTTCCAATTCAGGAATCAGGACCCGGTGTTTCTGAAAATAACAAAGATTCATAATGTACGTGACACAATTGTCCTAAGCACTAACGCATTGCCTGATTATCTAAACACTACCCGTGACTGTGTGTGTGAACATTCAACCACATCAGATCAGAGTAACAGATGGTATTCCAAGATTTACCTATTCAAGTACTGTGCACCTTCACAAGCACCTAGTCTCCATGATCAGATTAACAGTTGACCAACAAGACCTTGGAGTTGATATGTCAAGGTCACGAGACATGTAGTAGTATGTACCAACAGTTCTAGTCAGTCTTGTGTTGGTGAAACCTGTTCTCAGATTTGATCTATGGCAAGTGACATCAGAACACGGGGCTATCTTAAACATGTCACCTCTCTGAAGTTTCCATCTGGATTTTAACCAAATTGTGACGGGCCAGATCAGACCCTACTGTTACGTCAAAAACTGAAGCAGTCACGCCATTCGTGTATTGATTTGACAACTCACTGATCTTTACTCGGACAGACATAACACAGAACTAAACGACATGAAAATGTATTGAAAGCCAACAGCCCAGAGGATGTAGTATCAAGGAACACTCGTCCGCCCTCGGATTCAGTCGGCTGGTTCCGCTACATAACACCTCTGATGTGTGTTGTTTAACGCCATAGACGGCGTATGAAAATAATTGAGTCTAAACCAGGCAGTCCAGTGATCCCCTGTCCCCTCAGTTGCCGCTTACGACAAGCATGGGTTGCTGAACAACAATGATGAAGTGAGTTATATTTCATGACGTCAATTTAAACAGTGTAATCACGCATATAGTAATATATAGAGGATATTTCATGTGTCGAGTGAAATATCATGTTTCTCTCATCGAGTGACGGGGGGAAGGAGATGTTTTCACGAGAAAATATCTCCTTTTTCCCCGTCACGAGACGAAACGAACAGTCTCGATTGACGAGTTGAATGGGAAATTTAGTCTATAAGGAAACATTTTCGCGAGAATAACAAACGTCAAGAAGTGATATTAACCCCATTAAACGATCGTCTGTCATTACTCTTGTATGACAATAGTTCCGTCAAAGTGATATGTTCACTGCAATGAAAATATCACTTTTCTCAACTTCGGAAATCTCAGTCGTTCACATTGAAGTATATAATAAACAGTATTTTTGGTGAAAACGTATTCTGGGCTTAACATTAATTGGGTAGGAACCACATAGATTAATTAGGGCTAAACTGTCCGTCATAAAATGTTGTCCCATTATTTCACATGTATACAAGAGAAGTATGATAAGACTGATTCTAGAAGAATCTGCTCACTGTGGCTTTAAGCTTGTCTGCCGTCCATCGCTGCATCAGGTCACCAATGTTGACAACGATGGCGCCGGGCACAGGCTGGGCCGGAACATACACATCGTCAGTATTCATCACCTGAAACATGTCACCAGTATTCATCACCTGAAACTTGTCATACCACATACATGCCATCAGTATTCATCACCTGAAAGATGTCATACCACATACATGTCATTAGTAGTCATCACCTTAAACATGTCATACCACATACATGCCAGCAGTATTCATCACCTGAAACATGTCATACCACATACATGTCATCAGTATTCATCACCTGAAAGATGTCGTACCACATACATGTTATCAGTATTCATTACCTGAAACATGTCATACCACATACATGCCATCAGTATTCATCACCTGAAAGATGTCATACCACATACATGCCATCAGAATTCATCACCTGAAACATGTCATACCACATACATACCAGCAGTATTCATCACCTGAAACATGTCGTACCACATACATGCCATCAGTATTCATCATAATTATCGTTATAATCAGATATGGTTGCTGCTGACAGAAAGACATTTTTTGTATCTTACCAAGATGACAATCAAAGGACATATTGGTTGTGTAACATTATGGCATATCCTTATTCCAATTGTTTCAGATATTTTTATAGGTGAGAAGGTTTTGATAAACTTGATATTCATTTAGACTTCAGACAAATTCCACGGAGAACGCAGTTTGTAGTTTACATGTCCCTAATTGAAAAGTGACCCGTGCAGAGCCAGCACCCAATGCTTGCCGTAAAAGGCGACTATGCTTGTCATGGGAGGCGACTAACGGGATCGGGTGGTCAGGCTCGCTTACTTGGTTGATGCATGTCATCGTATCCCAAATGCGAGGATCGATGCTCATGATATCAATCATTGGAATGTCTGGTCCAGACTCAATTATTTACAGACCGCCGTCATATAGCTGGGATATTGCTGGGTGCGACGTTTAACAACAAACAAACTAATTTCAAAGCAGAAAGGTGAGCTCGAAAGGCCTTATTTCACATATGATCTTCGTCTTGCGTATGGTAATGGAACTGTTGGATGACAATGACTTCACACTTTGGGTATACGGAACTTTAATCAACGTGTTGTAGAATGAGAATGATAAAGAGAATAGACATGCTGCCTTATGCATTTTAATTTCTTCTATAGATGATAATGTATACACTGAGGAAAGATGAACATATTTTTAAAGTCATATATGCATTCGGTTTGCTTATGTGCTGCGTATTTATAGTATTTGTGTTTTCTAATAGGCAAAAGTTCAAGAAATCATCATAATTATTTCATTTTGGCAAGATGACATTATGTCGCTTTCCTCCTGGAACACATTGAGAACCTTACCTCTAAGCCTCCAACGTCATCTTGGAACAGCAGCGTTATTGTTCCGTAGTCGGAATGTTCTCCACAGCGAACTTGACCTGGTTTCACGGCTGCAACAGCAGAAATGGAAACTCTTTATATCTTATATTTGTTATAATGTGCCCATAAGAGAGAATTGTCCATTTTAAATTGCAATAACATATATTTCAATATCCACATTCATATCCACATTCACGCCCTACGCCCATCCCATCACCAACCCCACCCTTACTAAAACACATAGCTCACCTCAACGTTGTATATAAAGTAACAGCGACTGTTTAACCCATGTTACATTGAATAGAAACAACGCTTACTTCCAGACAGAGGGGGGTAGTACAGACTTCTGAGTGTGGTGGCGCCGCCCTTCTTGCCCATCAGGTTGTGACACCCCCGCAGGTAATAGCGATCCTGAAACACAGGGTGAAATTGAGACTCTCACGCAAGAAATTGAATTCTGATCCAGTGACACGGAGATAAATGGGGTTCTCTGATCCCGCAACACGGGGAGAAATTTAATTCTTCGAGCCTGAAACCTGGGTAGAAATTCTGATCCTGCAACACAGAAACATCAAAGAAACGCTCAGCAAACTGTTTATACATACATACCTACATTCACTCCATAAAGCTAGCATCAACGTCATACCTGAAGTTTGAGGCCTGTAGACAGGACATCAAGGATCCGCTCTGTCATCTGTGTGCATTCGTCAAAGAAGGATACGAAAGTTGGCTTAAAATTTGGAACATCCGCCGGCCACGCCTGTAAAAGACCATCATCTCATCTAGCAACTGGACACGAATTTGCAAAGAAATGTATTCTAAGTTCCAAAGAAACGCACTTCCCACTTCTGATCTCATTGACATCCAATATATCAGTTCTATTACGGCGTGTCATCCTTATGAGGTGACGTGAAATCGTCGTTCAAGACTATTGCACTTATATAATTGACGTGTGTGTGTGTGTGTGTGTGTGTGTGTGTGTGTGTGTGTGTGTGTGTTTAGGCCCTTAATGCCAAGCGCCAGACAGGGCATCCACAAGTCGTATTTTAACGTCTTTTTGGTATGACGTGGCCGGTGATCGAGCCCTCGACCTCCCGCTCTCCGGGCGGAAGCTCTACCTCTAGACCACCGAGGCGGTCTTGTCATCTTTATAAGGGATGAAAGCCCAGTAATCATACATGTCGAAGATGTTTACCACTTGCGGGAAACCCACAATAACGGATATGATGCTGACAAATCTAGAAACATAATCAGGACTAAGCGGGATTTGAACTCGTAATAATATGCACAGAGAAGGGATGCGCCTTAGATGACAAACACAAAAATGAATTTGACAACTTTCGAATTCTTCATGTATTTTCATTGTTATAAAAATCGCACATCAGTCTCACACAAAGCTTCAGCTTTGTAGACTGTATGTTTACATACAAAAGCCAAATACAGGTTAATATGCAAATAATTGCCGAAAAACGGAACATACAGGTATGTTGAACATATCGAAATACAATTTCCTAGTTATAGCAAAGTAATTTTCAATATGGCTGCACGGTGGCCATATTGAAAATGAGATTTGAACATCTTAAAAACATTCAAGTGTCATTACTGAAGTAACAATCAAGCCAAGATCCTGCACAAATGGTTTCCGAAGAGTAGTCTTTACAGAGATACCGACGGATCAGCAGGATATTATATACTATTAAACTCTATTTACCTTCAGTCAGGTGAGCTAAAAGTTACATTCCTGATAACAAAATTCTAAATACCCCATCATCCCTTGGTGAAAAGTTGAACGCTTCCTTTAGGTCTCCAGTCTGTCGCTCGGGATTCAGCCTTGTAAGGAAATAGACAAAGAGGTGTCACTATACCGCTTTGTATTTCAGTTATACAGTGATGTTAGATTAATTTGGTAGGTAAGCCCAAAGTGATGGCGTCCTTTAAATAATCGACTCTAGATGACACAAACCAGTGATTGATATTATGAGCAGCGATCACGCAGTCACCGAGCTTGACCACACGGTCCGTGTACGGCAGGCATATGTTGATGGGGATCAATTCTAATAGTAAATACCTCTGTTACATTACGGTTATTGTCATCGTTACACATGCTCTGCCTGCACACACTGTAGTTACTAGTGCCTGCTCTCTGGATCTACCTACTCAGTGTTAATGTTGGATCTCAGTAACTTAGTCTACAACATGCTTACTAAGGATTTCGTTGAAGGAAAGCTTCCCCGTAACCTGCCTTTGACAGATAGGATTCATTGGAAATAGTATGAAATATACCCCGTTCAGATAATTAGTTGTCTGTGCATGTGTGGACAAATTAAAATCAAATTTAGATAGTATTTAGCAATTTTATAAGAAAATAGTTGGCGTGGGTACCAAAAACACAATAATTATTTTCGTGACTTACGATTCGCTCTCCAGGGCAACCCAACCATGATCACTATAGTCTGTCTGGACTCGAGCACACTTCCTCTTCTCCTCCACAGGTTGATCAAAGAAGGACTTGGACGCCGTGAACATGTCATCCACCTGGAATAACAATAGTACAATAACCCCCATGTCTCACCTAGTGGCACAGTGAACATGTCATCGAACAGGAATAACAATAGAAATACACTCTCACCTAGTGACACTGTGAACATGTCATCGAACAGGAATGGCAATAGTACAATACACTCTCACCTAGTGACACTGTGAACATGTCATCGAACTGGAACAATGTGTGATGGATGACGGCAGGGTATCAATAAATTATGGCCCTGTCACACTACAACGTGTAGCAGGTGAGGTGAAATGGGGTTTAACGTTGCGTCCAAGATTATTGCACTTATATAGCGACGTGCATGTACGTGTGTGTGTTTGTGTGGTTGCTTGTACTAGTCCGGACTGATGCCGATTTATAGTGCTAGCCCACTGAGATACCATGCCGCAGTTTAACATGAATACCCCACTCAGACACAGTATACTGACTCCGAGCCGACCAGTCCTTGTTTTAGGCCTTTAATGTCGAGCGCCAGACAGGGTAACAACAAGTACCATCTTTTTACGTCTTTTGGTATGACGCGGCCGGGGATCGAACCCCGGACCTTCCGCTCTCCGGGTGGACGCTCTACCACTCGACCACGGAGGCGGTACAACGTTTAGCAGTAACGTACGACGACATATGAGAATGTTTTGCCCAAACGCTGAAACACGCTATGGAAAAGGTAGGTGTAAGTTGTATACGTTAAAAGCACGCTGGTATACGTTGTAGTACGCCGAAGCTTAAAAACATTTTTGTGCAAGCACAAAATTTTCGGCGTATGGAAACGTATGAACGTATGAATTATACGTTAGGCATACGTTAGTGGAAGATTCTACATACGTTAAACGCCATGTATGCGTTTCCCATACAGCCCGCTTAGCGCGCTAGTCATGCGATACTCATACGCTGGGCATACCTTGAACACGCCAGACACACGCCGTCATAAGTTATGTATAAGTCAGTGATACGCTACTAATACGTTAGACATATGTTACATATACGGTGAACTCGTTATATATATGCTATGGATACGCCAAAATCATGGTTTTTCTATGAAAGCTCGACGTATGACAGCGTACTAACTGTCTTTTACACGTTAGGTGCAAGTTACTCTAAAACGCTGTAGTGTGACTGGGCCATTACATTGCTATTCAAATAAAGGTGTGATAAAAGCGTGATCGCACTGTCAGAGAAAAGCCCAAAGTGACGCAGATGATTGACACTTAACAATTTGGTGTAACAACGATCGCAATCAGTACCAATCTTGGACTCGAACCCACGATCACGCAGATCCTATCACAACTAAGGGACGTAGCTTCTAATAGAAGAATAATCTTTGATGGGTCATTACGGCCTTCCCGTAGACACATATGACTCATAATCTTTACTACGACAGCATTTGGATAGTCTGCCTAACCTGTATAAACACAGGACATGTTGCTTACCTGCCTCTGCTCAATGCCATGATTGATCAGGTACACAAAGCCAATTGTACTGAAGGCATCATATATCTCCCTGGCCGTAGTCTCCAAAACTTCACTCGCCACGGACGTAGGGTCCGCTACATTCAGTCCGTACTTCTGGAAATCAACAACTGGAATAGCAGACGCCGCCATGGCCGCCCGATGAAAATGTCAACTGACCTCTCTCCCAGGTCAAACGGTAAACACGTGACTTCTGATTGACCTACATGTATATAGAGGTTATCACGCGAGTGTGTTTGGGGATGGTAAATATCCTGCATTAGGAATAAACATTGTATTAAGCGAGCCTTGGCGAGCTAAATACATAGTGTTTATTCCTAATACAGGATATTTAGACACGAGTTCCATGCGACAGAGTGTGTCGATCGCCGAATGACGAGGGCGACGCCATGTTTGTTTATAAACAGTAAAAGTAGTCCCTACTTGACCATTGATATTTGCATCTCTATCCGCATATGACCCCAACGGATATCGTTTTTATCCGTTGGCTTTATCCTGCCGAGAAACCTACCCATTATGTAATAATTAAAAATATACGGTAACTTCACAAGGCTTCGAGCGTTCATGAATACTTGAAATAAACACACTGGCACTGGAATAGCAGACGCCGCCATGGCCGCCCGATTAGGATTCAAACTGACTTCTCTCCCAGGTCAAGTGGCAAATACGTGACGGCTGTGCGACCTTAATATATTTTAAAGCTACGGTAACTCGACAAGGCTTAGATCGTTCCGCTGTTTGCATTCATGTAAGAATGAGACGAACGTTGACATCCACGCCTGTAATAGAACAACATTATACTGCTATACCTAGCAACTGGACACGCATTTACAAAGAAACGTAAAAGGTCTGTGGTAGGATAAGTGCCCTATGTGGTCCACATTGTTGCGGAAGCCTGATATATTTGTATGATAATTATCAGACATGTTCATACGGCTGACCTGTAGCCACTTGTCTTTCTCACGCTTGCATGGTTTGTACTTATGACATAACCAGGTACATTAGTAAGGCCTCAATAAGAAACAAAATGCCGATTTTAAATATAAAGCTAATTGTAAAAAAGTCCATTTCCAAAGATAATTCATTCACCATATCTGTTTATACATCGCCTAAGATATTCAACTTTGGCTAAAGATTGCTCATGTTCAAACATTTAAAAGCATTCTTGTTTAAAACTTCTAAAATATCCTTTACTGATGTCTTTAATATTGTCTCGAACATGCCATATTTCATTTCTTAAATTATGCATACCTCGTAGGTCAGAGTGGACCCTAAGCAAACCTTGTCCTTTAAAGTTTTAATATTATAATGTTAGCAAGATGACCCTTTGAAGTCTTGGTGCAACAAAATTAAAGACCTGGGGTGTTGAGGTACCCTGGTGGTTACGGCGTTCCCTCTTTACGCCGGAGGTCTGGGTTCGATTCCCCACATGGATTCAGTATGTGAAGCGCATTGTGATATTGTGATATTGTGATATTGTTTTGATGTTGCTTTACAAGGGATGCAAGCCCGAGGTGATGCAGGTCGGAGATTATTACCTCTTTGGTGAAACCGACAGTACCGGATATGATGTTGACAAACCTAGAAACATTATCAGGACGAACCTGGATTCGAACCCATGATAACAGGTTTCTGGCACGACCAAGCAACACAAGAGCTTGATTTTGACAACTTTCGAAGTTGTCATTCCTTTCCATTGTTATTAAACATGATGATGCTATAACAATCCAATGTTATTACACTAACACACATTTCAGCTGAAAACACTTGGTGCAAACAAAAAGAGAAGAACAGCATTTTTGCAACTTTGTATGCCGCACAAACGTTGAATAGCCTCCAACAAACACCATTCTTCTTATAGCCATAAATACTCTCCCAAGGTTTCAGCTTTGTAGACTATATGTGTACGTGCAAAGGCAAATTACAGGTCAAGATTTCAAACTATTGCCTAAAAACGAAAACAATTCACATATATGTTGAACCCACAAGAAGCTATTTTTATTCTTATTTCACTTCATTTCGAAATACAATTTCCGAGTTACAGCCATAAAGATGGTTGCAATATTGAAAATGAAATTTAAACATCTTGAAACAATTTAAGTGTCATCATTGTTGTAACATTAATGCTTATATTCAGCACAAGCGGTTTCAGAAGAGCAATCTTTACCAAGATGCTGACGGACAAGGGGGCCATGACATTAGCTCTCTTGACGTTCGGTCAGGTGAGCAAAAAGTAACATACTCTGGCATATTCCTGAACATTAACAATTCTAAATACCTAAGCATTACCTGGTGTAAAGTTAAATGTTTCCTTTAGGTCTCTAGTCTCTTTAGGAGAGTTGATATGATCAAATAGATCGTTGATTATGATGTTAAACAGGGTTGGGCTTATAATGCTGCCTTGTGGTGTGCCGTCGTCCAGTGAAATAGAACAAGATTGATTGTTCCCTATTTAAACTGATAGCGACCCATCTTGCAGGAAGCTGTCTGTGACATTTGCCATGTTCCCTTCTACTCCATTGTGTTCTAGTTTTGTGAGGAATCATGCCATACAATGTCGGAGGCTTTGCTGAAGTCAAGACATTCTGCGGCTAGGTATTGTCTGTTTAATTGAACTTTTTATATTTCATTTTCCTGTCTTTGTATACGATCTGGACATAAGTGTCCCTTCCTGAAGACGCTTTCATAAGATTTGATGTGGTTGCCAGGTTCAAGGTGATGCATGAGCCTTTTTGTAACCATTGCTTCCATAGATTTGCACATGTTTGAAATGAGTGAGATTGGTCGGTAAGGGTTTGGTAGGGCTTCGTCTTTCCCCTGCTTTAGAAGCGGGGTAACTGCAGTATGTTTTCATGCTTTGGGGACTTCTCCTGTGGACCATATCGTGTTGTGCAACTCAGTGAGTAAGCTCTTTGATGGCTCCTTGTTTTATCTCGTAGCTGGTTGTGCCAAGACCAGGTGCAGTGCCTTTTTTATGTTGTATTGCATCATCAAACTCTGTCACAGTAAATGGTATATTGTATACCAGATGCTTACTTTGCGGCTGTTTTGATATCTAAGGCATAAGCATTTTTTCCTGTTTGAATTCTTTGCTGCAATTTGTGTTGCTGCTGACAGATGAAAAGTGCTAAGCTAGAATGTTGGCTTTTTATTGTTTGTATGGGCGTTGGCTAACTTGGGAACTTTTGTAGGTTTACCCTTACCCCTGATTGCGTGTATTTCGCTTCAGACTGTTTTAGAATTTGTTTTTTCATTTAGAGATTTGAAGAATTTGCCATGACTCTTTTTTAGAATTGTCTATTAGCTGGCTTAGTTTTGTCCTGGATGCTCTGACGAAGGTTGATTTGACCTATTAGGGGCTTACTTTCTCACTCTCCAAGGTTTTGCTATTTCCCTGTTCCTCCATGGTACCGGAGTTTTGTCAGTTTTATTGGCATTTTGTAATTGATTTTTCAGCTGCGGCAGTAATTGTTGAGGTCAGATTTTGGCAAAAAGGATAAGGTTTATCCGAGGCAATTTCTGAGGATTTGAATGATATACATTCCTTCCTGAATTTAGGCCAATCTGCTTTTACATAGTCCCGTTTGAGCTGAGGATTGGGATGTTCCTCTAATTGTGGTGGACTACCTATACAGGTGAGTATATCAAGGTGGTCGCTTCCCCAAGTATCATCATGGATTTGCCATTATCAATGTGAGGCGAGGTTGTTGGGGGCAATTGTGATACCAGTTCAGCTCCATGTGTTGTGAACATGGTCATGACGTGTGTGACTGCCCTTGTTTAGAGTTATGAGATTGTCGTCTTCAACCCATTTCTGTACGATATTGCCGTATTGGCATGAATCATCCCTGTCTTCCAATAAAGGATGGGGGTGAGAGCCTACTAATCATGACTAAGGAGAGACCTCTGCAGAGGAAAGAGCGATACCTCAGACAAGTGGCCAATCTCATTAAACTCAGATATTTTACTCCCCTAGGATTCTCTCTGGGTGAAGATTGACGACACCACCAGAGAAGGTTGGGGTATCGCAACAGTTTGGAGTGACCAACAATGAACGATTCGCGTTTCAAATTAATATGACAATAATATTTGGATATTGTCCCTGACCCATATACAGACATGATATGTCGTTACCTTCCTTTGCTCAACGCCATGATTGATCAGGTACACAAAGCCAATTGTACTGAAGGCATCATTTATCTCCCTGGCCGTAGTCTCCAAAACTTCACTATCTACAGAGTGCATTGTACGATTCCGACTGTTTCATAAGCATGTATTTATGAGCCAATATCAAATAGTGATGATACCAGGTGTTCGCGACGTAATTATTCATATACCCGGTATGTTGTCACAAAAAAATATTGTCTAAGTTTAGTTGTTTCATAAGCATGTATTTATGGACCACTATCAGTTAATGTTTTATTTGTTCTTGACTTCTAAATACTCATACTGAGCTTATGGTGAAGCAGTAGATGTACTGAGAGAATCAAATTGCTGTTCAAAACACCAAGAACCAATGGGTGTTTTGATAGAATGCGTTGTGAACACAATTCTGTATGTCGAGATTACCATGAAGCACTGGAGAGTACAGAGAGAACGTGTTGTGAAGGCAGTGATGCATATGAGGGATGTTGAAAATACCAAGAAGCAGGGAGTCCTGATATTTTACACTGATAAGTTCAAGTGACAATTCTTGACTTCCTCCCAAGTACGGGGGCACGGGTGGCCCAGTCGTCTCGGGTGCCGCGATTCGCTGCCTATAGTTGTGTTACTTGGGCTCGTCAGAAACCTATGATTGTGGGTTCAAATCCTGGTTCGTCCCGATTATGTTTCTAAGTTTATCAGCACCATACCCGTGCTCGCGGGTTTCACCAAAGTGGTATATACGTATGAGACCGTCTTCACTTCAAACTTATGGAATTATATTTTGACTCAACTAACGAGTCTATGCATAGTCCAATCAAAATCGCATAACAAAATAAACATCCATTTCGTCAACTGCCGTCCAGATTTCCGTCGATTGCAGTATAAGCAAAGCACGTGTAGACCTGTTTTATCATAATTTAGATTTTGATTATCGATCAGTTCGTCTTGAATGGGCGTCGCCATTTTGTTTGAAGCAAATGCAATTGATATGAGCGATGGATCTGATTGGTCAGTAGGAGGGACATCGAAAGGACATAACTCGTAATAGCCACTGGTGGCGCTACGATCGAGCCCAGAAATTCCAGCCTGGTTTGGCAGAGTGGAATCTGGACTTATAGGCAGTTAACTCCCTTGCCTCGGGAAGATGACATCGAGCTGACACGCTGTGCTAAAACTGGAATACTGTACAAACCGGCGTTAAACCCAATTACTCATTCGTCACAAATACAACCAAATATGACGTAAAGTTGATCTTGTGAAACTTTTAATTGATGTCAAAACGGCTCCAGTCTCCACCTGCTTATTATTGACCGGGTATCATGTTCGCTGGTTTGCAAGTGAAAAGATATCCATTGATTTAAAACGTCATTACAATCTAGTCCGTGTTATATTTATACCATGTTACCTTACGGGAGTCGCTGGATGTTGTGATATGTTTTCGTGTCGATCACTAAATATTTTACAAGTCATTCTGTTATGTAAATACATGATAGAGGTACATGATCCTCTATCGTTGTCTCCCATGTCGTACAATCTGAATAACACTTGTTGACCTCCTCTTGTGTAACTGAATAGCAACAACATAATCTTTAAAACATCTTTATCACATTTAAATGATAGATTTTACTGGTTATCATTCACAATTCAATTACATATAAAAGTGTATACTGGAGTCATTAGGGTTGTCTAAATATGTTATGTATTCATTCCCATGCTGACTAAACGTGTCTCGGAAATATATGTGTACAAATATGGTAATTTGACTGTATATACATCGGTCAACAACATGCACCTAGCTATCGTTCCCGATAAAGAGTCAGTTGTATAACACACACAATCTATTTCAGTACAGACTGTCCCACATTTATCGGTGATGCCGACAGTTCATATGCACCGTACTACAAGATAAATTCCCCGTACTTCCTGCCCCGTTGTCTATCCTGGCAGCATATAAACATGCGTCCGTCCTGGCTGTAACATCACACAGCTTTAACAGATAACGTACCTTCCAGACAGAGTGTGAACAAACGGGCGTAGAGTTCAATGCACCCTTACGTTATCTTGGGATATCAAGTAAACCCACACGCAACCCACACGCAACCAACACGCAAAAAATACTTATGCGTGGAACGCTGTTGGCACGCAATTAGAGACTTAGTCAGATATCGGAATTTTTTTTGTTTGACCTATATAGTTTGATGTGCTTATATATAAATAGTGTGTCTTTATACTTGCACCAATTCGTCCTTGTCATCTCATTAAAATAATTGATTAATTGACATCTACATTCGCTGTCGCGCAGTCACCATTCGTCACCTAGCCCCGGCTACAATAATTCCCTCCCCTTCTCTATGACCCTATGCTTTCCAACATCTTTTTAAAATATGTGCAGGCGGATTCTCGTCGACATCTGTTCTGACTGATCTATTAAAGTCGATACCTGTTAAGGGAATTCCGTTTTTATTAATGTCCGATTTATCTCCATGATAGTAGCGTGTGATAAATGGCATCTTTTATACGAATGTCGAATTTTCCTGTGAAGGAGAATACCTTTAAACTCTGATCTTGTATCAGTCAGTGGCACATGGTATTTTACAAGGGAAAGAATGTTATTCCCTAACAAAGCAATGTGCATACCAACCCATGTTGAGGTCGCTGTCATCAGACAACTTCTTGGTAGGGAATTCTGTATCGCTGGTTGGTCACGCTGTAGAACAAGATTCGGTTCCGCACATGGTGTCAATGTCAGTGTGTACCGCCCCAATTTCCACTCACATACAGACAAATGATTTTAAGCCATGTTTGTGTACAGAAACATCTAAACATCGAAAATCACCTTCTAAACTTAATTGGGGGGGGGGGGGGGGGGGGGGGGGGGCGCAACGCAGGTCGACATTGTATCGATGCATGGAGCTTATTAAAAGTAGTTCCTAGATGACGTCATTTGCATATTTATTGGATCCTGATACGAAGTGTATAGGATGGGTTTATCGCATCGATAACTTGTTATGATAAATATGATAGCTCACAAGAAGCGGTTATCTGCCCCTCGTGAATTAACGTTGTAAATAAAGCGACAAAACCCTTTCCACATCCAACAGATCTCTGCAAAGAGCAGAGTCGACGGTACGATTCCGGATATAACATGAGCATGTGTTTATTAAATAACTATCAAATTGTGATGATACCAGGTGTTCGCGAAAACACCCTTGGTGGAGCTCGGGGCAGATACAATTCATTTACACGGGTCAGGTTACCTGCCATTCCTCGTAAACCTGCAGAAAAAACAGGAGTTTATTAGTCAGCCACACAGTGACATGTGGACGACTGTCGTCCATGTTTATACTCATTCTAGTTGTTAGAAATAATTTAATTTTCTGATTTAAGTGGTTATAACGTTGTTACAGTGAAATTAAGTTACACTTATTTCGACAGATATACGGTGACCGAGACATTTGTGGAAAAGGTTGTCAATTTGACACTCAACAGTTACGTTTAAGATATCAGTACGTGTTCGGTTTGATTGTAATGTTGCCGTATTTCACAATTTATGTCATTTTCTCACCACACCAAATCCTCGCCTGTATCGTAATAGAATATTTGTAAAATACCACCTTCATCATGTTAATGGTACCACTGATAGGCTAATTACAAAATAGCCCCCAGGTATAATAGCTCACCTGGTTGTATATTCAAAACCAGATACTGAAGATAGTAGCAATCACATTCTAATAAGGTCTTAGTACTCCCTGTTGCTTCACATACGCAATACGTATTGCATTTCAGAGTAAGACGGAAATGACCTAGTTAGTTAGCACAGATATTGTATACGAGGACCATATTCTTGATTCGAACCTACGACCAAAGTATCCTGACACCATCGCCGTAGACCACTTGACCCTTGGCGACAGGTTCACCACAGTTTTTGCTCGGGCAAAAGAAAGTATTCTCCCAAGTGTGATGGCTAAAACTGAAACAAACAAGGAATGGTTATTCGATGGTGATGTACTTGATGCGCTGATATCTGTGTTTTGGACCTTACGTTTGCTGTGTTTCGGCGACGGTATTTCAGCCTGGTACTGTTTGATAACGTTTGTATGTGTTACGCGTCGATTCAAAATTGAAACAATATGTTAATCCAGAATTCTGTACGTAAAAGAACTTAGTGTGAAACCAACACACAACCAGCAAGTGGTCTACAATCAACAAATGTATAAACATTAACTAGGATTACAAATCAATACAAATTACTGCACAGTAATTACAATGGTAGTACACAATAGAGTGGTAGTACAATATGCAATGGCATTATATAATATGATGACAGTGGTCAGTATAAAATACAAGAATGCAGTGGTGATAGCAAACGTTAGTGGTAATGATATATATTCATCCAGCGGCGACAGTAGTCAGGCTTCCGTGAATGTCTAAGCAGGGAATCAGGGATGATGGGCGATCTTCACATGAAAGCTGGTTCCAAAGCGATGAAATACGTGATATATGAAATGTGTGAGAGATAGTTAAACACGATCCCGTCTCCTTATATACAACCTACCTGCTACTCCCTGGAACCTTCAAGACAATGCTTTAAGGCTCAAGGCAATGCTGGACAAGTCTCCCGTTTCCGGACGTCACCACACCACTCGAGCATCTAAATAAAGTAACGTTCTGACGACTGCTTACCTTAAATAGTACTACATTCCTAACGACAGATCGCTACCTAAATACAATGCAATGAGCATCAACCGAATCTAAACAGAAACATTTTAACACAACTACAATCATTATTAAACAATAAAATACACTGCTGTATAACAGTAGGTTTTTGATCACATACAATTTTCAACCGTTTATTCTCTTTTGCCCGTCAAGTTAGTAACGGTACTACTATTGTCATATGTCAGCAGTATCGCTCCATAGACTTGAGAAGACATATATTTGTCCCGGTGTTCTTTGTGAAATAGAAAACTTAATAATACCCTATATACACTCGATGTCTTGTATAAGATGTAGACAGACTAATGGTTGTCTGCTGAACAACGTGGCACCATGTTCTCTAGGTCGTTGAACATTTGCCGAAAGTGTGTTATCGCCACTCCGCAATTATCTCACATCAGATAACTGAATTACGAGTTCTCATCTATAAAACAAGCCACCCGTTCTAAGATGACATTGTGCAGGCGAAACTCACCATCAACATGCGCTGGACAAGGCTGTTGTGTTCCCTCTACTGTGTGTTTGTAATTTTGGAAGGTAAGTTAGTTTCAGATTTGAAGAAGTTTTTTTAATGTTTCACGTTTTGTTTATTTTGTGCAATTTATAAGTTTCAAAGTATTTATAATGTTTAACCTTGGATAGTCACGATATGGCTGAAATATTGTCGATGTGACTTAAAATTTAACTCACTCACTCCCTCAGTTCCTAACTTTAAAATTATTTCATTCAATGACACAGCACTGAAGTGACAACAGTGAGTAATGGCTGTGACACCAGTACGTAACGGCTTTTGACACGAATAAGTAACGGCCATGATACAAATAAAAACATATCCCCCCTCTTTTGATTGTCAATACGTAACTACCAAATATGTAAGTACTTTATTATATGAATATCCACATCGTCCATCTGTTGCAGGAGCTTGTGGCTACCAAGATCAAGGCAACCCATATCATGACGGACCTCTGACAATACAAGAGCAGACCATCTCAAGCTCTGGAGGCGGTTCCCCACTACATGCGAAAGGTATACTTACTCAAGTATATATGGGTGAATGTTTCTCCGTAGTCGCGTCCAAGATTAGTGCACTTACATAGCGACGTGCATGTGTGTGTGTGTGTGTGCGTGTGTGCATGTGTGCGTGGGTGTGTGAGGAGTTGCTTGTACTAGTCCGGACTAATGCCGATTTATAGTGCTAGCCCACTGAGATACCATGTCGCAGTTTAATGTGAATACCCCATTCAGACACAGTATACTGACTCCAAGCAGACCAGTCCTTGTTTGAGCTCTTTAATGCTGAGCGCCAGACAGGGAAACAACAAGTACCTTTTAACGTCTTTTGGTATGATGCAGCCGGGGATCGAACCCCGGACCTTCCCCTTTCCGGGCGGACGCTCTACCACAAGACCACGGAGGTGGTCCCATATCATATGACGAAGGGAAGCTTATCTAAGTACATATAGGGAGAGGGGAGTTGTAGATTCTTTTCAAATGACATATATATCGCATCGAGTGACCTGACAAAGGCGATTTTTCAGGAGTGGCGTGAAATATCAAAAAAACATTAGGAGAACATGCGATTAACGAATACGTGATTGTTATTCACGAGCCGACACTTATACTAATATATTGTCTTACTCTAAACACATCCCTGCTTAAACAAATATATACCTATTATTAGATTTTGACAAAACATCCTTTTGTGAAAGATATTTGAAAAGAGACCAGAATTTTATGTTGTCTGTATTTATACTGTGTGACTCGCCTTAGCAAATAATAAAAAACAAAATCGGAACATTTTTTAAAGAATAAAATGAAAACAAACAGAAATATATACGTATGCCACATGTTCTTATTTGTTTTACGTGTGTTCAGTGTTCTCTCCCCTGATGAAGGGGAACTACTCACCCGTGTTCTTCGTGGGAGGTCTTAATGGCTACGTCATTGTAGAAGCATATCAGATCGTCCAAAAGAAGATCGCCTCCCATGGTTTTGTCGTCATTGGGGTCGACTACAAATTCCCCGTCTTGAGAAATTCATCTCTTAAACATGAGGAAGAACTTGGTCAGGACCTGAATAATTTTTTCGACGAATTAACTTGGGTTTGTTGAATTCTTTATTAAAGATTGAGAATTATCTCCCCTAAATTCAAGATTTGGAAGACACCTGCAGCTTCAGTTCGGTCGTAATGCGCATGTCTGCTGCTCACACGCACGGGCTTCACGCGCGTCACTTCACACTGAACATAGGCATTCATTGAGGGGTTTCCAAGCACGCAAAAAGCACCCGAGTGAAGCGTTATGTATAAGTTATTTTCATAACAAGAGGGACATTTCTTTCTGTTAGAAATATAATTGTATTCGTTGTGTCATTTGTTTGTTTTAGAAACAAATTCGAATCATGAAGTGAATTGAACTCGATACTTTTCAGTTGAAATCCCACCTGGAGAACTTAACTCAAGTAAATATTCTGTGGAACCAGACATCTCTGATGTGTCATTCCTCCGGATGTGACGTCACGATTCGGATGATACGGATGAACAGCTCCTTATTTCAGGTTGGTCGGTCGCCAATTTCTTTAACGCTCCCCTGTGGAATTACAGACCGACCCGTGAAGATCCGGGGTAGAATAGGTCTTCAGCAACCCATGCTTGCCACAAAATGCGGCTATGCTTGTAAAAGGCGACTAACGGGATTGGGTGGTCAAGTTGATGCATGTCATCTTATCCCAGTGTCGTAGATCGATGTTCATGATGTTAGTAGTCACTGGATTGTCTGGTCCAGACTCGATTATTACCAGACCGTCGTCATATAGCTGAAATATTGCTATGTGCGGCGTTAAACAAAAAACAAATAAACACAATGCATGGCGCCGTGATATTAAGCAAGAATAAGGCTGAATGCAGCGGAATATTCTTTTACTTTTTTTACGTATTTTAATTGTACTCTTTCAGGCTACAGTGTTTCTAGAGCCCATGAGTTTTGATGTTAAACCAATCAACGTGACGCTCCCGGCCTTGATGTACGGCACCCAGCTGGCGGAGGAAGGATTGATCACGTGCTGTATACGGGGCTTTGATTACCAAAAGTTCTTCGAAATTTGGCAGTGCCCAAAGATAAAATTTGAAGTGGCGGTGAGGATATCAGAAAGTACATCTGTACATTTCATGTCACCAGTACATCGTCCACGTGGCTCACTTTGAGTGGCTACTTTCATATGGCCAATGACCGGTGCTTGCCCCGAGAGGCGACTTACATGGGGATTAGGTGGCAACATTGTGTAACCTGCTTGATTGTCATGACACGGTACTCTGAAGCTACCATGTTTCCAAGTTAGATTTTTAATTGATTGTTGTTTATCGCTGCACTCAGCAATATTCCAGCTATATGACGGCGGTCTCTGAGCAATGGAATCTGGACCACACAATCCAGTGATTGATATCATGAGCATCGATCCAATGTAGGAACCAAGTCAGCTCGGTGTAGTATTGTAGATTTAAACATGTCAATTTGAGTTTATACACAACAAGTTATATCAAAAGAGGCATGTTGTCATTGGACGATCACAGTATACTCTGAAGTTATGGATGACAGTAGATGAATTTTTTCCAGGATTTTGGACACTGTGACATCCTGGATCCAGTCCCATGGGAAGGTAGGTTCGACAAAGTTACTGAAATTTAATATCCTTTCCATATCTTTCACCATTTTGATTTTTTATCTAAGAGAGGACGTTATATATGAGATAGTTGTGCATTTCTCGTGAGTGAGTGAGTCTAGTTTTACGCCGTTTTTAGCAATATTCCAGCAATATAACGGCGGGGGCCACCAGAAATAGGCTTCGTACATTGTACCTATGTGCGGAATCAAACCCGAGCCTTCTGCGTGACAAACGAACGCTTTATCCGCTCTGCTACTCCACCGCCCCCTTCCTCTAGATGTGAGGTGAAATGGGGTTTAACGTCGCGTCCAAGATTATTGCACTTGTATAGCGACGTGCATGTACGTGTGTGTGTTTGTGTGGCTGCTTGTACTAGTCCGGACTGATGCCGATTTATATCTCACTGAGATACCATGCCGCAGTTTAACATGAATACCCCACTCAGACACAGTATACTGACTCCGAGCCGACCAGTCCTTGTTTTAGCCCCTTAATGCCGAGCGCCAGAAAGGGTAACAACAAGTACCATCTTTTAACGTCTTTTGATCGAACCCCGGACCTTCCGCTCTCCGGGCGGACGCTCTACCACTAGACCACGGAGGCGATCTTCCTTTCTCTAGAACCCCATGCTTGTCGTAAGTTGCAATGACCTGGTAGGTTGAGGGTGAATGGGCGTAGATTGTAGGTTGCACTTTTTGGAAAAAGAAGAGTGCACTGCTTTGTAATGTAATCAAGAATTTTGTATTAGTATTTATAACCCTCGTGAAAATCATTGGCCTTTTCTAGCATTTATACCATACAATTGTCAGCTTAGTTAGTTACGATGTGGTTCATTTCAAAGGCTGCCATGTCATCCACTTCTGCAAGACGACCGACGACTCGAGGCTGGAGGAGTATCGCCAGTTTGTACAGGGGATGGTGTCTGCTTTCCTCATTGGCTACACACAGGACTGGACACCCGCTCTCAACTATATCGTAAACCGGACGAACGTTCCGTTGAAGTTATTAGATTTCGGCGTACAGCTGTCGTGTTGATACTGCACTTACGCAGGTAAGATGACGCTGGGGACCAGTGTTTTGGGATTGATAGTAAGAAATAATCCGAACCTTCAAAAAACATTAAGCAGATACCATTCTAGCTTCAATTTTCCCAATGTATGACTCCGTAGGATGACTAAAACATGACACTTGCGGTTGAGTACATTTATAATTGTTGGGAAGAGTTGGGAATTCGTATTTCTCTGATATACATGTACGTATAACGGAATTATTCTATCAAACACGCCATTCTGTTTTTGGTGTTTTTTTGTAACATGGAGAGGATACTTTAATAGTAAATACTGATAGTTTTATTGTAACAAGACATAAACGTTCGTGATTTGGATCAGAAATCCGGATTCCTTGAAAAAAAAACGGATTTTGGGGAAATTTTTTTCGCTGAAGAAAATGTATGACATTGTCTCAGCAATATTTCATCACATCATTGTTTCAGTGCTGGTGATGACGAGTATGTGAAGATCTGGAATTGGAGAAGAGACGCTTGCTCCGCCCAAACAGTTATGTCCTGTCCCCTCAAGCAGGGAACCACACCGTCAGCGTGTAATGCCATGCTGGAGCAGATCCTAGGTTCGATGACGGATAAAACAATTAATTCACACCACCAGCACACGGGGAAAGTGTTTTAACTGTTACAGTCTTGTATTTCATCACAGATTACCTATTATTGTAACGCTGTTCATTTTCAGGGTAAACGTATGACTATCACTTCTTGGCACGAAACCACGAAACCATGTTCAAAGACTTCAGCCAAGCCCCAGACCCAGCCCACCCCCTACCCCCTAAAACATTTTTAAACACCTCCACCCACCCCAAATGATAGAGGAAGGGACCGAAATGTCTTTCTTAGGACGTTGATTGTTTAATTTGTTTAGGCAATGGCAGGCAGTAAAAAAGTATTTTTAGCAGTATAAGCACGCAAATATTATTGATAATAGTAATATTGTTAATGGTTTTCATCAACTTCCAAAATTGCTGTTTACTTTTTTCACGACCCTGTCCTAGAATGTCCGTTGACACGTGCCAGGCTTCTACGTCATATCATGTTGACGTGTTGATAAGAACAGATAATCAACAAGTCAGCATGTTCCCATGATTCTCAATGACAGTGCAAGTCTGCAATATGACATAAATGATTCCTCCAAGTACAAATGTATCGACAACAACGTACTGACTTCATGACGAGTTGCTCCCCGATGATTGCATTGATATGGTTTGCAATAAATAAAGAATATTATGTTTTTATGATATGTAGTTCATAGCATGAGCCATCTGTCGCAATTTACGATGCAAACATTGTCGCACTTACTTAACACCTGTTATCACACAGCATGTTTAAACATCAAGGGAGCAGCCATTTGTGTTTTCAGGTAGGGACTGGAGATCAGCATTTTATTTTTGATGTTTAGTTGCGCAATTATTTTGAATAAATAGACGTAATGAACTGTATACTTTGGACACTTGTCTGAAAAAGGCACATTATTCGTTTCACTACAATACAAGGCATACGTAAATGATTTTTTGTCCAACCGATCCGTGGAAGAAAAGGTCTCCAGCAACCCATGCTTGCCGTGAAAGGCGACTATACATGTCGTAAAAGGCGACAAACAGGATCGGGTGGTCAGACTCGCCGACTTGGTTGATGCATGTCATCGTATCCCAGTTGCGTGGATCGATGCTCATGATGTCAATCACTGGACTGGTTCAGACTCGATTATTTACAGACCGCCGTCATATAGCTGTAATATTGCTGAGTGCGGCGTAAAACAACAAACCAAAAACGTCAACTTACTACAGTGAAGACAGCCATGTGTGATGTCATGTATCTCTGTAATAAATATGAATTGAAGCTTGAAAACTGGAAACTTGCTCACGTCATGCCATTATACAAGAAAGGTGACAAAGCATTACCCTCGAACTACAGACCAATTAGCTTGTTATCTATTCTTGGAAAACTACAGGAGAGATTAGTTTTTAAACGCTTATACAACTATTTCAATATGAATAGTCTCCTGTACAAATATCAATCCGGCTTTGTACCAGGACATTCTACTACCTCACAATTAATAGAAATTTATAATGATATTGTCTCATCTGTCGACAAGCACGAATACTATTGTATGGTATTCTGGGATATATGGAAAGAATTCGACAGAGTTTGGCATGAAGGATTACTTCATAAATTACAAAAATACGGTGTAACGGGCAAGCTATTACTATGGTTAGAAGACTATATTAGTCAGAGGAGACAAAAGGTTTTTGTAAATGGCAGCTTTTCATCTTTGAAATTCACCAGAGCCGGTGTCCCCCAGGGCTCGGTATTAGGTCCCTTTTTGTTTCTGGTCTACATTAACGATCTCGCTGATAATCTAGTGAATTCCACTCGCCTTTTTGCAGACGATACTTCCATTGGTACATCATCTCTTCACTTACAAATGATAGAACACAGATTAAACAGTGATCTAGAGCTTCTCAATACCTGGGCCAATAGATGGCTAGTTAGGTTTAACCCGGACAAAACAACATTTATTCTGTTCACTCATTGTAAAAACCGCACTGCAGATATCATTTATAACAATACCGCACTAAGCGCATCTATCTCGCACAAACATCTGGGCGTTACTCTCTCCCATGATATGAAGTGGACAACTCACGTTGATAACATTTGCCGCTCAGCTTCCAAAATGATTTGTTCGTTAAGAACCGTTAAATATTTACTTGATCGACAAACCCTGTCCAAAGTCTATCTTGTTTTCATAAGGCCTATATTAGAATATGCTTCAGAGGTATGGGACAACTGCAGTCATGAAAATTCCGAAAAACTTGAAATGATTCAACTCGAAGCCGCTCGCATAGTGACAGGTCTCCCTAAATTCTCCTCAAGATCGAGTTTATATTTTGAGACAGGATGGGAATCACTATCTTATAGGAGGTCAAATAAAAAACTCTGCACAATCTACAGTATTGTTAATAACCTATGCCCATCGTATTTACATGACATATTACCACCCAAGGTATCAACTTTTAGTAGATATGAGTTACGAAATCAGAATAATCTGAATTCGCCGCAAGCACGAACAGTCACATACCAACAATCATTTATACCTTCTTCAATCAAATTATGGAATGAGTTACCCCCTGAATACAGAAGTGCAACATTATTATCAAATTTTAAACACATGATTAAAACAACAATTACAGCTCCACCTCCATACTTCTCAATCGGCAACCGTAGAGCTAATATTTTACATACACGCCTAAGGCATTCTTGCAGTTCCCTAAATGCAGACCTCTTTAAAGTAAATTTATCTGATACTTTGTCCTGCTCTTGTGGAAACCCATGTGAAAACAACATACACTTTTTTCTTGAATGTCCCAATTACACTATTCCCAGAAATATCATGTTCGCTAACATTATAAAAGCTGGAACTACATGTACAATACAAAATATTCTCTACGGTGATGTATCCCTATCTGAAAGTCACAATAACCTCATCTTCAACAGCGTTCAAAAATATATACTGTCGACTAATAGATTCGAGTAACCCTTTATCATTAATACAGAATATCGCTCTGCGACCATTTATTATTAATTACGCCATCAGTGAATAATCTGCATGCATGTATATGAATACATGTGTATCTCTGCCTCCTTCTGTAAACTTAATGTTTACGGGTATATATATCCTGGTGTATGTGTGTAAATATGTGTATGTATATATATGTATGCATGCGTATTCAAGGGTATATGTGTATTTATGTACATGTAGTGTGTGTAGGTATGCATATGTGTACATGTACATAAGTGTATGTATGATTGTGTAATTATATATGTAGTTTTGCATGTATTTTGGATTAATGTGTACATACAAGTAAACTGTGTCTAAAGACAATTCTTATGCATGACTGTCTATGTTACTCTTGCAAACATTATGTTTATGTTCTTGTGTAAATATATTTCTCTTTGTTACTTCTCTTTGTAATAAGTATATATGTATCTGACTATGTGTATGTATGTACGTATGAGTATGTATGATTGTGTGTATATATGATTATGTGTATATGTTTGTATTTCTGTATACGTATGTATATGTATGTGTGTATATATATGTGTATATATATGTATAATCAATGTCTGTACATATAGAGTAGGGAAAGGGCCACCTAAGTTGGATAACTTTTGCCCAATCCCGTTGACCATATATGTCAATAAAATATGTTTAAAACAAAACAATTGAAGCTTGTGCATTGTATTTTTGTGTTTCCGAAGATGCTGTAGCTTAGTATATAATGAAAAGTGTATATAATGAAGTATAATAAAAAGTCAAAATGTGATTTGTCACCCATAAGGTCCCTTATGTCACAGGGGGCACGGGGGGCCCAGTCGTCTAAGGCGCCGCGATTCGCTGTGCAGAGTTGCGTCCCTTGGGCACGCCAGAAACCTATGATTGTGGGTTCGAATCCCGGTTCGCCCCGATTATGTTTCTAGGTATGTCAGCACCATACCCGTGCTCGTGGGTTTCACCGAAGTGGTAAACGTCTGAGACCTGCATCACTTCGGGCTTTCCTCCCACATAAAGCTGACACGCCGCGATATAACTGGAATACTGTTAAAAGCGGCGTTAAACCCAACTCACTCACTCACTCACCCTTATGTCACGGTTGTTCACATTTAACGTCCCAAACTGGCTTCCACGGGAGATATCGCGACAAAAAGAAATTGCATCACAATGCTTTGCAGACCATTTATCTCTGCCACTGTGGCTGGTCAGCTTCACTTTTTACATTGATTTGTTGTTTAACGCCGCACTCAGGAATATTCTAACTATATGTCGGCGGTTCACTTTTTACACTCAAAACACTGGTTAATACTGTTACAAACTGATACAGTCAGAATATTGACTTTAGATGGAATGTAGCCATGTGTCTTTTGATTCTCTATTTATCAATGTGCGTACCGATACGTATGGCCCGTGAAGATCCGGGGTAGAATAGGTGCGCAATTATTTTAAATAAATAGACATAATAAACTGTATACTTTGGACACTTGTCTGAAAAAAAGGCACATTATTCGTTTCACTACAATACAAGGCATACAATCATAAATGATTTTCAGACAAATCGATCCGTGGAAGAAAAGGTCTTCTGCAACCCATGCCTGCCGTAAAGGCGACTATGCTTGTCGTATGAGGCGACAAACGGGATCGGGTGGTTAGGCTCGCTGACTTGGTTGATACATGTCATCGTATCCCAATTGCGTGGATCATTGCTCATGTCAGTCACTGGATTGTCTGGTCCAGATTATTTACAGACCGCCGTCATATAGCTGAAATATTGCTGAGTGCGGCGTTAAAAACCACCAACCAACAACCAACCAACACATATGTACCTTTCGATGAAGATCAATGTCTAAACGCTGAAAGCTCATTTAGGTGTGATTCTTTCCATTCGATGTTAAGTGAACAACAATGAAGCGAGCTTGCCAGACACTCAATCGTAACCAACTCGTCCCATTCCGGGACAAGCCGAATTGAAGGTTGCGGAAAGATACGAATAGTGACGAATGGCCAGACAGTTTTGAGCTGTGTGTGTAAGGGGAGGTTACTCTTAGCGTCTTGGGAATACTTGTGTCCAGTGCTGCTCTAAAATCTCAATTTTTCAAACAAATGCTGGCTCGTGTGCTCATAAATATGGTTTAACTTCAAACATTTATGGCAACTAACAAATTTAACAATACGTTCTACCCATTAACATAAATGAGAAGTGAAGTTCATCCCATCCAACACTTAATATGTGTTCACTGAATGTACTTGGTATTTTAAAAATATTATGTTTGTTTGTTTGTTGTTTAACGCCGCACTCAGCAATAGTCCAGCAAAATGACGTCCCTCTGCAAATAATTGACATCATGAGCATCGATCCACGCAATTAGGATATGATGACATGCATCAACCAAGTCAGTGAGCCTGACCACCGGATCCCGTTAGTCGCCTCTTGCAAGCATAGTCGCCTTTTACGGCAAGCATGGGTAGCTGAAGACCTACTCTACCCCGGATCTATACGGGTATCATGTTCATGAAGGGAGAGCGGGACAGAAGTGAGTAGTATATAGTCCCCAACATTTGATAAGGATATTCTGATTGTGGGACCAGAAAAGTGTATCTGGCTGCTTGGAGATCGAGTTAACAAATATCCCATATTGCCATCATTTAATTCAAAGTTAATAAAAGGAAGTGCACAATTCAAGTACACCAGCTGATGTTACGTAACAGTATGAAACAGCCCAGTATCCCTCCCAAATGTTGAGTAGTACAATACAAACAGGCAACGTTGGTTTCATGACCCAGTTTCTTACAGAGAAGGAAATCTCACATCGTAAGAGGCTCAGCGCCCTGTCTATGCGTGGTGACCCGTGGCTATCACCTGTCGTAACTCCACTACCGCACGTTTGATAACTTCCGCTGTGTCCATAATGCTGACTCACCGTAGCGTTAAGAAGCCAATCTAGTGTTACCTGATTTACATACTATTACTATGCCCCTTTTCACACGTCGAGATGGGAGCTCTCTTTCAGAAAGCTTGAATTTGTATTACTTCAAAAGTCCATTATAGAAGAG